CGTCAAAAATCAGATGGGCTGGACACGTAATGAGATTTGGAGACAACCACTGTACTAGAGCCATTACGGACTGGATTCCATGGGATGTCAAAAGACCGTGTGTCCTCCCACCTACCAGATGGTCAGACTTCTTCCTCAAGACCCTGAACGCTCAATTTGAGGCTTTTCTTGTTCCTAGAACAAGTAGACGCCATTGGGCTACACTAGCACGCGACAGGAACAAATGGAGACGTTACTGGTGCCCGCTCGAGCAAATCAATGATTATTGAGAAGTCAAGTGATCACATGAGATCAGATGTTAAATATTTAAAAGCCTGGAGTAATTTTATTTTTCCCCTGTTAAGATCAATAATGCCCATAATTTAAATTTGAGCATCTCCTTTATGAGGTGGGGCACAGGGGACAGACCCCAGGACCTCAAATATGGATGGCACACATTCTTAACACTGAGAAAGTATTCCTGGTCACTGTGAACCTCTAAGGCAGACAATTCTTAGACTATCTCATCATCAAAAAGACATAATGGTATTACCATTTGCAAGGGTCCATATTTTCAAAATACATAACCACCAGTAGTTACTATGATTTTCATAAAGCCTTTGAATGTTTTCATGACAACAGGTTGTACAAACTTATTTTTATTATTATTATTATTGCTTTTTGGGTAACACCCAGCGATGCACAGGGATTACTCCTGGCTCATGCACTCAGGAATTACTCCTGGCGGTGCTGGGGCGGGGGGGGGGGGGCATGTGGGATGCTGGGAATCGAACCCAGGTTGGCCGCGTGCAAGGCAAATGCCCTACCCGCTGTGCTATTGCTCCAGCCCCACAAACTTATTTTTAGACATTTTTAAATTTGGGGGTTGGAGAGAGAGTACAGAGGGTAAGGTGCTTGCCTTGTATGCGGCTGACCAGAATTGGATCCTCAGTATCCCATATGGTCCCCTAAGCCAGGATTATTCTTAAGCACAGACACAGAAGTAAACCCTGAGTATCATCGGGTGTGGCTCCAAAACAAACAAAAAGAATATTTATGGATAAAACAAAGTGGTGGTGGTGATGGTCTTATCATATACTATAATGCTTCCCTTCACTCCCATCCCCCAGTGTATTTTCTGTCTGTCTTTCTTTCTTTTGCTTTTTGGGTCACACCGGGGATGCTCAGGGGTTACTCCTGGCTCATGCACTCAGGAATCACCCCTGCCGGTGCTCGGGGGACCATATGGGATGCTGGGAATCGAACCTGTGTCAGCCACGTTGGCTGCGTGCAAGGCAACCGCCCTACCCGCTGTGCTATCGCTCCAGTCCTGTATTTTCTTATTCAGTCAAAAAACCCCCCAAAATTCCTACACAATGAACTGAATGTGCGAGTGGTTCTGTGCACGGCGTTTACACAGAATATAATTTTTATGCACTTTATATTTACAATAGCCAATGCGTCATTCTCTGCTGAATAGGTCTTATTCAAGGGCAGGGACTGGATTTTTGTTCCTCAACTGTGTGAGGCTCTGAGAGTACTAAAATATGTATGACAAATGAATCCCACACTGAAACTGAACCTGGATAAAGCCGTGAATGATAATAGGGTGGAAGAGATTTATGTGAATTATGTAGTGAGATGAAATTCCATTCACTGGTTCTGTGAACAGCTTCAACCCTTGAACCCGGGTGATTCATTCCTCTGGTCCTTATTGTGTCTACAAGTTGTCTCCACAGAGCGCTACTGGCAGGCAATGAAAACAAGCATGCTACTAGTGGAGGGATGGGTACTTGATCATTGTATAACTGAAACCCAAGCACAAAAATTTGTGAGTCTATAACTGCACCTCATGATGTCTCAGTAATTAAAAAAAAATAGGCGCGGGTTGATTAGATTTGGGGGGCTGTGGCACACACCCAAAGCGCTGGTGTTAAGGTGTGGATGAATCCAGACACCCCCAAAAACCAACCAACCAACCAAAAACCAATTAATTGGACTCCCAAAGCATGCACACCACCGGGTCCTTCAGTTAGGCGCTGTGAAGACACCAATCGTCACTTTCCCACGCTTTGGAGAGAGAACCTGTGTGTTCCCTGCAGACGATGTCAACAGAGCTGAGAAGAGTATTTTTGCAAAAGGGAATTCTGAGACTAGAGTGGTAGAAAAAAGAAATTCCTGATACTGAATTCCGCCTCAGTCATCCAGTTCTACGAAGAGCATGCAAGACCGCGAGCCCTGAACAGCTACGATTCTCCCTCAAACTAGCTGAGTGGCGATAAGACCCGTGGATTCACGCCCTTTAAAATTTAGGGGGTCGGGCAAGAATTGCCCAGGCCCTTGGTTTCCACCCCATCCTGACGGGTATGCAGGTGACTAGAGACCAGAAACACGATCAAGGTCGTCGGTTCCTTTCGGGACGCTCGAGAGCTGACACACCAGCCACAGAACCTCAGACACAGCTCCCGCGCCTTTCTCAGCGACCGAGCTGGGGGGCTCCGAAAACTCCCACCCAGGAACCGAGCCGCCCCTGCACCCCGAGCCCGGTCAGGGAGCCTGGGGAGCGCACAGCCTGCCGGGACTTGTAGTCCCGCCCTGCCGCGCCGCCTTCTGGGAGCTGTAGTCTCCGGGAGGTCTGCGGGCGCGCTCGGCGCGGGTCGAAGGGCGGGCGGTGACGACACAGGCCCCCGCGCCCACGTGACCCCGCCTGGGCTGTGGGATCGCAGTGCGGCTCCCGCCCCGGCCTGAGGAGCGCACAGCCTGCCGGGACTTGTAGTCCCGCCCTGCCGCACCGCCTTCTGGGAGCTGTAGTCTCCGGGCGCGCTCGGCGCGGGCCGAGGGGCGGGCGGTGACGACACAGGCCCCCGCGCCCACGTGACCCCGCCTGGCCGTGGGATCGCACTGCGGCTCCCGCCCCGGCGCCTTCCCCTCCCGCCCGCGCGGCTGTTGCCGAGGCGACGGCGCAGGTCTCGCGGCGCGTCGCCCCTCTGCAGTCCCCCCGCCCCGCTTCTCCCACCACAATGAGATCCTAAGATGGCGGTGGCTGCGGCGGTTGGCGCTGACTAGCCGAGGGAGCGAGGCGGCCGCTGGGCCCTCGGCGAGCAGGGAGCTGCGGGACTCGCCCCGCCGCGGCCTCTCCGGGAGCCGCAGCCGGGGCCGGGCCCGGCGCGGGCGGCTCGTCTCGTCCCCAGGTGAGGGCGGCGCGTCCCGGCCCGGCCGGCGTCGAGGGCGGAGGCCGCGGGAGTCCCGAGCCCGGAGCGCCGCTGCAGCGAGCCGAGCCGCCGGGCCGGGGGCGGGTGGCCGGGCCGGGGGTCGGGTTCTCGCGGCCCGCCCGGACCGGTCGTGGCCCCGGCGCCTGCCTGACGCGAAGAAACGCCGCGGCCTGACGGGACGGGAGGCGGGCTGTGTGTGTGTGTGTGTGTGTGTGTGTGTTGTGTTGGGGGGCGGGTGCGTGTGTGTGTGTTGGGGGGTGAAGTGTGTGTGCATGTGTGTGTGTTGGGAGGTGAAGTGTGTGTGTGTGTTGGGAGGTGAAGTGTGTGTGTCTGCGTTGGGGGGGCGGGTGCGTGTGTGTGTTTTGAGGGGCGAGGGGGGGTGTGTGTGTGTGAGTTGGGAGGTGAAGTGTGTGTATGTTGTGTGTGTTTGTTGGGAGGTGAAGTGTGTGTGTATGTGTGTGTGTGTTGGGAGGTGAAGTGTGTGTATGTGTGTGTCTGTGTTGGGAGGTGAAGTGTGCGTGTATGTGTGTGTGTCTGCGTTGGGGGCGGGTGCGTGTGTGTGTTTGGGGGGCGAGGGTGTGTGTGTGTGTGTTGGAAGGTGAAGTGTGTATGTTGTGTGTGTGTTGGGAGGTGAAGTGTGTGTGTGTGTTGTGTTGGGGGCGGGTGCGTGTGTCTGCGTTGGGGGGTCGGGTGCGTGTGTGTGTGTTGGGAGGTGAAGTGTGTGTGTGTTGGGAGGTGAAGTGTGTGTGTGTGTCTGCGTTGGGGGGGCGGGTGTGTGTGTGTTGGGAGGTGAAGTTGTGTGTGTGTTGGGAGGTGAAGTGTGTGTATGTGTGTGTGTTGGGAGCTGAAGTGTGTGTGTGTTGGGAGCTGAAGTGTGTGTGTGTCTGCGTTGGGGGCGGGTGCGTGTGTGTGTGTGTGTTGGGAGGTGAAGTGTGTGTGTGTTGTGTGTGTGTTTTGGGCGGCCGGGGAGGCGGGTCGCCCCAGCTTTTCATCTCGCTGCCCCTCCCCACCCGCGAGCCCCGCCGGGTCGGGTCCGAGAGCGCCTGTCGGGGTTTGCTGTTGTGGAGAGAAGTTGCGTGCGGTGGGGGGAGGGAAGTGGCCGCCAGGCGACGGGTACGCGTCTTGGGTACGCGCCTTGGGCACCGGAAGCAGCGGGCTCTCCGCACTGCCCGCACCCCCCCAGCTGCTGGCCAGACCCCGCCTCTCGGCTGTTCTCTGGTTACGGGAGGGGGGTCAGTGTGGGCGTGTGCACCTGTCCCTTACCCCTATCGCCTTCCCGGGAGGCCCCCCCGCCCCCGCCCCCCCCTCGCCTCAGCCTGGTCCCGCAAATGACCTTTCTGAGGTCAGGTCTGTGGCCGTGCTGTCCGTCATCAGGCTATTTTATGATGGAGTAGGCAGCTTTCTGCAGCCGTCGAGAAACGCTTTAGTTTTTTCTTTTTTCTTCCCACCGGCGGCTCTGCAAAGTTCTTGAATCGTTTGACAAAAAAAAAAGCGAGGGATTTGGTCTAGCAGAGGAGAAAAGGTGGGCATGGATCATTTCATGCCAAGGCGGGTTGACTGGTGCTTTTTCTTTTTTTTTTTCTTTTTTTTTTTTTTAATAGCCCAGAGTCAGACGTTAGGGCGGTATTATTTTGGTAGGGTTTAAAAGGGATACATGTTGAAGTGTATCGCCTTGTTTTCCAGAAGGATTAACTATCACCAGTTCAAAACATTGAGCAATGGGGCTTTTCTTTTGTTGACTTTCTAAGAACGCAACAGGCCATAAAGTATTCAGTATTTCATGGTGTAAGGGGAAAAAAAATCGCTAAAGGGATTTTCTATTTCTTTTCATCATAAGCAGGCAACAGGTTTGAAGTGTGAAACCCGCGAGGAGCTGCTCATAGCTGTAAAAAGAAGTTTCTAAACAGGTAATTTGATAGATAACATCTATTATAATTGTCCTTTGTACTACGATGCTTGAAGACCTCTCGATCAAGCATATGCCTTATCCTTATTAACCAGGTTGGATATGTGCAAGACAGATGCCCCACCCCTGTCCTGTGGCTCCTCCAGCCCTCCAGTTCCTTTTAAATGTCTCTTACTAGGATTTCTTCAGCCTCTTTGAGTTTGAATTTGCCTTCTAATATAGTAACTATTTGGAGAGCCTCTCTCGAATCCTTTCATCTTTGTGGTTGGTTGCTTGTGTTGGGGGGTGCACAAAGCCAGGGGAGTTGTAGGAATATGATAGTTCAAGGAGTCTAGACGGGGCGTTCGAAATGATCTGGTTGATGGGACTGATGGGATGGACTGTCATCAGTGAGCGAACCCGTGTTGTGATGATGATTGAGATTCTGAGTTGTTGACGGAGGTAGCCGGGCCGATGGATTTGCCCAAGGAGAGGTCTATGTAATGAGTAGAGCAAAGAGGTGATATAGTTGTGTATAAAGAATGTGGAGAGGGGGGCAAGCGATGTGGCAAGTGCAAGCTTTGGGTGATCCTTGGCACCCACATACCTCCTCTTCCCTCTTCCATAGGGTGTGGAGATTTGTGGTCCCTGAACACCAAGGGAAGTGGACTTTTACAACAATTAAAAAAAATGCAGTGGGAGAAGGAGGTCTTTGCAAGCTGAATTTTGTATAGCGGGTATTTACTTGACTTTGTTTGTTTTGGGGCCACACTGGGTGATGCTCAGGGGCTACTTTTGACTCCGCACTCAAGGATCAGTACCTGCAGACTTGGGGGACCATAAGGGATGCCAGGGATGAAACCCTGGCCTGTTATATGCGAGGCAAATGCCTTACCTGCTGTATTATCTCTTCGAGCCCTGACTTTAAGGTTTCAAGCCAGTATTACCTCAAAAATATTTTTTAATTCAATTAAAAAGGGTTTCACTTGACTTTCATAGAAAATAAAACCATGTGGGGGCCAGAGGCTTTTGCTTCCAAATGTATTCAGATACATAAAATACCAAATACTTGGTTATTTTGTGACTAATGTTTAGAAAAATACTATGTTTTCTGCATTATTTCAGTAATTCTTAACTGACTTATAGCTAACTATTAAGAAATAAGGTGCATATATCCAGAGATGGTTATGAGTAATTAATGCAGTTTGAGAAATACTTTGATTTTACTTAAATATTTTTGATTCGGGAGCCACACCCAGGAGTGTTCAGGGGCTACTCCTGGCTCTGTGCTCAGGTGCTTCCTGAACCTCATGCTGTGCTGGAATCGGAAGGTATTGGTCTCATGAAAGGCATGAGCCTTATCTCCTGAACCTTCACGCTAACTCAAGAAATACCTAAATATTAAAGATTTCATAAAAATAATCTTTTTTTAAAATTTCTTAATTTCTTTACATTGTGTTCACATACAGGTGAACTTTGGTTGTGAATTTTTGTTTGTGATCAGATACTTTGGTTGTGATTTTTCTACTTGGATATGCGTACTGCTTCAGATTAAGCATGCTTCAGGATTTTCTTCAAAAAGATGTCACTGAAAGTGGTTACTGAAAGTAGCTTATGAATTGCTTTATGATTTTATATCTTTGTCAGTTGTAGGGCTGGAGTGATAGCACAGCGCGTTGGGCATTTGCCTTGCTCACAGCCAACCTGGGCTGACCTAGGTTCAATTCCTCCGCCCCTCTCGGAGAGCCTGGCGAGCTACTGAGAGTATCGTGCCCGCACGACAAAGCCTGGCAAGCTCCCCGTGACGTATTCAGTATTTCCCAAAACAGTAATAACAAGTCTCACAATGGAGATGTTACTGGTGCCCGCTCAGGCAAATCGATGAACAACAGGACAGTGCTACAGTGCTACAGTGCCAGTTGTAAGACTGAAAAACAGCTTAATTATTAAACATAAAATAATTTCAGCTTTGGGCCGGAGTGATTGGACAGCCATCATGGCACTTGGCCTTGCAAGCAGTCAGTTCTGTTTGGATCCCTGGCACCACATATGATTCCCTGAACTTGGTAGGAATGATCCCTAACCACAGCCAGGAGTAAGGCCTGAGCACAGTTGAATATGACCCAGAAACCAAAAAAAAGAAAGAAATTTCAGCTTAGTTTACTTGGCCATAGCATGGATAGGAGAGGTTATTTAAAGTAGAAGAATTTTACTTTTCTTTTACCCCCATTCAGCTTCTTATCCTGTCATCCATCACACCAGTCTTCCTGACAAAATTTTAGCCTGGGACATTTTCAGTGGAATATTTATACCAAGGCTAATTAGCAGTGCTAGGGAGAAAAATTTCTCTGTTTACATTAGTGATAATCAGAGAATGTTCTCTGCTCACTCCCAAGTCCTTACTTAGTCATTTCATTTTCATCCACTTTTCAAATCTCTGAGACACTGCTCTCTCACTCCCTCATATCTAATGAACAGTCCTTTCTAGTTCACCTTTCCTGTGAACTCTCAATTTTGTATCAACAGATCTGCTAACTAGTCTCCATCCATTCCAATCCAGGAGGAAGCTAACCATTTTTCTTTTTTTTTTTTTAAGTTTTATTTATTTATTTATTTATTGAATCACTGTGGGAAAGGTTACAAAGCTTTCAGGTTTATGTCTCAGTCATGCAAATATCAAACACATTTCCCTTTACCAATACTTATTTTTTACCATGAGGAACCCCAATAAGACCCCATCCCCCGCCCCTCCCAGTCCCTGTGAGGCAGATGAATTCTAGTTAACACTCTATCTGCTTTGATTAGATTCATTGTTTCAATAAAAGATTCACCACTATTATTTAGAGTTTACCCCCCCCCCCCAAATCAGACATGCTGAAAAAACATTGTGAAGTGATTTGCTTTCTACAGCTGGGTTCAAGAATTAAATGTTGGTTTTGGATTTCTGCTATTTGACTTATTGACCCTGGAAGTATTTCTACTGAAAGTCAGATAGTCAAGAAATTGGTTTCTGTGTTCTGGAGTCGTGACCGTGCTGGAGAGCCGCTCGTGGGGGGCAACTGGTGGCCTCGGTAGGGCGTGAAGGGTGGACCGAAACGCCCCCCTTCCCATGAGGTTTTAGTCGCCCCCACACCCCCGGCTCATCTAACCATTTTTCTTATGAGCTGAATCACATTATTCACATTTATCCAGAGGCTACATTGTTTTCTCATTTTCTTTCACTCATGCATCTTCAGTATGTCTCTTTACTAGCCCTTTACCAATAAATTTTAAATTAAAATTTGAGTTTTGAATATATTCGGTGCTTCTATTTTAACAAAACATTTTTTTGGGGGTGATACCTAGTGTTGCACAGGGGTTACTCTTGGCTTTTGCACTCAGGAATTACTCCTGGCGATGCTCAGAGGACCATATGGGATGCTGGGAATCCAACCCAGGTCGACCACGTGCAAGGCAAATGCCCTCCCTCTGTACCATTGTTCCAGCGCCTAACAAAACTTCTTGACCATCTCCACTGACTTCTTTTCACAGATTGATTCCTTGAAAAATTTACCTAATTTAATTTTCCCTCCGTCCATTAATACACACATACTAGTTATGGAACTTATACCATACACCGTTCTGATATTGCTTATGAAGGTAATTGGCAACTTTAGAAATCCAATTTGTAATTGTAATTTCCAAATCCAAGTGGATGCTTTTCAGTCCTTGGTGCTGAAACCTGTCTCCCAAAAAGTGGTTTTCTTGTATGACAAAGTTCTGATATTCTTATGAATCCTTTATAACTTTTCTTCCTTTCTAGGACACTTCTGGTTTCCTTTCTGTCATTCTGTACCTTTTAAATGCTATTTTGATCAGAATACTTCATGGTTCATGGTTCATTTTCAACTTTTTCACTGCTTGAATTACTTTTTTTTTTTTGGCTTTTGAGTTTTTTTTAACTAAAAAATTAAATTTAAAGAACCATAATTTACTAAGTTATTGATAATTGAGTTTTTAAAATTTTTCTGGTTCTGTTTTGTTTCTGTCTTTTTGGGACGTATCTGGTGATGCTCAGTCCTGTCTCTGCACTCACACTCAGTAATTACTCTGGTGATGCTCAGGGGACCATACGGAATTCTGGGAATCACGCGGATGGGCTGTAAGGCGAATGCCTTACCTGGATGTACTATCTCTCCAGCATAGAGCGAACATTGAGTTTTAAGCATGTAATATTCTAGCGCCAATCCCACAACCAGTAGCAACTTCCCTCCATTAATATTCCCACATTCTCTCCTGCACCTCAGCCTGCCGTCTTGACAGGTACATTTTAAAGTTCTGTGATTGTATTTTGTTTTCAGTGTTGTTGAGTCTGGTTTGGACATAGCGTTATAATACCCTCCCACACGTAACCAGTCCAACAGAAGCCCCTGACTCTGTTCCGCCATTAGTTTCCTCTCTTTCCTCCCCCACCTCAGTTTTTTTCTTTCTCTGTCCTTCTGTCTGTACTCTGGGGTCATTAGACTGCTTTGAAGAGTGGTTGAATTAAAAATTATTCTCCTGGGCTGGAGCGATAGCACAGCCGGGAGGGCGTTTGCCTTGCACGCAGCCAACCCAGGTTCGAATCCCATCATCCCATATGGTCCCCTGAGCACCTCCAGGAGTAATTCCTGAGTGCAGAGCCAGGAGTAACCCCTGAGCATCGCCAGGTGGACCCAAAAAGCAAAAAAAAAAAATTCTCCAATTGAGATTTTATTTTTGTTCTGTTTTGATTTCTTGTGTCACAACCAGCAGTACTCAGGGATTACTCTCCCAGGTCTGTTACTTGACGGTTGCCACTGGCTATGCTTGTGCGGACCAGGCAGTGCTGGAAATCAAACCAGGGTTGGCTGCATACAGGACAAGTGCCTTGACTCATATACTTGCTCTCTGATCCTAGATTTCATTTTTGAGAGATCTGCATTTGTCCATTAAGTAGGTCTAATTGAATATACAGTTGACAGCTCAAACCCATCACTTCTGAAACTTAATACTGTTATCTGAAGAAAAACTTGTTTCTTTTTTAGTCATTTTGAATGTATCATCATTCTCTGTCGTTCATAACAGAAACTAGGATTCATCCATGAAATTCACCACCATTATAATAGTGAATTTCTCTTCTCCACATTATAATAGTCCCAAGCCTACTGATTTTGCCACAAAAATTTTGCTCGGCTTCTTTTATAACTAGTATTTTGATGATTGAAAGTTTTTCATTATAAATAATATTTATGATAATCTATATACTATTTGCTCGAGCGGGCCCAGTAACATCTCCATTGGAGAGTTTTGTTGTTACTGTGTCTGGCATATCCAATACTCTCGGTAGCTTGCCGGGCTCTCCGAGAGGGACGGAGGAATCGAACTCGGGTCGGCCATGTTGGCCCTACCGCTGTGCTATCGTTCCTACCCGTTCGCCTTACACGGGAGGGCCTTTATCTTATCTTATCTTATCTATGTACTATATAAATCTAGGTGTTTGTATATAGAATAATGAATAAATTTTTAATGGTGATTTTGAGGTGGTTAGGGAATTCATTATGAAGAGAAATTTTTAAAAAATAGGAGAAGTGACTCACCCTTATATTCTTTCTAACGTAGTCAATTATTTTATAGCTGAATATTAGTACTGATTGTTCCATATATATAGTTTTTGGTGGTGGTGATGGGGATCATACTTCTAGGGTCTTAAAACATGCAAGGCAAATGCTCTACTGTTGCTCCATTCCCAACCTGTGCAAGTGATTTCTTTACCGTGGTTTTTTCTTTTTTTTCCCCTTTTTGGGTCACACCCAGCTATGCTCAGGGCTTACTCCTGGCTCTACACTCAGGAATTACTCCTGGAAGTGCTTGGGGGACCATATGGGATGCCAGGGATTGAACCTGGGTTGGCCACTAGTGCAAGACAAATGCCCTACCCACTGTACTATCACTCTGGCCCGTATTGGGTATTATTAAACATTCTCATTGTATTTAAATCACAGTGTTAAGAGTAGACAATTGATTATGTTTTAAGGGTTTTTTATTATTGTTTTTTAACAGTGCATAGGTATTTAGCCCAGGGCTTAACACAGTGCAAGGCAGGTGCTCCACTTGCTGAGTTATTTTGAGTTTATTTAGTAAATCAGCTTTTAAAAAGATTCTAAAAATAATTCATTAATTTTTATTTAACTTTAGGTACATAATTTTAAAAAATGTTTTAGAAACTTAACAGTATTCAGTCTGTGAATAGATCTTTTAAAAGATCTTTTTGTGATATAAAAATACAAAGTAAAATATTGTTTCTCTAGATACATTATTAGTATATTTATTAATAATATAGATAGTAGTACATTAAGGGGTAGTCTCCCAAGCAGTTCTCAGGGACTTGGGCACCACTCAGAAGTTTTCAGGCAGTGGACTCATGGGTAGGGTTTGGGTATGGTTATGCTTGGGGCCTGCTATGCTGGGTATTACTTGCAGCAGTGGTTGGGGCCATAAGGTGCCAGGGGTCCACAAACAAGACACACACTTGAATCCTTGTGATACTTCTCCAGCTCCCAAACTTTTGTTTTAATCTTGCCACAGTTCTTTCCAGAATGGTTATGTCAGTTTTACCTTTGCATCAGTGACTGAGAGTTTGTTTTCCTTTACTGCATTAGGATTAGGTAATAATGAAAAACATATCAAATTATAAAAATTTAGTATGGTAAATACCTTACTTTAGTTTGTAGCTGATATTTATTATAAATACTTTCATCTTATGTTTTCTGGGGGCTGTGTGTTTTGACTGGAGTTTTCTTGAGTCTTTTAAATAAATTCTTTGTGGACTGGGCATGTGGTTCAATAGCAGAGTTCATGCTTTGATCCATAAGACTTGGTTTCTTCAATCCAGGAGAGTGCAATGAAAAAAAAATATAGTAAAGCAGTACAGATTTTTTTGTTTGTTTTTCTTGTTGCTTTTTGTTTTTGAGTCACATCTGGTGGTGATCACGGCTTACTTCTGGTTCTGCACTCAGGGATCAGCCATGGTGGGCACTGGAGACCATATGTGGTGCCGGGGATTGAACCCCAGTCAGCCGTGTACAAGGCTAGCACCCTACCTGCTCTATAGTCTCTCCAGCCTTCAAACACATACAGCATACCTTGTATTCAGTTTTTTTCCCAGTTTTTTTGCTTGCTCTTTATTCTCTGTATACCTTAGATTAATTTTATGTGATTCTTTTTATTTCTGCATTCCAAATTTGTAAGAGTTCTAGTTTTTAAATTCATTCTGGTTTTTTCCTAGTTCAATTTTTTCTTCTTTTTTCTATTTTTAGTCTACTTACTATATTTGTGTTAAGGTTAGAGGTAGCTCATCCACCACCCTCCAGTTGGGAAAGAATTAAACTAATGTTCTAAGGCATTATTGCTTATTGCTAATTACTTTTCTCTCTGTTTGGAATGGTACTTGGTATGTACCACCCTTGGGTGAATTGAGAAAACAATCAATTTAATTTACTACTAAATTGTCTCAGTTAAATAATTCTGCATGATGGAATTGTGAGGATTAAATGTTAGCCATAGTTAATTTTTTTATTAGACTTCCTAATTGATCATATTTGAGGGTTTTTCTTTTGGAGATGCTACTAATATTAAAATTTGAGTATAAAACAGTGCTAATATTTATATTATTTCCCTTATTATCTTTCTCTTAAAAGTATGTTATTTTATAGAGTTTAATCGTATTTAGTCATAGGGCAAAGTGTGTTATTCCTAGATACATTGTTTTTGATCCTGGTATAAATGGGAAAAATTTTGGATTTTATTTATTTTGTATTTATTTTATTATTTATTTTATTAAGTGCATCAGCTGCATAGAAGCATTATAAATTTCAGCCATTTGAGTTACCTCCTAACTCAGGAATTAGCGTGCCTATTAAACTTACTGACCCTTTGGGTTGTTTTTGTTTGTTTTTAGTTCTGGTGTCATATCCAGCAGTGCCCAGGACTTACTCCTGGCTCTGTGATCTGGGATCACTCCTGATGAAGTTTGGGTGACCATATGGAGTGCCAGGGATTGAACCTAGGAAGTGCCCTGCATGCTGCACTTTCTCTCCGCATTGTTTGGATTTTCAAATCATAGCAAATTGGTTTTTATTTCCTCAATATCCTTTGGTTGGTGGTGGTGCTTGGAAAATAGAAATATATTATAAGCCTTGTAGCTAATAGGTTTTCTTGCCCCTTGAGTTATTGATAAAATTATCTTACCATCTCATCTTTTACCCATTGCCCCCTATAACTATCAGAGTTCCATATTCAGTGGCAATCCAAAGTCTTTCACAAGATTATTAATGATTCTTGGGATTCAACAGTGGTTTCACAGTTGGAAAGCAGGTGCATTTTACAAACACTGACCATCTGTGGGCCCTAGGACATCACTGTCCTTAACTACTGTGTTTCTGGTTTTTATTTGTCTTTCACTTGGTCTTGCTTTTCTTTTTCTGTTGTTTTGTTTTCGGCTTGTTTTATTTATTTATTTATTTATTTATTTTGGCCACATCCAGCTGTGCTCAGAGCATACTCCTGGCTTTGCACTCAGGGATCACTCCTGGTAGGCTGGGTTTCATGTGAGATGTTGGTGATTGAACCCAGGTCAGCCATATTCAAGGCGGTTGCCCTGCTTGTTGTACTATTGCTCTAGTTCCTAATCTTGTTTTTTTCTTTGCCATTGCCTCTTCTGCGTTTCTTCATTACTTTTCTTTATATTTCATGTTCGCACATAAGCCCACCAAATGTCTTTGGAGTATGTTTCTTTTCTAAGAATGTGATTTGATTTTTAGATACTAATAGCTTTACTCTATAAATGAGGACTGGGTTAATAATTCAGAGCAGCACTCTAGTATGCAAAATTAGTATCCTTAGGATACTCTGAGATTTTCCTCCTCATCACACCAACTAAGTACTTAACTCATATGGCTGCTGTATATAAATTGGTTATGTTTGTAATCTTGGTTGATAGTACTTATATATAAATACCTTTTCTAGGATTCCTTAAAGCTTCACAGTATAGTTAAAAAAATTGAACTTGCTGTTACCTGTTAAAAACGTTAGTTTTCATCACTTTTTGCAGAAAACTATTGAAGCCAATATGGCCACAGGAGGAGGTCCTTTTGAAGAAGGAATGAATGATCAGGATTTACCAAACTGGAGCAATGAGAATGTTGATGACCGTCTGAACAATATGGTATGGTATCTTACTATTGATGGCTAGATAACTAGTCAGGGGACAGTGCAACTGGCTCTTAAGTCAGGTGACTGCAACTTTCCCCAGACTAAGAGAAGTTGTACTCACAGAAACTCTTTTCTACTCACAGTATATATAGCTGTCCAGTATAGACCCAACACTACTACAAAAATATTTCTGTTTGCATGTATTATCACCGGTTTAAATTGTTTTTAAAAGTTTGTGTTTAAATTTAAGCCAAAAAGGAGCTTTGTTATAAGTACATAAAAATGTTTTGTGGAAACAAGCTAAATAGCTTTACTGTAGACTTATAAATGAACTAGAAAGTTCTCATAAAGAACTTTCTTTCACTACCATGATACTTTTCTGATTCCCTTCTTTTTTGAACAACTTTTTCTTTACTGACAAACTTTTTCTCTTCTCTGGTGCATGTGGTATGTTGCCCTCTTTAAAAAAAAATTAAATTTATAACTGCAGGTATAGACTGAACAGCTTTCTCTTAGCTCCAAGTTGAAATTTAAATTTTATTTCTGCTTTGTACTATACCTGGCCATTGCCTTGTTTGGTGCTTGGAGGATCATGCAGTGCTGGGGATCTAGCCCAACCTGCATGCAAAACATGCAATTTTAAAGTATGGTTATCCTGATATGGATTAGATATGCAACTTTTTTCCTGTCATCTCTGACCAGGATAAAATGAGTTAAGCAGTACAGGAGATTTGCAGGAATACCCACTCATGAATTATTATGGAGTAACAGTTTGAAGAGAATGGAGTTTTATTAAAAATAAGGAATATATCCTAAATGGTTTTACTAATAATATAACAGAAGGAATGTTCCTCTATGGGTAATGTAGGAATTCATACATATTTTTGTTGAATGTGTGAGTATATACTAAGAATTTTCTGTTCAGTTAGGTCTTAGGTAATAATGTTACCTATAAGAAAATAATAGTTATATTTATTGCTTAATGTAGGCACTTGCGCTAAGATGTTTTATATGTTATTATTTTTTTCTTGTTTTGCTTTTTGGGTCACACCCATCGATGCTCAGAGGTTACTCCTGGCTCTGCACTCAGAAGTTACTCCTGGGGGTGCTCAGGGGACCATATGGGATGCTGGGGATTGAACCGGGGTTGGCTGAGTGCAAGGCAAATGCTCTACCAGCTTCACTATTGCTCCAGCCCCTTATGTGTTATTTTTAATTGTGTTTTAAAGGTGATACTATTTTAGAGATTAGGAAACAGACTGTGGGAAGTGAAATTGCCAGGGGCTGCATTTCTTTAGAAAACAGTAATTACTTTAAGCCCAGGTTGATTCCAGATCTGTCTTCTTATTATATACTGAATTTAAAAGGAGGCCAGGGAAGGTATGTCTAAATTTATATAACTGTTTAATTTATAAATAATAAAGAATCTTCTTTATTTTTTTTAGTTGTAAAAATATTCAGACTAATTCTGGTGTTGGAGATAGGGATTTATATTTGTAATCTGTGATAGAATAAACTTTTCTTTCTTTTTTTTTTTGCTTTATGGGTCCACCTGGCGATGCACAGGGGTTACTCCTGGCTCTGCACTCAGGAATTACCCCTGGTGGTGCTCAGGGGACCATATGGGATGCTGGGATCAAACCCGGGTCGGCCGCGTGCAAGGCAAACACCCTACCCGCTGTGCTATTGCTCCAGCCCCAGAATAAACTTTTCTTAAAGACAATTTAGATTACATGTAAAAGGGGACAAGTGGGTTAATAAGAGTAAACAGTTGTCTCTAGGAACATTATATATGTATAAGTATATATATATATATATATATATGTATGTGTGTTTATTTATTGGCTTTTTGGGGAGGGACCACACCTGGCTATGTTCAGAGCTTACTCATGGCTCTGCACTCAGGGATCACTCTCAGAGGACTGTACGTGGTACTGGGATTCAAACCCAGAATGCCTGCATTCAGCGCAAGTGTCTTACCCCACTGTCTATCTCTTCAGCTCCCAGGACCTTATGTTTATGTGAAAAAAAAATGCCATTTTTTTTTCATTCTATGATCAAAAATTTTTAAATATATCCAGTATATTTAAAATACTAATATTTCTATTCTAATATTTCTATTAGTTTGATAGATGCTAGAGGTTCAACTTCACTTTTTTTTTTTTAAAGGATTGGGGTGGCCAACAGAAGAAGGCAAATCGATCATCAGAAAAAAATAAGAAAAAGCTTCCTGTAGAAAGCGATAAAAGGGTCACTAATGACATTTCTCCAGAGTCATCACCAGGAGTTGGAAGACGAAGAACAAAGACACCACATACAATTCCGCATAGTAGATATATGACCCAGATGTCTGTTCCAGAGCAGGCAGAATTAGAGAAACTTAAACAGCGAATAAACTTCAGTGATTTAGATCAGGTTTGTGAAATTATTTTTAAAAATTAAGTTATGTCGATTGGAAATATTTGAAGTAGATTAAATAATTTTTTTAAGAATGAAAATTAAGTTATATGTTTGTTTCTATGCATATAAAATAATTTTAATCATTGTTGATGGTATTTTCTTTGAAGGGCAGGGAATTTTTTTTTTTCTTTTCTTTCTGTTGAATGGTGCTTGGTCCACCCTGGCTCTACTCAGACCCAATCCTGTATATGCCAGGTATGTGCTTGACCCCCTTGAATTATTTCTCCAGCTATAAGATGGTGAAATTTGCTAAGGACAAATTTTTTTATTATTATGTCTTTTTATGATTATGACTAATTTTATTTTGAAATTAAATTTTTCATGCTAGTAAATGCATAAGATTATTGTTAAAAGGGAACATTCAGTTTAGAATATTAATCACTGCCCAAGTGGTAAATACATGCTGGATTGCTTCAGGTATAGAATAAAACTACGCTTCAGGTATAGTTTTACTTATAAACTCTGAAATATTCAAGATTAGGACCAAAAGCAAGTTAAAAGGATAATGATCAGTGAATGTAACTTACATCTATCCTTTGCAGAGGTAAACAGTTTCTACCTATGTATATAGGCAGATTCAGGTTTGGTATGTTGGTGATGATCATGTATCTTTCTGCCAACTCTGCAGTGCTATGTGCAGATGTTTATAGTGTTGGTTTATTGGGTCCTGCATATAAAACTCTGTTAACAACTAGTAGTATGAGTCATAAGTAGGTTCTATATTATTTCTAAGTTTTTCATTTAGGCTAATCATACTCACTCGTTGAATTGTCTCACAAAATTGGTAACATAGCAAGACCAATCAAATTGTGATACTTTAGTAAAATAATTTGTTACAATAAATTTGTAATTTGAAGGTCTTTCAACACTTGCAAATCTTATTTATATGCTTACCTCCTGAATCAATATCTGGTGGTGAAATTAATAACAGGAATTTTTTTCTTTTGGAGTTTTTAAAAATTATTCAAAAATTAATGTTTGTGGTAATTGATCTCTTTTTTATATATATATAGAGAAGCATTGGAAGTGATTCACAAGGTAGAGCAACAGCTGCTAACAACAAACGTCAGCTTGGTGAAAATCGAAAGCCCTTCAATTTTTTGCCTATGCAAATTAATACTAATAAAAGCAAAGATGTTGCTCCAAGTCCTCAAAATAGAGAAATAATTGCATCAGCACAATGTAAAGAATTATTTACTTCTGCTTTAAGTAATGACCTTTTGCAAAACTGTCATGTTTCTGAGGAAGATGGGAGAGGAGAGCCTGCAATGGAGAGCAGTCAGGTGATAAAATTTGTTTAATTTTAGGGAGCCAGAGAGGTAAGGTGCTTGCTTTATATGCGGCAGTCCCGGATTTGATGTAACTTACATCTTAGATACGTTCCCGGTGCCCCTGTGGTCTCCTAAGCCTCCCAGGAGTGATTTTTGAGTGCAAAGCCAGGAATAAGCTCTGAGCACCACCAGGTGTGGCACAACACCAACAAAAGAAATCACGTTTTTTCTTTGATTCTTTGTTTTGTATATCTTCAAGTATAAATATTATAACATGTTTTTTTGATGGGTGGGGGAGGCACAAACTACATTGTTACAAACATTGGAATTTCAGGTAGATCAGATAGTTTTCTGATCGTCATTCCCCACTTAAGTATAAGATTTATTCAGAATTATCTTTTTATCTGAAATGATGATAGAAATGCACATCCAGATAAAGTTAGGTTTCTGTTCCGAACTGGTTTTTATAAGGGGGGAACTGGGAGAAATCATTTGTTGGAAGGTTTTCTTTTTGAGGGCTTTCCTCAAGTTTCTTAGGAGGCCTAGGGCCATTTTTGGTCAATCAGGCTAGCAGTTTAATACTTGGCCTGAGGATGTCTAGCTGCTTAAGCTTTACAGTTCAGGGTTTACCCGGACCACCTGGCAATATTTAGGGACTTCCTTGGCCACACCCTGAAGTACTTGGAGGCCAGCAGTATCATACTTGAGAATACTCCTGGGAACCATATGGTTCTAGGGATTGAACCAAGATTGATTGTGTGCAAGAAATGCAAACTCCTGTAGTCCTGAAAGAAATTTTTTTAATGTTGATGTATTTTTTAAAAATTACTTTTAAAATACATTTATAAAGAAAATCATAAATAAACATTAGAAGTACTGTTTTCTGTATAGTTCTATTATTGAAGATAATTTAAATAGTAATTGCAGTTATTACTGTTAGAGTTATTTCTAAGTTTGATTCATTTTTTTCATATGTATAGACTATTTTTTGGTTTTTTTGGGGGGCCACACCCAGCTGTGTGCTCAGGGATTGGGACAATATGGGGTATTGGTGATAGAACTTGGGTTGACTGCATGCAAAGCAAGCGTCCTACTCACTGTATTACCTCTCTGACTCCTTTTACGATTATATTTGAAAATTTTAAAATATCTTTAAAACTATTGCTCTTAAATGAATTGCACTCAGTTTTCATATTAATGCTTTAAAAAATGTTTTTTTCTTTGCAGATTGTAAGCAGGCTTGTTCAGATTCGTGACTATATTAATAAAGCTAGTTCAATGCGGGAAGATCTTGTAGAGAAAAATGAAAGGTCAGCTAATGTTGAGCGCCTTACTCATCTAATAGATCACCTAAAAGAACAGGAAAAGTCATATATGAAATTTCTCCAAAAAATTCTTGTAAGTTTTGTGCTTTTTAAGTTCTGTATTAGATTATTTTTATAGTATGTTGATGCTGATGATAATCTGGTGCCATCCCAGAGGAGTTAATGTGTTTTTTAAAAACCATGCCTTCCATTATAAAATTTATTGCCCTTTTTAATAGTTGTATGATTTATACCACTAAAATATTTCAGGCTAGAGAAAATGAGGAGGAGGATGTTCGGACTATAGATTCAGCTGTGGGATCTGGTTCTGTAGCTGAGAGCACATCGCTAAACATAGATGTGCAGTCTGAGGCTTCAGATACCACGGTAAGCGGCTTTTTGGTAATTAAAATGCTGGAAATGAAGATTCAAAATTTTCCCCCATTTTCCACGATGGTATTTTTAATAGGCATTCCTTAATAAAAATTGCATTTCAGGGAAGAAACCCTCACATTGTTAATGCTGTATGAAATGTGGAAGCTTAAATATTTTATTAACAATAAGATAAGTTTTAGGGCCAGAGTGTTAGTACAGCAGGTAGGCCACCGGCCTCTTAGTGGCAGACTGGGGCTGGATTCCTGGCATCCCATCTGGACCCCCCACACACCACCAGTATCTGAGCACCACTGCATGTGGCCCAAAAACCAAAAAAAAAAAAAAAAGTAATTTTTAGCTGATAAAAAATCTAATAATTATTGATCCACAACTTATAGAAATTCAATTTTTCTAATTTTGTAGATGCAAAGGCTTAGTACAATGTGTTATCAGTGACTGCTTAGTTTCCTGTTTTTTTTTGAAAAGTTCATTTACCATTATTAACTCATAAAGCCAATAATTTTTTCTTCTCAGGTTAACCTACAGCTGGTAAAATCAGATGTGTAGAAAATTGAGATGAAGACTAGAAAATGGGGTAGGATAGGAATTTTCATTGTGATTTGTTCTCAGTGGAGAAAAATACTTTGTGCAAAATGAAAAATTACTGTCTTTGGCAGAATAATGAGTTTGCAGAACTTTAAGGAAAGTTACAAAATCAATTTGCAGTCCGTGTCCTTCCAAAACCAGTCACGGTCACGGTCACGGTCCTCCCGTTATTCATCAATTTGCTCGAGCGGGCCCAGTAACGTCTCCATTGGAGACTTTGTTATTACTGTGTCTGGCATATCGAATACTCTCGGTAGCTTGCCGGGCTCTCCGAGAGGGGCGGAGGAATCGAACTCGGGTCGGCCATGTTGGCTGCGTGCAAGGCGAACGCCTTACCCGCTGTGCTATCGCTCCAGCCCTCCAAAACCAGTATGCTTTTAAAACATTTTTACTTCTATTGATTCACATGCTTAATACCAAGGAAACATTTCTTTTGAAAGGAAAGCCATGTATGACTACTGAGATATGTTCCAAAACAAGATTCAGCATTAGAAATTTGAGGGTTTGTTTCCTTTTAGTATTAACTTGCAAGTTTTCTATGTGCCTCCTCTTCCTTCCCTGTCATTCTTGACTTGAGAAATTTGAATTTTTATTTCTATACTGTTTTCAACAGAGGATACTCAGCTTATTCTAACAATTGTTCATGGATTCTATTGTGGGAAAATGTCTTTTTGTTTTCAGTGGTGCTGGGAAAAATTTCTTCCTCATTAATGGAATGGATTGGGGCATATTGTGGTTAAAGGAATTTTTTTGCAGGATTGGGTGGGGGTTAGGAAATGGTATCGGTTTATAATTGTCATTTTTAGTGATCAATTAATGAGATACAGTTTATAATTTTAAAATGACAACTAAATTTGATTAATAATATGGCAGAATAACTTAAAATGTTTCAGCAGTTGAATAAATTGAAACTTGCCTAGTATATAATAATTCAGTTAAAATAATAGTCTAATCTTATTAAAGTCTTAGATTTCTGTTTGGGGGAGGGTGGGTTGAAATTTTTTATTTTTAAGATGGACTGGTAAAATTTTTGTATTTATAAGGCTGGCTTATATGTTAAATAGAAGTTTATGTTAAGAAATTAATATGCTACACTATTTAATAAAGGAGGCATCTTTTAGTCTGAGAATTCGGCCGTGCATTGAGGACAAACTAGGGAATTCAGCTTCACAGGAACAGGTTTCAAACATTGCCGTTACTACAAGTCCAAAAGGGAAAGGTGACAGACCTGCTCAGAATGACAGGGAACTGAGGCCTAATAGGAACTATAGCCGAAAACGTGGATGTCCCTCAAAGGTATACTTCACAATATTAACTTGGGAAGCCTCTAAATAAGCACCTCTTCTGTTGTAGCTAGTCTTTATTTGCTTTTCTGTTGTTTCTGTTATTGTTAAGTCTTCATTAAAAATGGTATCCCGTAATTTGCTGTACTAAAATTCTGTCCCTTTAAAATCTTACCTGCTTTCTTACATTTCTCCCCACGGAGCATATGCAGCTGCTATTTTGAATTTGCATTAACAAGGGATTTGAAATTTTATCCATTTGCTTTTTTATTTATTTATTTTTTTGCTGTTGAAGACTCAAAATATGTCGTGTTCTTAAACTTTGGCCATTTTGTTTTAGTTTTGCTTTGTTTTTGTAGTTCTTAGGCTTAAATCTAGGGTCTCATACGTGAGGCAGATGTTCCACTGCTGAGCCACATCCCTGGCCATTAGTGCTTTTTGGTATTTGTGTTCACCTGTGTTCAAGATATAACTGTCAAGCTTTTAGTTATTAATGACAAAACAGAGATAGCTATTTGTTTTCTTGTTATCTTAAGACTAAAATATTTCTACAGTGTTTATTGGTTTATATTTTTTGTTTCTGTTATAAGCCCTGTATCACTGCCCTCCCGTTGTTCATGAATTTGCTCGAGCAGGCCCAGTAACGTCTCCATCGTGAGATTTGCTGTTACTGTGTTTGGCATATTGAATACATCACGGGGAGCTTGCCAGGCTTTGCTGTGTTCGATTCCTCCGCCCCTCTTGGAGAGCCCGCAAGCTACCTAGAGTATCTCGCCCGCACGGCAAAGCCTGGTTATAAGCCCATTTATTCTTTTTTCCTTTTTAGACACTTACCCAGTTGAATTGTTTAACTAATGTTTTTCTGTTTGTTTTTGTGTTTTTTTTTTATAATCCAGTGTTCAATGTTTTTCTTTTATTTTTATGTGGGTTGCAGAAAGGCACTCAGAAAAGATTTTTTAAAACAACTGTAGTTCTACTTAAAACAATTTGAGTAAAAAAATAATGGGTAAAAGTGTTCATTTTTATTTTTCAAGTGTAAGGCACCATCTAATATTTAAATTAGACTAAACTAATATTTTTAATTAATAGTTATTAATAGAAGTAATCTGTCTCCGTTTAAGTTGATATTTTTATATGTTGTTGTGACTGTTTAAGACAACACTTAATAACTTTTAGGTATTTTGATATTCCCTTATCTCAACTACTTCAAGTCCTCAGCTCCCACAAAAATTAAGAAAATACAATTTGAAATCAGCTGTGGTGAGCATACTATAAAGTGTTTTAAGTTGTCCCAGTTCAGTAGAAAAGTAAATACTAAGTAGTTGCTAACTTTTACAGGTTTTTAAAAAAATTAAGATGGTTTTTTGAGGGCCCTAACCCCAGCTGTGCTCAGGGCTTAATCTTGACTCTGCTTAAAGGTCATCCCAGGTATTGCCTGGCTGCTTAGGGTGGGTGGAGGGCCAACCATATGCATTGTGGGGATTCAGACTTGGGTTGGCTGCTTGCAAAGGAAGCACCCCCCACTGAATTATCTCTAGGGCCCTGCTGATTATTTTTAAAGCTAGATGCATTGGAGAAGAGAAAGCGAGCATGAAATAATATATTTTAGAATTTACTATTCTCCAGTTTCCTGAATGACAAGGAGTTTACACTACTATATCAACCAATGTCAATTTTTCTAAGGTGTTAAATTTATTTTTAATGTAATGTTTTTCTAAATTTCTTTGAAGGATATCTTTACAAATACTCTCTCTTGAACCTACTTTTTGGAGTTAGTATCATTGTGAATTCTCTTTAGTCTATTGATTCCCAGGGCCATCTTAAGATCTTTCTATCAGAACTCTGCTTATAAAAATGATCTTTAGGACTAGGGGTATAGCTCAGCATTTGACCTTCTAACTTTGTATGTTGTGAGACCCTGTTCAATCCCCAGGACTGAAAAAAAAAAGTTGTTTTTTTTTTTTTTTTTTACATTTTTTGGCCGTACTCCGTGATGCTTGGGGATTGAACCTGGGTGGGCTGCATGCAAAGCAAATGCTCTCCCTGCTCTACCGTCATTCTGGCTCGGGGAAAAAAATTTTCTAGAAAAAAATTTTATTATCACCATATTTTTTCTGTGCTATGAAGTTTCCCCCTGCCTGATTTTTATTCCTTCAGCAGCTTTCCAAAATGTATTTGTCAAAAGAGTAGGAAAAAGTAGAGGTCTTAACTAAAATTAATAAGTTCTTGACCTTGTGAGTTAATAGCTTCTAACCCAACATCTGTACATTGCTTTATTTTCAGAATGAAATTGCTTAAGTTGCAAAGTGATGTGAAATGATTTATATTTTCAAGTTGCCTACAAGGACAGAGTCTATTCTGTAGGATATCTTAACAGAGTAGATATTTTACATAGTTTTAAGTTTGTTATTATTTTTTTTTATTACTGTGTATGGGGTTTGAACCCAGGACTTCCCACATATAAGGCATGTATTCTACCACTGAACCATACCTCTGGATCCCATTATGCATATATTTAATTTTAGGGTCAGTGGTGCTCAGTGCTTACTCCTTGCTCTGTACTTGAGAATCACTGCTGGCAGACTTGAGGAACCATATGTAGTGCCAGGGACCAAACCCTGACTGGCTTCTGCCAAAATTTTAAAAGAAATCTTTTTTAGTACCTAGGACCTCATTCTTTGCCCATATCTTCATTCTCAGTACTTTTATTTTTGACTTTCAGACCATACCTGGAAATGCTCAGTGGTTACTCCTGGCTCTGCATTCAGGAATTACTCTTGGTGATGCATGGGGGACCATATAGGATGTTGTGAATCAAACTCGGGTCAGCCATGTGCAAGGCACATGTACTGTCACTGTACCGTGTACCTAGTGTACTAGTACTCTGGTCCCTTCCTACCCCAAACTTAATCTCAGCTCTTAGGAAAAAAAATTTTTTTTTTTTTATGTATAGCATCTATGCTGTTGTTAGGGCTGTTTTTCTGATTTCTGATTTTATTTGGAAACTTTTTTTCCAAACTAAATTACGCTTAGACTTCTTACTAGAACACATTTAAGCATATAATTTTGTAGGAGGCAATACGGTATAGAGATGTATGAGAATTTGACAGTCTAACATTTCCCAATTGAAATATTGGCATATCACAGTTTGTCTTCTAGCAGTATAAAACTTTTCACATTACACATGAAAAAGTTGGAGTACTTATTGTCTGTACTGTTTTCAGCTATAATGATATACTTGTATCTGTGAAGAATATTGTTTTGTTTTGTTTTGGTTTGGGCCACACCTGAGCGTGTTCAGGAAAGTCCTGTCTCTACTCGGGCATCATTCCTGGCAAGACTAGGGAACCTGTATTGAGTGCCTGGAATTGAACCTGGGTCAGCTGAGTGCAAGGCAAATGCCCAACCCCCTGTACTCTCTCTCCAGCCTGTCCTGGGAGAGTTTTTCGAGAAGCATTTATTAGAGGAAAAGACTGAGGGTTTTCAAAATCAGGCTAAGATGTCATGCCAGAGACTTTTAATCTGTGAACTAAAAGTGAACTTACTGAACGTGACTGAAAAGAGTAGATAATAACGTTGTTTAAGTGAGGAGATGGTCTTGGCTTGCTTTTAGGATTAGTAATATTATCCTTTTGAATTTTTTTTTTTCTGAGTGTGTTTTTTGGTGATTCACTGGATCTAACCCAAGCCTCATTTTGAAGGCAAGAGCTTTCCCACTCATCTCTCCCCAGCCCCTGGTTATTTTTCTCCCTCTCTTTTTTATTTCTATCTATTCTCTATTATTATGTTTTTGAGGGAGGGGGATTGGGCCACACTTGGCTTTCTCCTGGCTCTGTGCTCAATGATAACTCTTTACTCTTGGCAGTGCTCAGGTGACCATTATGTGATGCTGGGGATCGAACCAGGGTCAGTGGCATGCAAGGCAAGTGCCTTTACAGTCCGTTTTTAATCTCTCTGGTCTCGTCTTTTGATTTCTGTTTTCTCATCTTCCGTTTCTTTATATTTGATTGTGTTACCCACCTCCCTCCCTCAGTATAGCTTTTCTAGGTGTTAGTCTAGGAATTAGTTGTTCACATGGATGTAAAATTTAATGAGCAGTAAAGTAAGTTTATTTTGAAAATTATTAGGGTTTTATATGTGGATTAATGAAAAATTCGAAATTTAATAGTTAAGAATTCTAAATTGGAGTATCAGATTTACAAATAAGTGTGACTAACACAGATTAGAGTTATTTTTTTAATGCATGATATTGTTCTGTAAACTCTTTAAAATTGTATCATTTGCAGCTACTTCTGGTTGATCCTCCTTAGATCCTGGGTATCATATATGGTTCAGAGCACCACCCGGGGTTGCTTCATGGAGCACAGGGCCAGGAATAGCTCCTGAGCACCTCCTAGTGTCACCCTAAATTCCTGTCCCCCCCAGATAAATAAATTGTTTGGTTTTAAGGATACCTTGAGAGTGCATCCTAAACAATTTTTAAACATGAGAGTAGTATAATGGAGGTGGAAAAGTGAATTCTTGAAGCTTTTCTTCCCTCAGTGATTTTTGTTTTATTTGCATTATTTCTCTTCTAATTAATTCTCAATGATTTTGCACAAGGATTTGATAGGTATAAACCTGGGGTAATTTCTCTAAGTCATTCCATTGAAGTCTGTAGCTGTTTGTGTCTGATTTACATTTCAAATTATTGATGAAATTATTTTGAAGTAATCTGAAAGGGATAACTACTGGTACGTGTCCTTTCCCATTCAAATAGTGAGGGGTCATTAGTCTTCAGATAGCCAGAACTAAAGATACATTTTCATTGTAGTGAATATAAATTTTAATCATTTAACTCCCCCTTTTTTTTTTATTTTGGGAGAGAACTGAATAATCAGATTCTTTGAAAAGGGCTTTAGTTTATTGAAAATTCGAGGTAAAAGAAGATCTCAGTACTGATAGGTAAATTTACTGATAGGTTAATTCTTTTTCTGTGTTTATGAAATCGAGTTGATCTGTGAGAGAGAACACTGGGGCACTATGAGTGTCAGATACTCCAGCCCCGCTTTTTCATCTTTTCCTACCTTCAGTTACTTTATTCTGAACAAAGCGCTTATTTTTCACTTTAATTTTGGTTGCTAAGTCACAGTGTAAAATGTTCCCATAAATTATTCACTCTTATACATAATACTAATGAGTTCTGGTTGGTTAAGTAAAAGGGGGATTTTTGTATAGGATTGGTAAAGGAAGTTCACCCAGGAAATTTTCTTGAGCCATTTGTTTTCACCATAATTTCTCTAGAAATGAAATGTACATAGAGAAAGCACATCAGTGCGTTTTACTTTCAAAAGAGACTTGAACTTTAAAATTTCCCCTTAGTAGTAGCTTTCATTGGAGAGATCGTCATTTAAAATCCACCTTAAAAAAAAAAATCGACATAACCCCAACAGAAATTTCACAAATGGGATGGTGGGGAAAACTCAAAGCGTTTGCATGCTGGAGACCCAGGTTTGATCCTTGGCACCACAGGAGTCTAATAGGTGTGCCCCCTCCTCCCCCCAGCCAACACAATTTGATAATAATGAAAACCAAAAAATGAGCTAGTTTAAATATTTAATGTAGACATTATGTAAAAATAGATTTTTAGGGGCTGGAGTGATAGAGTGGGTAGGACTCTTCTTGCCTTGCACATGGCCAACCAGGATTTGATCCCTGGTGTCCTGTATGGCTCCCCAAGCCCCACCAGGAATGATCCCTAAGTACAGAGCCAGGTGTAAACCCTCTGAGCACCACTGGGTGTGGCTCAGAAACTCAAACCCAAACCAGACACAAAAATTCTTGAGGCTGTAGAGCTAGAGCATTGCCAGGAGTAACTCCTGAGTGCAAAGCCAGAAGGAAGCCCTGAGTATCACTGGGTGTGTCTTAAACCCCCCCCCCAAAAAAAAAAACTACCTTTAAAATGTAAGTTTAAAGAGTCAAGTCAGTGATTAAAAGTATCATAGTATGTCATTTGTCAATAGTTTGGTTTATTTGTTTTCAAGGTATATTTAAGTTTCTCTGGTATTTTTTTTTAGGTGGGGGTGGTTAGTGTTTGACTAGCTTTTGTGTCTTTTGTGGGGGTTACTCAGGAGGTCTGGGGACCATTCCCTAGAGATGCTTATGTAATGGTTCAGCTCAGGACCTGGAGGATGCCGTAGTGCCCAGGCAGTGTTGGCGAATACTAGGGTCACCTTGGCAGTATGGAGGCGGGGGAGAAGGCGTCTAAGGACTGCTTGACTGTGTGCTGTTGGGATCAATCTGGGGTTGGTCACGTATGCACTAACTGTCCCATCGGTCTCACAAATAATTTTACTTAAATTTTGATAAATTCTTAAAAATTGGCATTTGTTTTTATTTTACGTTTCTTTGGGCAAAATGATAAATTTAGCTTTTAGGGAGAAATTTCAGAGTATTCTGTGTCCTCTTAACTCAGTTAAAGTGAGCGCTTGCGGTAGCGTGGGAGCACAAACCTGAGTAGCTCAGGACTATTTATTTGCTCCAGCATTCGTCAGTAGAGACCCCTGGCAGTTCTCAGGGTGCCAGGGATTTGAACCAGGGTTGTAGCTTCCACAGCTCTTGTGAGACAAATGCCTTCCCTCCTATACTCTCTGGCCTCTAAAATAAAGTATTTTTTTTATTAAGAAAAAGAGATCTTTGATAGAAAATTAAACATTTTCTGCTTAATTATATATTTATATGCATTATGGATTTTATATAAGTGTATGTATTATGTATATAATTTTAATTTAACATGAATTTAAATTAAATTCACATATAGCATGAATTTAAATTATATCATGAATTTAAATTAAATCTTACCTATTTGATCATCACTTGTTCTGTTTTTTTGTTTGCTTGTTTTTTTGGGTTTTTTTTTTTTTTTTTTGCTTTTTTTGGGTCACACTGGCAATGCACAGGGGTTACTCCTGGCTCTGCACTCAGGAATTACCCCTGGCGGTGCACAGGAAACCTTACGGGATGCTGGGAATCAAACCTAGGTTGGCCGCGTGCAAGGCAAATGCCCTACCTGCTGTGCTATTGCTTCAGCCCTGATCGTCACATTTGTAATATATTTTCAGAACTTATTTTCTGGTTAGGAAATTGTGAGTTCTTTGGGTTTTTTTCTTTTTCTTTTTTTTTAAACATTACTTCTTAGAATGGGACACTTTTAGTTTTTTTTCAGAGAGACAAGGGTATTCTTGTATAATCTGCTCTTTAATGCTTGGATAGATGCCTCCTGTGTTTTCTTCTATTAGGCTTTCTTTTTGTATACTTTTTTTTAAAATTTATTTTCCTTTTGTAATAACCTTTTTTTGTAATAACCTTTTTTCAAGGGCATTGCTTATGGTATTTTACCTTTTTCAAGGGCATTGCTTTTTTTCAAGGGCATTGCGTATGGTATTTTACTGTGAAATTAACTGACTAATATCATTACAGTATTTTTAATTGTGCACTACTCTCCAGGCGGTGCTTGGAGGGTGGATGAGGAAGACTTGCTCTGCCAAGGAAGGAAACCTGGGCCTTGTGTTCAAGGTGCTTTACTGTTTGAGCCATGTCCTCAATCTCATCATTTTGTTCTTACTCTTTTCTTCAAAGTCTACTAAAATTGTACATAAGGTTATATATTTAATACTAATTTTTTTTATCTATGTCTATACTTGGACGTTGGTAGATGAAACCAACACATGACTTTTAATAGATGAAAGGTAATACTTGTTTTATTTTCTAGACCAGAGAGCCCCAGCAGCAGCCTATTGAAGAAATAGAAAATCTGAAGAAACAACATGACTTATTAAAAAGGATGCTACAGCAGCAGGAGCAGTTGAGGGCTCTGCAGGGACGACAAGCTGCTCTTCTTGCTCTACAGCATAAAGCAGAGCAAGCTATTGCTGTAATGGATGACTCGGGTATGCCAAGTATTAGAATGTTCTTTTCATAAGCTAGTGGCTCAATAAACAGTGGTATTGCAGGGTACATGATGGTTACTAGTCACATTTTGTTGTTGATTAGAAATGTGCTTTTGAAGCATATCCTGTCCTGTAATTTTCTCTGGTTATGTGGAAAAGCTGGTAGGTCTGTACTGTGCAGAGAGAAAACCCATTTTTTTTTTAAAATTATTTTTAAATTTGATTTTATTATTTTTTTTTACAAAGATGTTCATGATTGGATTTTAGTCATACAGTGTTCTACAGCCCATCCCTCTACCAGTGTACGTTTTCCAGCACCAATGTCCCCAGGTTCCCTCCCATCACCCCTCAATCCCCGAACCCCTGCTTGCCTCTGTGATAGGTGCTTCTCTCTCTCTCTCTCTCTTTCTCTTTCTCTCTCTCTCTCTCTCTCTCTCCTTTAGAAATCTCATCTTTCATCAAAGAGTACTTCTCAAAGAGGTAAAAGGGAGAAGCTGTAATTTTGTTTTTGTATCATAGACTGACAAGGGCTTTTAAGTGAGTTACCGAGTAAATTTATAGTTAAAACTATAAGTTAGCTGACTTTAGTGAGTATGAATATCACCAGTGTCAGTTAAAACTTCTAAAGTTGATAGTAGTGTTTGTTTTGTTTTTTTGCTTTTTGGGTCACACCCAGTGATGCTCGGGGGTTACTCCTGGCTCTGCATTCAGGGGTTACTTCTGGTAGTGCTCAGGGACCATATGGGATGCTGGGAATTGAACCCAGGTCGGCTGCGGGCAAGGTGAACGCCCTACCCGCTGTGCTATTTCTCCAGCCCTGAAGTTAATAGTAGTAGTTCTATTGCTTCAGTTAGATATTTAGTTATATATGAGTTCCTTTGAACAGATACTTTTTTTTGAAATGTTTATTAGTGAAACACCATGAGGTACAGTTGTAGACTTACAAATTTTTGTGCTTGGGTTTCGATTATACAATGATCAAGTACCCATCTCTCCACCAGTGCCCATTTCCCACCACCAATGATCCCAGTATCCCTCCCACCCCCCATCCCCCCATCCCACCTTGCTTCTGTGGCAGGGCATTCCTTTTTGTTCTCTCTCTCCTTTTGGGTGCTGTGGTTTGCAAAAGAGGCATTGAGTGGCAGTCATGTTTGGTCTATAGTCTACTTTCAGCATTTATCTCCCATCCTGGGGAGGATTCTCCCAGCACCCTTTACTTGGTATTCCCTTCTCTATCTGCCTTTTACCCTAGCGTGTGTGGCTGGCCTCCAAGCCATGGAGTAAACCTCCTGTTACTTATCTCAGCTATTCTTGGGTGTTAGTCTCCTATTTTGTTACTTTATGTTCCCCAGATGGGCTGGAGCGATAGCACAGTGGTAGGGCATTTGCCTTTCACGCAGCCAACATGGCCGACCCGAGTCCTGTGCCCCGAGTCCTCTGCCCCTCTCGGAGAGCCCGGCAAGCTGCCAAGAGTATCTCGCCCGCACAGCAAAGGCTGGCAAGCTCCCCGTGATGTATTCGATATGCCAAACACAGTAACAAGAAGTCTCACGATGGAGATGTTACTGGGCCCGCTCGAGCAAATCGGTGAACAATGGGAGAACTGTGACCGTGACCGTGAATGTTCCCCAGATGAATGCAATCTTTCTATGTCTATCCCTCTCTTTCTGACTCATTTCGCTTAGCATGGTACTTTCCATGTTGTACCACTTGTATGTAAATTTCATGACTTCATCTTTTCTAACAGCTACATAGTAGTCCATTGTGTAGATGTACCAAAGTTTCTTTAACCAGTCATCTGTTCTCGGGCACTCAGGTTTTTTCCAGATTCTGGCTATTGTAAAGAGTGCTGCAATGAACAAACAAGTGCAGATGTCACTTCGACTATACTTTTTTGCCTCTCTGGGATATATTCCCAGGAGTGGTATTGCTGGGTCAAATGGGAGCTCAGTTTCCAATTTTTTGAGGATCGTCCATACTGTTTTCCAAAAGGGGGGCTGAACCAGTCAGCATTCCCACCAGCAGTGAAGGCGTGTCCCTTTCTCGCCACATCTGCACCAGCACCTTTTGCTTTTTGAACAGACAGTATCTGAGACTCAAAAATGTCCTTTTTTCTTACTGAATTATTTAGTATTGGGTCTAATATGGTTGGTTTTATCACCCTAAAGTTTGTCTGTTTGGTTTTTTTTTGGGGGGGGGAGGGCAGGTAGGCATTCTCAGCAGTGCTGAAGGTTTACTCCTGGCTCTGCAATCAGGTTTACTCCTGGTGGTGCATGGGATACCATATGTGGGCCTGAGCACCCCTTCCAGGAGCAGAGCCAGGAGTAAGTCCTGAGCACCTCTGGGTGTGACCCAAAAACAACAACAAAAGTACCATACATATTGCATATAGTTAAAAATTACTGATAAATTTTTAAAATGTATATTTATTCGTAGAATAAATGAAGAATTAATGAAGCCACCCATCAAATCACAAGAAACACAAATTGCAGCACCAGTGTCAGACAGCTATTGTTCTACCACTTCCCCTAGCCAAACTGACTGTACTAGATAGATTATACTAGCTACTATATTAGGTGGTATAAAATATGTAACTACCATGAAAATGTCTAATAATATATTCGTTAACTACTAATCTGTAGGTAATTACTTTAAAATTTTTAGATGAGTTCTTAAAGTTATTATTTTTTAAATTTATTAGCATCTTGTTTATTTGCTTTGATGAAGTTTACTTTTTTTCCAGTTGTAACAGAAACTGCAGGTAGCCTGTCAGGAGTCAGTATCACATCTGAATTAAATGAAGAACTGAATGATTTGATTCAGCGATTTCATAATCAGCTTCGTGATTCTCAGGTAACTTAATTTTTAAGGTGTAATTGAATTCCAAATCACATTAGTTGGAACTTAGTTGACTTTACTGAGTATGAATATCACCTGATATAATTGTTTAAAAATATATGAATTGCCCTCTCTCCTCCCTCCCTCCCTCCCTCTCTCTCTCTCTCTCTCTCTCTCTCTCTCTCTCTCTCTCTCATTCTACATCTGGCAGTGTTCCAGAGTTATTTTCAGCTTTGTATTTGGGGTCACTTCCTATGGTGCTGCTCAAGGGACCATGAGCCATGATTTGAGCCAGGGCTGCAGAATACAAGACATGCGCCTTAACTAACCCCTGTACTGTCTTTTTAGTTCTCCAGAATATAAACATATTTTCAGTAAAATTCTTTTATCTCCAAACCATGATTCATATATTGAAGGTGAAATTTCTTCCCCGTTATTCCAGTGCTGGAGTTAGATGACTGTCTACTTAAAGAAATATTAAAGTAAAAGAAAATTTCCTTTTATACGATGAATGAAAATTTCCCATGTTTTGCCACATTAGGCTTTTTGATATATTAATGCTTACAACCTTTATAAAGAATATTTGAGAATTTTTGAAATAAGAATGCTAAGACATTTAAAAAATGTGGATATAACTTTTGCTTGCATTAGTCATAATTTTTTATCTTCTTTTTTTTTAAGCCTCCAGCTGTCCCAGACAACAGAAGACAAGCAGAAAGTCTTTCATTAACTAGGGAGGCTTCCCAAAGCAGAAATCCATCTGTTTCAGATCCTGATGAGAAAGTTCAACTTTTTAGCAAAATGAGAGTGTTGCAGGAAAAGAAACAAAAAATGGACAAACTGCTTGGAGAACTGCATTCACTGCGAGATCAGCATCTGAACAATTCATCATGTAAGTAAATTGGGCTCCAAAGTAGAGGACCACGAACAAAATATATACAATTGCTTGTGCAGAATACTTTGTGAATTTTCGCTGAATTAATGAACACGTTTCCTTAATAAAATTATTTTTGTAGAGAGATAGGAATTGCATGTGAAAAGCTTTTGTGGCTTTGCTTTTTTAGGTTTTTTTTTTTTTTTTGCTTTGTTTTAGTAAGAGGTATCAAACCTAGCATTTCCAGGTAGAATTTGAAAAGTATTTTTGTTTGTTTATGGTATGGGGCCACACCCACTGGTGCTTGGGTATAGTCCTGTCTCTGCACTATTTGATCATTACTAGTGGGACTCGTGACCATATGAGGTGCAGGGAATCGAACTTGAGTTGACCACTTACACCGCGAGAGCCTTAGCCACTCTCATCCAGAATGTAAAATAATTTTCAAGTAATAAGGCAGTATATGACATGCCAAATAGGTGGTAGATCTGTTCTATTATTCAGAAGAGGAACAGAATGAAGTTAGATTTTGATTATTACTAGGATTGTATTATTTGACTATTATTTTTGCTTTTCTGGGGGGCGGGGGCATACCAAGTGATGCTCAGAGGTTACATGTAGGATGCCAGGAATTAAACTGTGGGTTGGCTGTTTGTAAGACTAAATGCCTTACCTGCTATACATGGCTTTGGCTTTGATAATTGGCAGGATTTTAATTAAGAAAAGACTAGCACCTTACCTGCTATACGTGGCTCTGGCCCTGATTATAATTGGTAGGATTTTAATAAAGAAAAGTAGAAGATGGGGCTGCAATAATAGCACAGCGGGTAGTGCCTTGCACTCCGCCGACCCAGGTTCAATTCCCAGCATCCCATATGGTCCCCTGAGCACTGCCAGGAGTAATTCCTGAGTTCAGAGCCAGGAGTAACCCCTGTGCAACACCAGGTATTACCCCAAAAAAGCAAAAAAATAATAATAATAAAGTAGAAGAGAAAATAGCTATGAGATACTTGGATATACTAATACTATATTAATAAGGTAAGGTAAAGGTAAAGGCCCTCCCGTTGATCGTCGATTTGCTCGAGCGGGCCCAGTAACGTCTCCATTGGAGACTTTGTTGTTACTGTGTCTGGCATATCGAATACTCTCGAGTAGCTTACCGGGCTCTCCGAGAGGGGCGGAGGAATCGAACTCAGGTCGGCCATGTTGGCCGCTTGTAAGGCGAATGCCCTACCCGTTGTGCTATCGCTCTATTAATAATGCTCAGAAATCGCCTTAAAAATTAATTAGGGGATCTGGGGAGATACTACAGTGAATAGGGTCCTTGCCTTGCATGCAGCCAACCCAGGTTTGATCTCTGGCATCCCATATGGTCCCCAAGCACCTCTAGGAGTAATTCCTGAGTGCAGAGCCAGGAGGAAACTCTGAGCGTTGCCAGGTATGGCCCCAAAACAAAAACTAAATTAGTACTTTGCTGTTAAAACTATGAAACTTTTATATGGTATAATATATTAATAACTTCAACAGTAAAGATGGTTTAATGTAGAAAGTCCCTAACTTAGGTCCTTTTAAAAAACTAGTCATCTCAAGTAGGAATAATAAAAATCATGTTTATTCTAATGATTTTAGTTATATATGTTTATACTAGTTCTATGTGAAAGATGTTGGAATGGCAGTAGTTATCCCAGTTATACTATACATCCCACTACACTATATACTTGTATACTAACTATATACAATATATATAACACCATAAACAAATAAAAATATCCTGCCCCTGAGCCTGGCTGTTCTCACTGGAGCCCCTTGGAGAGGGATGGGTTGAGTTTCCCTCCCCGCTCTGAGCAGAGCTCCAGCAGCCAAAGACCTCCAGAACCAGCCACAACCATGCTGAGACCACTCTCCACATGCATGAAGGTACCTGCAGAGGAACAAAGGCATGCGGGTCCCGGGGCTGAGATCTCCAAGCCTGCTTGGATCAGGGCTGAGCATCCTCCACCTAGATCCTCCATCATCCAGTAGGCAGGGGTCACACCTACCACCTGACTCCCTGGCCCTGTGTAATACCATCAACGGCCAAGACCCAGAGACTACAAAGCCCAGCTCCCGGAAGAGAAGAGAGCAGAGTCTCCTGCCCCCTTGCCTGGCTGTCCTCACCGGGGCCCCTTGGAGGGGAGCGGGTTGTTTCCCTCCCCGCCTTGAGCAGAGCTTCGGCAGCCGAAGACCTCCAGAACCAGCCACCACCATGCTGAGACCACTCTCCACACGCATGAAGGTACCAGCAGAGGAACAAAGGCATACGGGTCCCGGGGCTGAGATCTCGAGGCCTGCTCGGATTGGGGCTGAGCATCCTCCACCTAGATCCTCCATCTTCCACTAGGCAGGGGTCACACCCACCACCTGACCCCCTGCCGCCGTGTAATCCCATCAACGGCCAGAGACTACAAAACCCAGCTCCTGGAAGCGCACGGCCGCATTTGCAGCCTCACGACATCTTATTATCTCATTCTTACTTTTGGAAAACCTGGCAGGCTACCAAATGTAACCTGCCCACACGGCAGAGTCTGGCAAACTCCCCGTGGCCTACCCAATATGCCAAATACCTGTAACAATGATGGGTCTCATTCTCCTAGCCCTGAAAGAGCCTTGAATATGGCACTTTAAAAATCTCAGGGCTGGGATGAAGGAGACATTAGTGGTGCCTGCTCGAGGCAATCGACGAACAACAGGATGATCGTGATTGTGATACTAACTATAGTATAGCCAACCCACAGTTTCATTTTTGGCATCTCAGTTGTTACTGTTTTATGATGTTTTACTTGCTTATTTAATTGAGATTTAGCTACTAGATCTCCTCTGCTATCCTCATAACTTCTTAAGCCTGATCCTAGCCTTTTCTCCAAAAGTTAGTTGTAAGAGCTCTTCGATTGGAAATCAGTTAATTCAGCATTCCAACCCTTGGCCTTTGTTAAGGGATGGGATAGAAATATCTTGTTTCTCAGTTACCCACAAAAGAATCTTTGCTATTTATGCCCTGAAAGTCCTCTGTTCTTTTCCTTGACTGTTGAATAACATTGGGTTGTCTTTGCTCCCCCTGCAGGGAACTTAGGTTTATTGAGTTATTCCCACAACAATGGCCCTGAGGCACAACAATTCAAGGGCTAGTAATCCTATATTGCTTTTCTCTTTCTTTTGTGTCATTTGCAAGGCTTATTTAGCAATGTCCTTTTTGTATACATACAGGAAGACATTTGATGCTATGCTCTTGTAATATGGGAGTTAATGGACTCCAAATAATATTTACTCCTGGACATCCATCATATTTATTTGAGTTAAGCCTCAGTTGCCTTTTACTAGTAAGCCTCCTAGCATTTCAAAAGCAGGGTCCCAACGAAGGGACTGGATGGACCCAGAGCAAGCGGTAAACTCCCCTGGCATCGGAAAGGGACAAGCCAAGTGCCATAAGTATAATAAGAGCATGGTCATGGGACAAACTCTATCATGACCCAAAAAGAGTAACTGAATAAGGACCCTGCTGGAGTTAGGAAAGACTGACCTGGCCTGAATTCAGCATGATTAACCATATCCACACGGTGACCAAGCTCATTGAGGTTTCTCAGGAGTTCAAGATGCCGCTCTGTCTAATGTTCATCTATTTAAAGAAGGCCTTTGATTCTCTTGAGACTGAGCAGTCATCGAAACCCTAGCCGAACAGGGCATTCAGACCCAGTGCATCAGGATCCTCCGCAAGCTATATTATGGATAGCCACCGGGATCTCACGATTCTACTAGGAAGTGATCATCGACGTAAAGAGAGGGGTTTGGCAGGGTGATACCATTTCACGAAACTCTTCGGTGCCATCCTCAGGAACATCATGCGACGACTAGAATGGGAAGACATGGGAGTGAAGATAGACTGTCTGCAATTACACCACCTCTGCTTCGTTGTTGACATTGTTCTAATAACACCAAACATCATCGTGCACAGCAGCACAAATGCTGGCCAACTTCGACCATGAATGTGGAAAGGTCGGACTGCAGCTGAATCTCACCAAGACAGTGCTCATGAAAAAGGAACTAGCCCCTGACGTTCCAATTGCTGTAAACAGAACAAACATCTCTGAATGCAACAGCTATGTGTACCTGGGTGGAGAACTCAACGTGATGAACGACTTGTCACCAGAACTGCGCAGGAGGAAGAGAGCTCTGTGGAATGCCTTTAAGAGCATCGAAGAAGTTGTTAGGAGGACAGAAAACCTTCGGCTTCGGGCACATCTTTTCGACTCCACCGTTCTTCCTGCACTAACATATGCCTCAGGGACCTGGGCCCTATGAAAACAGGACGAGAATGCTATTCGGATCACCCAAAGAGGAATCGAAAGAGCTATGCTTGGAGTATCACACTTTACTCAAGTGAGAGAAGGAATCCGGAGTTCCGACCTCCGTCAAAGATTGAAGATCAGGGACGCTGCCTCGTGTGCCAAGGTGTCGAAAATCAGATGGGCTGGCCATCTAATGCTATTTGGAGACGACTGCTGGACTAGAGCCATTACCAGCTAGATTCCACGTGACGTCAAAAGAACACCTGGCCGCCCACCTACGAGATGGTCAGACTTCTTTTCAAGACCCTGAACAAATGGTTTGATGCTCTTCGTGTTCCTGGAGTAAGCAGACGCCACTGGCTACATTAGGACATGGCAGAGTCAAATGGAGACGTTACTGGCGCCCACTCGAGCAAATCTACGAACAATGGGATGACAAGTGATTACGAGTGAACCTGGCCTGAGAACTGTGATCTGGAATATACTGCGAGGTGATCCCAGGAAGAGCCAACCTTTAAACTTAACACAGTAAGAGCCTCACTGTTACTGTGTTCATACAAAATGGTTAAAAATATTCTAAGTAAATCTACTATGATTGGTTAAATGGATTACTAGTTTAGGAAAGGATAAAGCAATAATCCTGGATGGAATCCCGCCCTTGAGAGGATATCCTAGTAATCTGGAGGTCTGAACTCTCCAATGAGATTTTGTACTTAATCTCCTAGATCTTCCCCTGAAAGAGTGGCTTTACTTCAGTTTGTTGTTAATGACAGTGTTTAGCCCCACCCATGTGTATCCCACCCTTCATGATTTCTGTGTAAACTATGCTGTAAGGGGACAGAAGGGGACTTAGAAGACAACAACTAAGTGAGGATAACTATGATGAGAGGACTTTGAGGTCTACAAGGAGACTAGCAAGATGGAACTGTGATGACTGGGACTACAACCAAAAGTACAACTACGATTGTGCTGTAAGGGGAGAGATCGACTATGCTGGGGAGAGACTACCCCAGTGGTTATCCTGCCTAATCAGATAAACACTGCTAACCAACTACCAACAAGCCTGGGGCCCTGTTTCTCCGTCCTTGGTCCATCCATCAAGTGGGCCTGCTAGGGGAACTGCTCCATGCCATCAAACACTTGAGTCCCATATGTGCCCACACGCCTCCACGCCTTTTTGAAACTCACACTTGACATCTGCTATTTTCCTTTTCTACCCCTGGTTATCCTGCCTAACCAGATAAACACTGCTAAGAAACACTTAAAATTCAAACAAGCCCAATTTCATACACACAGAGAAAATATCACCTTACTGATTGATATAAAATTGATGTAAAAATTATCATTTATAATTGTTTTATAAATTTTATAACTTTTTCCCACTGGGAGAAATAATTTTTCCCACTGGGAAACCAAGCATAACAGAGATCTAACAGTCAAGGAATAAAGGGACTATTTGGAACTATTTGGAATTTCCAACTGTGAGAACACAGCAAAAGTATAACAGTCAAAGAATAGAAAGATTATTAGAAACTACAGCTACTGAAGTATTAAAATGAGAAATCAAAATGACAAAGATAAATGACAGTCTTAAAGTGGTGGGATATAGGTTCTTAATTATTCTTTGAAAGCATGAGATTCTTGATCTTTGTGGATAGAGTAGTTAAAATACAGCTTAAGGACTAGAGGATTAGCTATCAGCCAATAAGAAAATTTTATTGCTGTGCCAGTTACACATTTTACCAGTTTTGTTTTCCAGTTTGAAAATTAGATACAGTTCTCTGCGTTGTAGATTTGGAACACCCTTCAGAGCCTAGTCTGCTAAAACTGTTAGGATTACTGATATTGTGCTATACATCATACATGATGACTTCTGTTTACCTTAAAGTCAAATTTAACTACCTGGAGCAATAATACAGAAGGATGAGTGCTTCCTTGCTTGCAGCTGACCCACGTTTGATCCTCATCATCACTTATGGTCCCACAAACCTGCCAGTAGTAAGCCCTGAGCACAGCCAGGCCATAGCCTTGAAACTACAAAAGCAAAACAAAACAAATTTAGGAGAACTTTAGTTACTTTTCAAATAATAGTATGGTTTTCGTCAATCAATTTGCATCTTTCCTTTTTTGTTTTAACTCTGTGTTTATGAAGGGCCTTTTTGGGGTTCTTTTTTTTGGCTTTTTGGGTTAGACCCAGAGATGCTCAGCTGATACTCATTACTCTGCACTGAGGAATCACTCCTGGCAGTGCTCGGGGAACCATATAGGATGCCGGGGATTGAATCCATGTCTGTCCACTTGTAAGGCAAATGCCCTACCCCCTGTACTGTCGCACTGGCCCAGAGGGCTTATTTTTAATTAAACAGATGAAATGAATGATGTGTCCTAAAGTTCCTAAAACTGAAGTCCGCAGAGTTTAAGATAGTAATAATTTCTACCTTTTTTAAAATTCAAGACAATTATGAACATGGTGATTTGTTTTTTGTTTTGTAGTTGTGCCTTCAGCTTCTCCACAACGGAGTCTGGATCAGAGAAGTACAGCCTCAGCTCCCTCTGCTCCTGTTGGTTGCATAGCCCCAGTTGTCAATGGAGAATCCAGTAGCCTCACAGCATCTGTTCCTTACCCTGCTTCTACTCTCGTTTCACAGAAGGAGAGTGAAAATGAAGGCCAACTAAATCCAACTGAAAAACTCCAGTAAATAAGTTCTATAAAATTTATTTATATGGACTAGAATGGGATTTTTTTATGTTAAAAATTATGGAAGTGCTTTATTATGATAAACAAAATGGTACAATGGGAGAAGATGTATGTGCATGCATTTCATCTATGTTTATATGTGCATTATGTGTATATGCATACATATATACATATATGCATTCTTTCAGTTAACCAAGAGAAAAAATGTTGCAGTATAATTTTTTTGTGAGTTTATAACTACTTTATTCCCAGTTTCCAAAATAAGGATTAAAAACAGATATGACTAGAGTTTAACGTCTCTGTGTAGGGGTCCGGAGAGCTAGTTTAGTGTGTAAGTCACTTTCCTTACAAGCATCCAACCCAGGTTCAATCCCTGGCACCTCATAAACCCCCCTAAGCACTACTGGGAGGTGATCCTGAATGCAGAGCCAAGAATGAGCCCTGGGTATGACCAAAAACAAAAACAAGCCCCCCTCCCCCACAAAATTATTTTATTTTTTGGCTTTTGGATGGTCACACAATGCTCAGGGGTTACTCCTGGCTCTACACTCAGGAATTTCGTTGCTCAGGGGACCCTGTGGGGTACCAGGTATAGAACCGGGTTTGGCTACTTGCAAGAAAAATGCCCTACCCACTGTACTATCACTCTCGCCCCCTTCCCTCCAAATTTTTCCTTGTTTAAAAGGCATAGATCTGAGATTCCAGAGTCAGTTCTGAATTTTTTTTTTCTTTTTTTTGGGGGGGGGGCGGTCACACCCAGCGATTCTCAGGGATTTACTCCTGACTCTGCACTCAGGGATTACTCCTGGGGGACCAAATGGGATGCTGGAAATGGAACCTGGGTCGGCCACGTGCAAGGCAAACACCCTACCTGCTGTGCTATCGTTCTAGCCCCCAGTTCTGAAATTTTATCTCACACTAGGCTGTGTTTTTGGATAAATAATTTGCCCTCATTAACCCAGACTCTTTTGTCTGCAAAATACCTGTTCATAAAGATGTTTGTGGGTTTTTTTTTATTTTTTTAAGTATTTAAAACACTAGCATGGTTCTTGACACTAACTGTACAAACTTCACAAATAATTATTTTTTGGTAAATGTTTTATATAAATCTGTTTTGTAGTAAACAAATGACAGACCTTTCTGAAAATGCTCAATAATCCCGGCTTACTCAGTTTGCCTAATAGACAGTTTTAAATGGAAAATCTAATATTTCACATTTTTTTGTACTTACTGAGTCCTTTAGGGATAATTTGGTACTGTATTTTTGTGCTACAATATTTATCTTTTTAAAGTGAACGTTTGAAACAGGCTTTCTTAGCCTTTTGTCCTCGACTCAGCATAAGTGATGAGATTTTTGGCTAAACTCCTAAAAATTTTTTACAAGTTGCATAGCTCTGAATATTTGACTTAGGTCTGTTTTATGTGTTCTGGTTGCTTTATAAGGAAATAGTGCATGTTTCATTTTACTGAATTAGATATTTTACATATATTTTGTTAGGAAGTTAAATGAAGTTCGAAAGAGATTAAATGAACTAAGAGAACTTGTTCATTATTATGAACAAACATCAGATATGATGACAGATGCTGTAAATGAAAACACAAAAGATGAAGAAACAGAAGAATCAGAGTATGAATCTGAGCATGAAAGTTCTGAACCTGTTACTAATATTCGGTAAGAATGTTTAAAAATTTGGGACTGTGCAGTAGTAGTACCAACCCGTTAGGTGTTTGCCTTGCATGTAACCAGCCCTTGTTAGATCCCCGTCACTATTTATGGCTTGACAAGCTACAATAGGAGTGATCCCTGAGCACAGCTCGTAGCCCTGAACAAAGTTGGTGTGGCCAAAAACCCAAATTTAAATAAATAAAAATATGGTTTTCTCATATTCATCTTAAAACAAAACTCTTCAATAAAGTGCTGAATTTTCCAGCTGTTTTATTTCGATCAGTGTGATTATACTTAACCTGTAAAGAAAAGCAAATAAGGAATTATTTGTTAGAGTGGTTTAAGGTTGCTATTATTAGGTATTGGTAAATCTTAAGTATCTAACAGCACGTTCCTATTCTTCAGTTTTACTGCATTTGAGGTTTTTTGTTTGGGTTTGGTTTAGTTTTGGATTTTAGGGCTTACTCTTGTTTTTGTACTCGGGGGAATCAAACCTGGTTCAGTTGGTAGCCTTGTGCAAGGCAAGCATCCTGTTCTAGTTTGAGTCCCTATTCCTTATTTTTAAATGTAATCGGTTTTTCAGATATTTTTCGTCTTAAATTTTCAGATAGAAGTTAATGAAAAGCAAATAGAAATTACTCACTTTCATTTATCATTGAAAATAGCCAATGGTAGTCATAATTCAGAATTATTGTACTGTGGTTCTAGAACTTTTCTTTTTAACCTTAAATAACATCAAACTGTTTCTTTCAGAAATCCTCAAGTAGCTGCCACCTGGAATGAAATGAATAGTAATTCTGTTGCACAGTGTGTCTCTAACAATAGAGATGGGAGATCAGTTAATCCTAATTGTGAAATTAACAACAGATTTGCAGCCAACAAACGGCCACTAAATATGCCTCCGCCTTTAGGTATGATTGACCATATCTCATTTATTCTTAGAAAATGTATCTCCTGTTATTAATACTTTTAAATTTATTAAAGTGATTTCTTTCTGGGCTCGAGAGATACAGCTCAATAGGCTGAACTCATGCTTTTCTTGTGGGAGGTTGGATTTGGTCTCCAGTATCATGTGATCCTATGAAAACTGCTGGGAGCAATTCCTGTGCACCTTGGGGTGTGGCACAAAACAAAAGTGATTGATTTTGGAATGCATGCTTCCTGCAGATTGTCACTATAACAGAGAAGGAGAGCAGGGGATTCATGTGGTACATGGCGAAGATGATGAAGAAGAGGAGGATGAAGCAGAAGAGGAGGGAGTCAGTGGAGCTTCTTTATCCAGTCATAGGAGCAGTCTGGTTGATGAAGCCCCAGAAGACATGGAATTTGAACAGAAGATCAATAGACTTATGGCTGCAAAACAGAAACTTAGACAGTTACAAGATCTTGTTGCTATGGTACAGGTAACTACTGCTTATATGTTTTTTTAAAAAATCTGTCAAAAAATAGTAAAATTTGCATGTGTATTTTTAAATTGTTGGTGTATTTGTACTAGTACATGTTTATAGAGTTCTTCAGATTTGAATACTTGGCATATTGAGAAGAAAATTTTTTCTGTTAGTGTGAGTTAGTAAATATTTTAGGTTTCTTGAGCCATACTGTTTCTTGTTAGAACTGATGAACATAAGAACAGGCTTGGATAATATATATAAACAAACATGGCTGTGTTGTTGTTTGGAGGGCCAGAGTGATATTACTTGGTGAAATCAGTTGAAGTTAAGGCCTGCATTGAATTGTTGAGCTTTGGGGAGTATCTAACTGTCTGAAATACATATTTAAAAAATAAGAAATCTCACTTCAGATCTCTGTGGGACCTCCTTAAAGAGAACTGTTTGAAAAATGAATATTCCCAACTTATTATTAAAAATGAATTTTACTTATATGAAGGGTAGATTTTTCTTACACCTTTTCTTACATTGTTTCCCAAAGGTGTTAAAGTGATTATAACTGGACAGTTTAAGGCTTTGAAGTTCTACACATTTTATGAGTTCTTAGATATTCTCTTAATTTCTTAGTCTGACACAATATGGGATTTTTTTTTTTTTGGTTTTTTTTTGTTTTGGCTTTTTTGGGTCATACCTGGAAATGCACAGGAGTTACTCCTGGCTTTGCACTTGGGAATTAGTCCTGGTGGTGCTCGGGGGACCATTGATACTGGGACTTGAACCTGGGTCGGCTGTGTGCAAAGCAAATGCCCTACCCGCTGTACTGTTGCTCCAGCCCCTAGACAGTCATTTTTTAATTGCTTTCTTTTAGTGTTATTTCATTTGTGTAGACTTTATAGTTGGATTTGTTCTGTTTGAATTTGTATTAGAATATTTCCAAAGGTTTTAATTGACGTCATTGGAAAGCACACTGCCACACTGCCCTCCCGCTGTTCATCGATTTGCTCGAGCGGGCCCAGTAACGTTTCCATTGTGAGACTTCTTGTTACTGTGTTTGGCATATTGAATACTCTTGGTAGCTTGCCAGGCTCTCCAAGAGGGGTGGAGGAATCGAACCCGGCTCGGCCGGGCTGGCTGTGCGCAAGGCAAACACTCTACCACTGTGCTATAGCACAGCGATAGGGCATTTGCCTTGTCATTGGAGAAATCATAAATAAATACTAAATAGAAGTGTAGTTTACATATAAAAATGGTGATTTTTTTTTTTAAGGGCAGTTTATCAAACCCTCAATTTTTACTAAGTATATTGATCCATCAGAGTATTTGGAAAAATAACTGTTCATTTTTTATAAGTCATACAAATCCGAGATAACATATATGACCCTGCTGGTTTTTGTATTGAGAGTTAATGGCACCTTTTTTTGCAAAGACAAACTTTTAAGACCAAAGAAAGGAAATTTTCAAGCAGAACAAGTAATAGACATTCTTTATTTGAAGTTGTTGATGTAAAAGTCACGAAAAACTTACGTCAGCTGTTTGCAGCTCGAGTGGCATATTTTTAATTTTGATTTCCTTGTTGAAATCTATTCCTTGATAATTCAGTATTTGTCAAAGAAATTCAGTATTTGTTATTACTAGATAATAGCTCATATTTTAAACATACCATTTTTAGTGTCAGCACTTTATTTTCTGCCATTGCTAGAGGATGAACTTCCATGTGCTCTAAAATTCACATTTCTCTAATGCTTTTTTAAATATAAAAATACTATTAAGTGTTGGGCTGGAGCGATAGCACAGCGGTAGGGTATTTGCCTTGCACGCAGCCAACATGGCCTACCCGAGTTCGATTCCTCCGCCCCTCTCGGAGAGCCCGGCAAGCTACCGAGAGTATCTCGCCCGCACGGCAGAGCCTGGCAAGCTCCTCGTGACGTATTCGATATGCCAGACACAGTAACAACAAAGTCTCCAATGGAGACGTTACTGGGCCCACTCGAGCAAATTGACGATCAACGGGAGGGCCTTTACCTTTACCTTTATTATGTGGTAGTATTTAATAGCTATAAATTGGATATCACTAGGTTAGCAAGATTTTACTATAACAGTACGATGTTTTAGGATGACGACACTGCGGAACAAGGAGCTATTTGTGCTACTACTTCAAATTTGGATGATTTCTACCCAGCAGAAGATGACAGCAAACAAAATACAAATAATACTAGAGGAAATACAAATAAAACACAGAAAGATGCTGGAGTAAATGCAAAGGCAAGGTACGTTAGCTTATAACTTTCATTTAATAAAATATAAATATACCTTCTCTGGAGAAGGTATTCAACTAAGTGTAATGCATGATAGCATAGCCTATTGATATTAAATTTAAAATAAAAATAATGTCAATTTAATTATAGACAGAAATTTTATGAGGCTAGAGTACAGCAGCAACAGAGAGAACTCAAACAACTGCAGGAAGAAAGAAAGAAACTGATAGAGATTCAAGAGAAAATTCAAGCATTGCAAAAAGCATGTCCTGATCTACAGGTAACTAGGAAATTTCTTCCTGTGTTGTCAGAAAAGAAAAAAGATGTTTAAAATTTAGTCAGTGGAAGTACTCTTTTTCTAGTGCCTATGTGACAGATTTTTATCTGATTTTGTGACTAATGGGCTAGGGATATATATTTACAATGAGAAATACACAGTTAGATTATTTCTCTTGCCTTGCTATAAATTCGTAACATTCCTGACTATATTATAATATTTTAGACTGACCTTTATGATCTGGTGGGATATAAGCACTCCTCAGAGCATTCCCATCATGGTCTGAGAACTGTGTTGTGTGGGATTGAACCAGGGGCTCCTGCCTGCAGAGCTAGACCTCCATTCCTCCCTGACCTAAATCACCTCTTCCGCTGCCCCCCCCACCTTCTCCTCCACCCCTAGATCCCATAGGAGCATCATACCTATATTTTCTCTGAGATTAAATAAAGATAAATCTTATACCATATTAAGTAATCAGTAATAGGGCTAATAAATGCAATACTTTTTTTTCTGAGAATTTTCCTAAAATTAATTGATTTTATTCTTAAAACATTTTGTTTTTTAAAAAGGAAACACATCAAATGATGTTTTTTTTTTTTTCTGTTTTATTTCTTTTGGGGGGACCACATCAGGCAGTACTCTTGCCTCTATGCTCAGGATGGGATAGGCCCAGTATCAGTTGCATGCAATGCGAGTATCTTACCTTCTGTACTTAAGCCTTTAAATGACAGATGTAATACAACTTTTTTCTTGACTCAGACTTTTTCATTTTACCTAATATTTTTCCCTTTTCCATAATGTTCAAAGAAATAAATGCCAGGGTTGGTTTGAGTATCTGAAATTTTTAACTAGGATTTTAAAAAATTTTCCCTCACTGGAGACCTTAGTTTAAGAGGGACAGCCAGGATTGCTTCAGTGTGTGTACTGGGACAGGAATTAAACTCAGAATCTCATGCTTACCCTCGCTATTTCCTGAGCTATCACTGAGCCACTGGTGTTCTTGAGGGTTACTGCTTGCCAACTTTATAATTCGTGTTTGCATCTTTGGGGTTTTTGTTTTGTTTTGCTTGTTTAGTTATAGCTTGAGGTTGTACCAAATGATGCATAGAGTACCAGTATCATGTTTCTCTGGGGATTGATTCTTGGGCCCTTGCATGCAAAGTATGCTCTTGATCTTTGAGCTATCTCCTTGGCCTTTTATCTTTGTTTTGTTGTATTAGATTTTCTTTGGGTCTCAATAGCAGTTCAGTCAAGTCTAGTAATAAAAAACTAAATATATTAGAGCCTTAAAAAATTAGTAAAAGAGCTGCTTCTGTGAAATTAATATAATTGCTTTAATTCTTCATAATAGTTTTTGCCAATTTTTTTTAGCTGACAACTACTAATGGGGGTAACTGCCCCTCAAAAAAATACGTGCCAGCTGTTACTTCAACCCCAACTGCTAATGAAAATGAAACCAGTACAAGCAAATCTGTTTTTGAGCCTGAAGATTCTTCATTAGTTGATAATGAGGTATCGTGTAATATATCAGTTATTTTTGGGGGGGGTGGAGATTGATTTTGTTGTTTGTGCTATACCTAGCAGTGCTCAGGGCTTAAACTCCTGGTTCTGTCCTCAGGGAATGATCTATGGCATTGGGGGCCAAACCCAGGTTGGCTGCATGCAAAGCAAGCCAGTCGCCTCTCTCCAGAACCCTGATCCTGAATCATGAGAATACATCTTTAGGAGGAAAACTGAGAAACATACTTTTAATTAGATGGGGAAAAAAATGATTTTTTGCAGATAGCAATTAAAAGGGGTGCTTTTTAAAAAATAGTGTTGCCTTAATTTGCAGAATTATACAAAGTTACAGCCAATAGTAATCATTTTAGTTAGGAAAAAGCACACATAAAAAATGACATTTAGGGACTGGAGCAATAGCACAGCGGGTAGGGCGTTTGCCTTGCATGCGGCCAACCCAGGTTCGATTCCCAGCATCCCATATGGTTCCCTGAGCATCGCCAGGGATAATGCCTGAGTGCAGAGTCAGGTGTGAGCCAAAAAGCAAAAGCAAAAAAAAAAAAAAGGACATTTATGTGAATTATCAAAAATATAACTAGATAATTGAGGTGGATAATTGAGTGATGCTTTTTCCCTTCATTATCACTCAAATACTATTTAGCATAAGATCTTAGACTAAAAGAGTGAGAATAGAAAGCTTTTTGGTACTGACAATTATGTTAGCCTTCTATGTTGTCATTAACAGCTAAAGCAAAATCCCTACTTGTATACTAACTTTGATACTTAAAATAATAGCAGTGGTCAGAAATGCGAAGACATGAAATGTTAAGGGAGGAGCTACGACAGAGAAGAAAGCAGCTTGAAGCCTTGATGGCCGAACATCAGAGGAGGCAAGGTCTTGCCGAAACATCATCTCCAGTGGCTGTTTCATTGAGAAGTGATGGGTCTGAAAACCTGTGTACTCCCCAGCAAAGTAGAACAGAAAAGTAAGACTTGGTGAACTCAGAATGACCTTATAGGTCTAAGACCTGCTAAGGTCTATAAGTGAGAAGTTAGATGCTTAATTTCCCCTATATACAGCACAGATTGGTTATTTTGTTGATTTTTTTTTTTTTACTTCACTTGCATAGTAGGAGGGTGTGTGCGTGGGTGAATGTATGTGTGCATGTGTGTGATGCTCTTATTTTTCTGTTGTCTGTTCAGTGATTATATCCTGGCTTCACATGTGAGGGAAGTGCTCTTGGTGGTACAAAAAAATCTTCAGTCTTTTTTTTAAGAAAATTTTCTCTTTGAGTTCAGTATGCATTTTAGTGATCAGATTGTATCTGTGATATTCTGTTCTGAGTACCACACACACATCTGTACTTTAAAAATTATCTCTAGGTGGTTGGAGTAATAGTATAGAGGATAAACCGCTTGCCTTGCATGCAGGCGGTCCAGGTTCAATCCGTAGCACCACATATGGTACCCAGACCTTTCTAGGAGTGATCCCTGAGCACCACTGGGTGTTTTCCCCAGGGGACCATGGGGGGAATAATCTTTAGTTTTGGCAGGTATGTAGATTTAAGATCTGTTAGTCTAGAATTGTGCTTTCCACTGTAACAGCTAATAAGCATAGTGGCCATTTAAATTAAAGCTAAATGAAATTTCATTTTCTTAGTCCCATCAGTCACATTTTGAGTGGTCATAAGCTAATACTGTATTGGACAGCACAGGTGGAAATAAAAAATTTTGTTTTGTTGACTTCACTTTCTGTGGCCATACATAGCTGTGCTCAGGGCTTACTCCTGGTTCTGTGCTAGGCATCATTACTGGAGGTTCTTGGGATACCATTTGTAATGCTAGGGATCTGTGTTGAAGGAACTTTTATTGAACACTGATCTAGAACACTGAGTTACTCAGGGAAAAGGAAAAGTTGAAGGGCTTAAAAGGAAAAAGGGTTCCAGGGGATATGATTACTATCTTAATTTAGTTGAAGTAATATTTTGTATACACAAAATTTACACACTTTGTGTAAATTTACAATTTATGCACAGCGGGTAGGGTGTTTGCCTTGCCCTCGGCCGACCCGGGTTCGATTTCTCCATCCCTCTCGGAGAGCCCGACAAGCTGCCGAGAGTATCCCGCCCACATGGCAGAGCCTGGCACGCTCCCCGTGGTGTATTCGATATGCCAAAAACAATAACGAGTCTTACAATGGAGATGTTACTGGTGCCTGCTCAAGCAAATCAGTGAACAAGGGATGACAGTGACAGTGCTACAGGGCTTATTTCGTATATGTGTAAGGCAAGTAAACATGGTCTGTGTAGCAAATTATAGCAGTGAAGACTGCTACCATTCTGTATTTACAGTGGTCAAATGAAATTTTATGAGCATACACACATAGATATATGTATATTTTTGGTACATTGTCTGGTTCTTAACTTGCTTCTAAAATGATCTTATTTTATGCCTTTTACTCTATAGAACTATGGCTACGTGGGGGGGTTCTACCCAGTGTGCTCTAGATGAAGATGGAGATGAAGATGGCTACCTTTCTGAAGGAATTGTTCGGACAGATGAAGAGGAAGAAGAGGAGGAGCAAGATGCCAGTTCCAATGATAACTTTTCTGTGTATCCTCCTAACAGTGTGAATCGTAATTCTTACAGTGTAAAAGAAACTAAAAATAGGTTAGTTTACTATTTTAGTATTTTCCTTTAAGAGTCCCATAAGCAGTTCTGACACTATGAATTTTTTTTTTCCTGAACCAAGCATATAGCCTCCAATTTTTAATTCAGCTATTTTGTTTGTTTTTTGGGCCATGCCCTGTAGTACTGAAGGCTTACTCCCCGACTCTGCACTCAGGATTACTCCTGGTGGTGGTCAGGGGAACATAGGTGGTGCTGGAGATCAAATCCGGGTATAAGGAAAGTGTCCTATTCACTGCGCTATTCAGTTAAATACTATAATCGTTGGTGTTAGAACAGACCTGACAAGTTAAGGAGCCTCCGATCTATAAGATTGTCCTCAACTCAGGTGCGAGTCACATACCTCGTCTCTGGATACCCACACTTCTGTATGAGCTGGCTGCAAATTGGGGGATTCTCATAGCCTCTTGTCAGGTAGCATAAGTTGCTGAAACCTCTCATAGCTGCATTTAGTAAACACTTAGATTTTATTATGAATGGAAGACACACTGAACCCTAAAGTATGAATTGGAGATATGGGAGCATAGAGCTCAGAAGTACTTTCTATATGGTAGTGCATCCTCCCAGCATTTCAGTGTATCCCCCAGCTCAGAAACAACTCAAATTGCCTAAGGGCTTTTCAGGAGGTGTAATGGCACAGGCATGAACCCAGACCTCCCACGTACAGGTCATTTAGACTATTTCCTTAGCCCCTGTTTTTTAATTCTTTAAAGAAAACACTGGCCTGTGGACTAAGTGCCTAGGATCTATGGTAGATTTTAAAAACCAGGTGATTGCATAGGGTGACCTAATGTTTTAAATTCTGTGTTAGGTGGAAGAACCATCGTCCTTTTTCGGCAGATGGAAATTACCGTCCTTTAGCAAAGACAAGACAACAGAATATTAGCATGCAACGTCAGGAAAACCTTCGTTGGGTGTCAGAACTCTCTTACGTAGAAGAAAAAGAACAATGGCAAGAGCAAATCAATCAGCTAAAGAAACAACTGGACTTTAGTGTCAATATTTGTCAGACGTTGATGCAGGATCAGCAGGTAAAGTTTAGTATGCAAGTAATATTTTTCAGTCCTGTTTTTGAATAGCAGAATTTTCCAAGTCATTAAGAGTTATTACAGATTTCTTTTTCCCTTTTCTAGACTCTGTCTTGTCTGCTACAAACTCTCCTCACTGGTCCTTACAGTGTAATGCCTAGCAATGTTGCATCTCCACAAGTACACCTTATAATGCACCAGTTGAACCAGTGCTATACTCAACTAGCATGGCAGCAGAATAATGTGCAAAGGTAATCTGTTTTGGAAGTGGTAAGATTGAAATATATATAAAAAAAAAAAGGGGCTTTCCAGTTTTCTTTAGGGAGAAAAAGGCATAAGCCAAATACTTGACTATTCTTTGTCACCTAAGAATTTTATAAGTGGTACTTAAAAAATTGTCCTTGTCCAGTGTTTGGTTTTAAATATGGTAGATTCAACATTTTCTTTAAAAAAAGATTTTAATAGCTTAAACTTAAGTGGATGGTGATATAAATTATGCCTCAGTAAAACTGAAAACTAAATTTCTTAACAGTTTTATCTACTAAGCTATAATAGTAAACTCATTCTGCAGAACAAGCATACATTTGGTGTAGTAAATAACAGAAGAATCGACTAGTCTATTTTACACACTATTGAATAATTTCCTGCGTTATTTCTGGGATGGATTTTACATAATGGTAATATAACTTTTAAAATTATAACATCTTAAATTTTCTTAGGTTAAAACAAACTCTAAATGAACTTATGCGCCAACAAAGTCAGCATCCAGAAAAAACTGGAAGTAAGGAAAGAGGCAGCAGTACAACACATTCTCCTTCTGGTTTATTTTGTCCTTTCAGCTTTCCTACACAACCTGTGAATCTGTTTAACTTGCCTGGGTTTACAAATTTTTCATCATTTGCACCAGGTAAGTGAGAATAAAGGTAAGGTAAAGGTAAAGGCCCTCCCGTTGATCATCGATTTGCTCGAGCGGGCCCAGTAACGTCTCCATTGGAGACTTTGTTGTTACTGTGTCTGGCATATCAAATACGTCACGGGGAGCTTGCCAGGCTCTGCCATGCGGGCGAGATCCTCTCGGTAGCTTCCCGGGCTCTCCGAGAGGGGCGGAGGAATTGAACTCGCGTCGGCCATGTTGGCTGCGGAAGTGAGAATAAAAGAGAAAGTAAATAAATGCAAAGTGTTTGAGAATGCCTTTGCCTGTCAGGAGATCTTTAATCTCTTGAAATTAGAAGTAAATATCTCTTTGAAATTATTTTCAAAGAAAGTCACAATCCTTTCAATTCTTCTGTTATTGTGGGACCAAGCTCTGGTTTTAAAACCATGAGGACCACACTTAGCAATGCTTGGGTAAGGGGTAGTGTGCCAGGGAATTAAACCCGGAACTTTGAACATGTCAAGTATGTATTTCGCCAACATCCCTATTGGAGATATTGAACCAATAAGTTGGGGATATCCTCAACCTATTGTTGATCCTGTATAGGTAAGAAATTAAATTAAAAATCCTTGCTAACAAAGTAATCTGCTTATGTATGGTTTTTTAATGCTGTATCTTTGAATTGTTTAACAACTCTAAAGAAGAAAAGGAATTAATCTATCCAGATGCTTTTGTACAGCACATACTTTCATGTGAAACATAAAGAGAACAACGATGAATAAGACGATTGTCTAGAGGAACTTGATGTTTTGTTAGGGAAATTGATTACTAGATTACTAGTAGTTTAAAGATGAATGCTTAGTTATACTTAATTTTTAGTTAGACTTTTATTCAGGCTTTTCCTTTCACTATATTATATAAATAATCAGGATTCAAAGATTAGTAAGACTCTGGCTTTAAGGGCCCAGTAACGTCTCCATTGGAGACTTTGTTGTTACTGTGTCTGGCATATCCAATACTCTCAGTAGCTTGCCGGGCTCTCCGAGAGGGGCGGAGGAATCGAACTCGGGTCGGCCATGTTGGCCGCTTGTAAGGCGAACGCCCTACCCGCTGTGCTATCGCTCCAGCAAATCGACGATCAACGGGAGGGCCTTTACCTTTACCTTTACCCTGGCTTTAAGGAATGTAAAGTTTAGTGCAGAAGCTAGGAGTGTTGATAAATGCTTGATGCAGTGTCATCCATACTCTAGCGTGGTGCAAATGACATGGATGTCCTTCTCTTCTTTGATGTAAGAATTATTGAAACTGCTTTTTCTAGAAAAGGTAATATAAGGACTATTTTTGGGAGATTGGGAGGGGAGGTAATCAATGGGACCATAGAAAATAATGAAGCAATGGAACAGTTTATTGCTTAGAAGGAGTTACCTTTATATATGCCTAGTTTAGGGCCTTTATTAGTATCAATTACTGATTATCCAAACTGCTGCAGAAGACTTCTGTGCCATACAAAATAGCTTGGACTTTCTTTTATAAAACAGTGGGGCTGTTGAAGGATTTTTAAGTGGGACTAGCTTGATATTTATATTTTAGAGTGTTAACATTAGTGAAAATGTTGAGAAATAAGAGGAAAGGGGCTTTAGGGACTAAGTGAATTGAGGCTATTAGGTGAATAGGAAAGAACAATATCTTGAGAGATTTTGACAGGAGGAGTAAAGAAAAGTAATGCAGAGGATGTATGGAACTGGAATAAGCTAAGTCACCAGTTAGATGAAGTAAAACAGGAAGGGAAGGGTGTTCAAGATGTTTACTTAAGCATAGAGGAGATAAAGGGTGAAGGGCCTTTCTAAATATAAATTTAAAAACCATAATGTATACTCTTAACAAGAACAAAGAAACATTTGGCACTAAAAGTTTAGCTTTTTAAGTTTATAAGTAACATAATATTTGCAACAAATATTTGAATGTCTTTTAAAAGTATTAATAAAAATTTCCATGCCAGTTGTGTACCAAAGACAGCCATGTTCAATTTTGTGAAGCTTTCTTGATCTTTTCTCCCTAAGTTATCATTAGCCCCCTGCAAATATAATATCTCCAACATACTATTATATGGTAAATACATGTAATTAATATGTATTTATTATTATTCTATTTTACTTTCTCAAAGTACAGTAGGAAATACATAATTTTATGGTCATGCAGACCTGAGATCTAACCTGCTTTTTAGCTTACCAAACATTTGACCTCTGTGACAGTTTTCTTACTGGTAAAATGTATATGATACCTTTTAAATTACTGTTTTGAGCATTACACGATGTAACATGTAAATTGTCTTCAGTTGAGTTTGCTCTCTGGCAATTTCTGTTGTCAGCGTTTCTAACTCTTAGTTTTTAAGGTAATAGGGATCTTTGTATCACCAGTCAGTCACTAAAATCAAATATAGAGAGCTGAATTGAAAACGATAAATGAGGATGTTTTATTTTAATGAACAAATTTTTATATTTATTAGAAAAATTTTAACCTTTTAATTTCATGTTAAAGATAATTGCTGTTTTGTAATTCTTTTGCAATTTGTTTTTATGTATTAGGTATGAATTTCAGCCCTTTGTTTCCTTCTAATTTTGGAGATGGTCCTCAGAATATTTCTACACCTGCTGAACAGCAACAACCATTAGCTCAGAATCCTTCAGGGAAAACAGATTCTATGGCTTTTCCAAAACCTTTTGAAAGCAGTTCATCAGTTGGAGCCGAGAAACCAAGGTACTTGACTATGAACATAAGCCATGATTTGCTTGAACATCACTTTTACGATTTCATCTAGATTTATGTACTTTTAAAAATGCAGTTAAGGGACTGGAGCAATGGCAGAGTGGATAGGGTGTTTGCCTTACACATGGCCAACCCGGGTTCGATTTCTATCATCCCACATGTTCCCTCGAGCACCTCCAGGAGTAATTCCTGAGTGCAGAGCCAGGAGAAATCCCTGTTCTAAACAAGGGGCCAGAGTGATAGTACAATGGGTAAGGCATTTGCCTTGCATGCGGCCAAACTGGATTTGATCCCTGGCATCACACATAGTCCACTGAGTACTGCTAGGAGTTAATTCCTGAATGCAGAGCCAGGAGTAAGTAACCCCTGAGCATCATTGGGTGTGACCCAAAAAGCAAAAGCAAAAAAAAAAAAAAAATCCTAAGCAAAACATTCCAAATATTGGTTTCAGAAAAATTTATTTTGGAAAAAGGAATACATGATTCATAGAATAGCTCTTGTTGATTTGATGTCATTGTTATCCTAATTCACTATTCATTGACTTAGGACTAGAGAATAAGATTATTTTCTGTTGCAGAGGGATGATGTTTTTTGATTCATAGTTCCTGAGTAGTGTCAGACCCTAGGCTCATTGAAACGTAAAAGTTGAGCACTGTGAGAACTTGGGAAAGTTAGTGATTCATGGTATGGATGATGGTTAGGATTTTTTTCCCCCTTTCATTTATTTGTGTTTTAAATTGGGGCTATACTGGCAGCACTCAGGACTTAACTCCTTGCTCTGCACTCAGGGATCACTTCTGACAAGTTCAAGGGAACCATACCATGTGCTGGTGATCGAACCCGGGTAGATTGCATGCAAAGTAAATGTCCTACCCACCGAACTATCTCTCCAGCCCCAAGGTCAGGATTTTTTTTTTTGATAATTTAAAAAATACTGGGGTGTGGTGCCGGCAGCAGGTCAATCTGTACCTGTGAGGCGAAGTGCATCAGCAGCCTGATGGTGCTTTCAGTCTTCTGGATACCCCAAAATTGCTGCTGTGCCTTTGGCCAGACCCTAACGACTTGGGGCCAAGTTTACCAAGAAAGTAAACGTCCAAAAGTTAGATACGTGGGAGACACACCCACAAGCCACCTCTGGCTCAGCTATATAATTGGAGGCAAGGCCTCTCTGGTTCCTGATGGAACTGCTTAACGGCCATGATCCCAGAGGCTCAAACAAATCTCCAAACCCAGCGGCTTTTGGCAGAAATGTGTCTGGTCCCTGCAGTAGGTTACAGGTACCGGCCACCTAGGGGGTTTCAAGCGAATTAACGGCCATGATCCCACTGTCCCTCTGCCAGCTCCCTCTTGGCAGCTCAGTGGCCGCCATCCTCCAGAGGCCATAGGACAATCAGGTTTGGGCCCGCAGTGACAAGAGACGTGGGGCCTCGTGGGATGGGGGTGGAGCGGGCCCTTTCCTCCCTGTCCCAACAAAACCCCGAGTCAACGCCCATGAATGGCCTCTCTAGCTCCTGATAAGCTGCTTAACGGCCATGATCCCAGAGACTCAGAAAAATCTCCAGACCCATTGGTTTTTGGCAGAAATGTGTCTGGTCCCAGCAGTATGTTACCAGTGCCGGGCCACCCCAGGGGGGAAGGGTTCTTTCCCTCCGCTTGTTCCCTCTTGGTGGCTTTGCCGTCATCCTCCAGAGGCCATTGGACAGTCAGGTTTGGACCAACAGTGATGAGACATGCAGTGCCTCATGGGATGGGTTGGAGCCAGCCCTTTCCTCTCTGCCCCAATGAGTCCAGGTTGCCGTCCGCCCACGAATGGCCTCTCTGGCTCCTAATCAAGCTGATTAACAGCCATGATTCCGGAGATTCACTAACAAATATCAAAACCCCGCACATTTGAGCAGAAATCCTTTTAGATTTAATTCTTAAAATTTTGAAATTCAAAATCACATGGCCACTACTGCGGCTGCACGACATTGTATGTTATTCATAATCAGCAATAGAAAACAAATTGTGTACGGTTGCCTTTTTGGCAGATATGAGTGTTGGGGTAAAATCCCAAATAATAATGGTGGGTCTCGTGTCAAAATATTGAATGTAATCAAAGTAGAGAGAGAGTAATGTAGAAAGAAATCCCCACATGTAAGGGGAGGGTGTGGAATAGGGTATACTGGGGGTTTTGGTGGTGGAAAATGGGCACTGGTGAAGGGATGGGTGTTTCATCATTGTATGACTGAGACTTAAACCCGAAAGCTTTGTAACTGCTCTCACGGTGATTCAGTAAATCAATTTATATAAAGGGGGGAAAATATTTTTGATTCAAATAGTATAAGATGAATTCTGTTAGGTCAATTAATCTCTGAACATTTCAATAGCTAATGTTTCAGTGGTCATGCTAAACCAGAAAATAAGACTGATAGCCAGCTAGTGAAAATATAATTTCTGGGGGTTCATCATATAGTACAACAGGCCAGCTACTTCCTTTGCTCACAGCCAACCCAAATTTGACCTGGGATTGATTCCCCAGTACCATACAAGGTCCCTGGAGTAAACCAAGAATAAGCCCTGAGCAAGACTGGGATTGGCCCAAAAACCAAAAAAAGAAAAAAAATTCTGAGAAGTACTGCAGATCTGTATGTTGTTGTTTTTGCTTCTTTTGGGTCACACCTAGAAATGCTCAGGCTCTGCATTCAGGAAACACTCCTGGTAGTGCTTGGGGACCGTATGGAATGCCAGGGCTGGAACCCGGTCGGCTGCGTGCGAGGCTAGTGCCCTGCCCCCACTGTACTATCATACCGGCCCCTGATCTGTATGTTTTCGCCTACTTTTTTTCTCAGATTAAAAGACCACATAACTATTAGCATTTTAAGGGATACCAGTGTTTTACCAGTAACAGAAAGTGACACACTAGAGCAGCAGAATTAAATTGGACTTAATATTTAGAGAATATTTTGTTACATGACGTTTCTAAAAAATTTCCTGTTCTATGTGAACAGCTTTTAAGTGAACTGCTTTAGGTGGCACAGATCCACATATGTTCCCAAACTATTGCAGTTTTTTTCTAGTTTTCATTTTTTTCTTACGTGTCCCACACTCCCTTGTTTTTTCCCCATTCTTATTTCTACTGCTAAGGAATCAAAAACAGGCTGAAGAAGAAGTGGAAAACAGTAGGACAAGGTGGCTATATGACCAAGAAGGTGAAGTAGAAAAACCCTTTCTCAAGTCTGGATTTGCAGTGTCTGAAGAGAAACCTACAAATGGTAATCACAAAAATCAATTAGATACCAGAGGGAGAGGACGCCAGTTTGATGAAGAGTCATTAGAAAGCTTTAGTAGTATGCCTGACCCAGTGGATCCAACAACTGTAACTAAAACATTCAAGACAAGAAAAGCATCTGCACAGGCCAGTCTGGCATCGAAAGATAAAACTCCCAAATCAAAGAGTAAGAAGAGACATTCTACTCAGTTGAAAAGCAGAGTTAAAAATACTGGTAAGTATTTAAAATTTAAAATATTTAAAATTCTTAAAGTTTAATCCGTATAAATATTGATAACTGTAGTCTGGCGTGTTAACATATCTCACAGTGGCCTCAATGGGTGGGCATGGTCAGGTTGAATGGCTTACTACTGCTAGTCCATGGGTTGGTGCTCTTCCACAGGTGTAAGAAGGTTTAACCACTATTTTAGACTTATTTATATAGTCATTTAGTTTTTAGGGTTTTTTTTTTTATAAAATCTAATATAACTTTTAAAATGTGGCAGTCATTTTTGTGTGTGTGTGCATTAAGTACTGCCAATATGCCTGAATTTTTAAATTTCCATTCATTAGAATTTTGAACCACTGAAGAAACCAAGACCCTAAATTTGAGATAAAGTCCTAACTTGAATAATATTTTTAGAAACAGAAAGAAATTTAGATACGATATCTCTGAGTATAAATTAAGGGTATATTGGGTACTTAGTTTTTACTAGAAACAATACTGTGTTCTGGAGGGTATCTGTACACAACAAGACTTTAAGTGCTCTAGTTCTTTCAGTGTCTGGGACAAAAATCGGCTCTCTGGTTCTTGGAAAAAACTTGGTTGGAAGTTTTCCTGTTCTTAGCATCTCTTTCCCTTTTGAGAGTAGCAGTCTTTTACCAAGGTGTTAGTGGGTGAATAGGTAGATCCTTCTTACCCTGAAGTTGGGATTGGGAAAGCATTTGACTTTACAGCTGAGGAGTCTAAAGTCAGAGAGGTTTCCTCTTCTCTATGGAAGACTATCCAGGACAATGCTGTTTGACCATGAAAGCCAGGCTTCCAAGCACTGATACACCATTAAATATAGCCAGAAGTTGAGTCTAAATAAAAGATAAGTAAAAGTTGTGACTTGGCCAGTGAATATTAAAGTCTACCAACAGCCAGAGAGAAAAGAGAGAAACAGACCACTGGAACAGGTAAAACCTAGTAAAAACGATTATTGGAAGAACTACAGGCTTGAATAGGAAAATAAGAGTATTCAAGCCTTTTAACAAATTGCTTTAAACTTGGTGGGGGAGGTGGGGGAATTTTCACATTTAATGTTTATTTTTAAAAAATACTATAAAGTCTCAAATTATTGGCCTTGAAAATCAATGAGAAAAAATGTCAGATACAAACTAAAAAGTAGTAAGAGATAATGGAAAATGATTAGAGAAGTTTAAGGACAAGTCTTAAAATTTTTAAACACACGTCCTTTCTGTATCATTAGCACTTTCAGAATAAAAGCATTACGACAAGGTTTAGAAGGATATTAGAGAAGTCAGGAAACATTCTTTTTAAAGTTCCAGTAAATTAGAAAACAGCTGCTAAAATTAGAGTAAATGAATAAAATGGTTTACTTGTAAAGTAAGTATAGATATTTTCTGTGTCATTGATAGTAGACAAGAAAGGTAGAAGAATTAAAGCTTTGAGTGGGGGAGTTTTTGGGATAAATTTAACATAGAAAGTACTAGATCTGTATAATGCTATAAAATATTTTGAAAGAGTGGATTAATCTCTCTTTTTTTGGCTTTTTGGGTTATACCCGGCGATGCACAAGGGTTACTCCTCTTGGCTCTGCACTCAGGAATTACTCCTGGCGGTGCTCAGGGGACCATATGAGATGCTGGAAATCAAACCCGGGTTGGCTGCCTGCAAGGCAAACTCCCTACCGGCTGTGCTATTGCTCCAGTCCCACGAGTGGATTAATCTAAACAATGGATCTTAATCTTTTTCTAGAATGCATAAAAGTTAAATATCAATTCTCAATACTTAAAATGTAATTCAGTTGTGAATCACCATAGATTGCTTTCAAAGTTGGAGTGGGGGGTGAGGGAGAATGAACCACTTGGAAAGGTAAATATTCAGTTCAAGAATAGCTAAAAAGAGAAGTTTAAGTGAGTATTTGACCTGACAGATATTTAAGCGTATTGTAAAACTTCTGTAGTGCAAACAGTGTAAATGGAGTTTCGGTGATAAGTTGACAGGACAGCTTGAAGTAAAACACATAGGGAGACTTAGTGTATTGATCAAGTTTACATTTTAATTTAGTAGGAAAGGGATGAATGTAACCTTCAGCTATGTGGAACAAAGTAAGGTTGAATTCCTTTCTTGTGTCATATACCAAAATAAATGTCAAAAAAGAAGACTGCACTTTGAAAGAAAATTTGGAATATATGTGTAATCTGTGGACAAGACATTTAAAATAAGATGTTATATGGTAGGTGTAATATCGGACATCTTTATCATTTTCTATAAATAGGATGTGTTTTTATTTTTTTTAATTTCCTAATATGGAAAAATTACTGTTTGGAGACAAGTAGAAAATTTTGCTTATATCTTTTTAATCAAAGTCTGCCATAAAATTTTGAGTTTGGATGTTCTCATTAAGCAAATGCCGAAGCAGAAGAAGGTATTTGGATTTATTCTGTGCTTCCAAAGTTAATGTCCAAGTCATATCATTTACTGTTTTGTATTCTGCTTATGGTGTCCTAAATCGTTGCCTATGCTATTTTAAAATGGAAATCAATTCCCTTTGAGCTTGAGTTAGTTGCAACTGATAATAGCTGTCGCTCTTTTTACTAAAGGGTATGAAAGTGCCAGTATGTCTAGCACATGTGAACCTTGCAAAAGTAGGAACAGACATTCAATCCAGACTGAAGAGCCTGTTCAAGCAAAAGTATTCTGCAGAAAGAATCACGAACAGCTGGAAAAAATAATAAAATATAGTAGGTCTACAGAAATATCTTCAGGTACGTTCTTTTTTAATTTGCTTTAATTTAAGAACTTAGATTTTTAAAATGCTGTGTTAAAGTAAGTTTTTAATTAATCTCATTGTTCTTTGATGCAAGATCTTTACAGTAGAGAAATGTAAACTGGAAATATTTTTTGTATAATAGCCTTTCACAAATTTTGGTAAAATTCTAAAGAAAAATGTTTTATTGACATTAGTTTGGAGCTCTTAGTTTGAAATTCTGAACTCTTGTCTGTTTAGGAACTAGTTGCAAAGGCCTAGTGTTTCTCTGCTTAAAAGCTTTGGTTTGGGGCCAGATTGATAACTGAGTGCCGGCCTGTCAGGGTTCTGTTACTGTCTTCTCATATAGTCTCCCAAGCACTGCCAAAAGTGAGTCCTGAGTGCAGAGCCAGGAGTCACCTCTGAGCATCGCTGGGTATTGCCCTCAAAACAGAACAAAACAAACTTTGTCTTCATAGGAAAAAGTCTGAGTACTTTAATATATAATAACATATATGGCCAGTAGAAATTTAGTTTCTTCCCCTTTTTTGCTTTAGATTTCTCTTCTCACTACCATCTCTGTTGAACTTTACTCTTTAGTGGCACTGAAGTTTTCTCATAGCTATGCTTTTTCTCACTTCACTGATTGTCCTTTCTGCCAAAACCTATTTTGATCTTTTAGTTGCCCCTTTCTCTTCAGAATCAAATATGAAATCATTTTAATTCTAAAATTCTAAAACTGAATCTAAACCAAAATAGTCAAGTTTCCCTTTTTGTTTCTGTTGTGTCTGTGTAAATCACGTTTATTATCTATATTACATTCTATAGTTGTAAACTATATCATTTTTTCGAATCCTCAGAAGCAGGTAATACTATTTCATTTTCTTAAATGTTAGCATAATACTGATCACATGGTAAGCATTCGGTTAGGTATTTATTAAGTGAGCGGAGTTACAAGTATTTGCTACTATCTAAACTTAAATAAGTTCTGATACTTTCCGGATTTATAAGTAAAAAAAAATACCAAAGAAATATGGAGTGGGAGACTCAGTTTTCTGAAAATGGGTAATAGCAACTACAATTTATATTGTACATATTTATAAATTCTCTCGTGAGCTTCATAATTATTATGTGCATTGATTTTGTTTTTCAGCTGTAGAAAATAGGTATAGAAACATAAAAGACAAGTAATATAAATGGTGCGATTTTTGTGGAAAATTTCAAAACTCTTGCCATTTACCTAGTTATACTGTAGGCATGAAAAAAGAAAAAGGAATCATATAGATTTTGTCTGATGAGTATGGTTCCAACCGTCTCTTTAAGTGAAAATTAATAATCTAAAAATCGATGGGCCAGAGGAAAAGCTCAGTGGGCGAAAATGCATGCTCTGCCTTTAGGAGGCCCAGGTGCTATACCTGGTAGTGCATGGTCCGCCAGCGCCAAATCATGAGATTCCTCTGAGCACTGCCAAGTATGATCCCCCCCCCCCCCCCCAGGAAAACAGTCTGAGTAAAAAAGAGTAGAAGAAAAGACATCAAAATTCAGTAGTAATTGTATCATTTTTCAGATTTAACATTTCTTAAACTGTTTTTTTGTGGGGTCACACTCGGTGATGCTCAGGGGTTACTCCTAGCTCTGCACTCAGGAATTACTCCTGGCAGTGCTCAGGGGACCATATGGGATGCCAGGTATCGAACCCGGGTTGGCTGTGTGCAAGGCAAACACCCTACCCGCTGTACTATCGCTCCAGCCCCACATTTCTTAAATTTTTATAATCAGAAAACAATTATTTATATATTGAAATTCTTTTTAATTTTTTGGGTCACACATGGCAATGTACAGGGGTTACTCCTGGTTCTGCATTCAGGAATTACTTCTGTCAGTGCTCAGGGGACCATATGGGATGCTGGAAATCGAACCCGGGTTGGCCGCATGCAAGGCAAACGCCCTACCTGCTGTGCTATTGCTCCAGCCCTATATTGAAATTCTTCGTGATGGTATTATTAGGAAATGGTAGAGCTGAAGGTTCAATCCTTGTTTTCTATTAATAATTGTTGTTCTAGGAAAAAAAAAACCTACTGTCCCAACCTCAGAGTTTTACTATAATTTTATTTTTATTTCAGCTCCCTTCTGTCATCTGTCATCTTTATTAAATAGTGATTTATTGAAAGGGTAAAAAGTTGGGGAAGGACGGACACTAATTTGAAAGGCTTAAAAACTTGGATCAGTTAGTATTAGTAGTACCTTAAACAATTACTGTTGCTCCATACATAGGAAAATATACTTAACGAATATTTTTTAAATGTTTGAATAGTTGAAAGTCCATTTATATATATTTACATATCACTTTCTAAAATGAATTATGACCATTAGTACAAAAATTCTCAATAACGTAATAGTTTTTGACATTTATTGTTGGAGAGTACTATATATCACTATTTTTGAGTTGTGCAGTTATCTCCTCCCTCAGAGGTTATGGAAAATTCATCTGGATGTGCATTCTTATTAAAACAAATAAGTTACAAGTTTATTGTGATAATCATATCACATTAAGTATTAATAAAAGTTTGTAGCAGTTTTTTAAAGATTTTTCTGAGATTATTTTTTAAGTAGAGCTTAAACTATACCTGATAGTAACATTCCAGTTCGGACAATTTTAGATTAAATTTGTTTGATTTTCTTTTTTCCCTTCTCTTACTCATATTATAAACCCTGTCTTTACATACACATTTTATTTTCATCCTTATGTCTGCCCTTTCCTACAGCACATGCTAGGAGAATGCTACAGCAATCTAACAGAAATACTTGCAATGAAGCGACAGGTAATGATCTTCTTAATTTTGGCTCCACTTTTTGTCAGATAACTTCTGTTGGTTCTAAAAATCCTTAAGTTTTACTGCTCTGGGTTTTTGTTTTATTTTGCTTTTTAGATTTAGCTTAGTATAAATATGCCACTCATTATCATAAAAGTGAAAAAGATTTTACAGCCATAAAATTCTGACGCTTTTCATTTATTAATCTTGAGTTTTTCTTTTTGGTTTCATTTCTGTTTAGTGTATAAGTAACACACTCTGATAATAGAAAACTTTTAATGACTTAGTATTTTATTTGAAAATTTTATTTGAAACACTTAAGTGCTCTAGAGAATATTATTTTTTGAAATAAACATGTTCTTAATCTTTGATTTAGTGTTTATTACTGCATATGACTTGTGTTGCAATTCCTTATTTTTTCTTAGCAGTCAGGTCTACTTAAAAGAATTAAAAGCAAAAAGTAGAGAATAAAAATCTTGTGTATATGTTCAGGAGAACCTTAAAACCGAGGACCTAGAACTGACATCTGAGTAGCAGTCATTTTTCTTAAAGGAAAAACATTTTGAAAGTAGCATAAAAATAGAATGGAGGACCAGAGAAATAGTACAGAGGGTAAGGTATGTGCCTTACATTTAGCTGACCCAGGTTTAGTCTTTGGCACCCCACAATGTTCCCTGAATTTTGCTAGAACTCATCACTGTGCACAGAACCAGAAGTAAGCCCTGAGTACAGCACAATTTGGCCTGAGTCTCCTCCCCACCCCTCCCCTAAACCCTGGCACTAAAAAATCGAATGAAGGGGCCAGGGAGCATTTCTAGCATGCACCCAACCTGGGTTTGACCCCTTGCACCATATGGTTCAGAGATCATCATCAGATTCTGCCCTGGAGGCCCCTCAGCACCACCAGCTATTGACCCTAAAAGTCCCCTAGCACTGCAAGGCCAAATCAGCATGGCATCCTCAGACCCTTGCCTTGAAATGCCTGCCCCATTGGCCAGTAATTACCAGTGGTGATCCCAGGACTCCTGAGCAGTGCTTAAGGGTGAGCGGGATGGAGGGGGCAGAAGGAATCGTAAAAACCTGAGGCCAAGGACTTTTCTGGTCTGAGCTAATGTGTTCGTACCAGAGAGAAAATCTGGCCAAAACTTTCAATCTCTTGTACAGGAGAGGTGTGAAACATGTTGACATTGGGAATAAGGTGATCTTTAAAATAGATAATTTAGATGATATACTCAGCTAATAATGTCATTAAATATGCCATATTCTTAGTCTTTGAAATCATGAGCATTCCCTAAATTTAAAATATATATGCTATATATATAATAGACAAAAGTTAGTATATCAAATCTTTTGGTTTTGGTTTTGGTCTACACCTGGTGGTGCTCAGAAGTTGCACCTGGCTTAGCACCCAGAATTCACTCCTGGCGGTGCTCAGGGGACCATATGTGTTGTCAGGAATTGAACCTTGGATGGCTACGTATAAAGCAAGCACCTTACTGTTTTTTCACCCCTGCATATAGAATTTTTAAGTGAAATTTTCCTATGTAGTGAGGTTGTTTTGTTTTTGTTAATATTATCTCTGCATTAAATGTACTTGAATATTTTTAAAATATTAAGGGAGCCAGAAAAATAGTATAGGGGTTAATAAGGTGCTTACCTTGCATGTAGCAGACCCTCATTTCATCCCCAGCCTCACATACTCACCTCACATACCCCCCAATACTGCCAGGAAGCACTGAGCATAGAGGGTGTTAGCTGGCCCCCTACCCAATATCAAGAGAACATTAATATAGCAGTTCATTTTATGCTCATGAATGTCTGAGGCAATATAGAACAGTTTACATATTCATTATTTTTATTTATAGGTGTAAAACTTGAAACCTAAAAGATTAGCAAATTTATGAAAGGTTTCTTTGTTTAGTTCGTGTTTTCTGTGTATTTTCTTTTGTATAAAGTGAGTTAGTATTTTTGATATTTGAAATATTTTTCAAATGTTTATCATTGAAAGTAGAATATTTAAGTATTTGCTGTTTAACTTTTCTTTCTTAGAAACTTATCACTGAATTTTGTAGAACTTAAATATTTGTGGTTTTACCTTTAGAAAGTTAACAGTATTTTGTAGCTAAAAATGCCAGTTAGCAATTTTCTTAAAAGGATTGGCTTTTTTGTGGGGGATTTGTTGTTGTTGTTTTGCTTTTGTTTTCGGCAACAGCCAGCAGTGCTCAGGAGGACTTACTCCTGCCTTTGGACCCAAGTCACCTCTGGCGGGCTCTGGGGACCAGATAGGGTAGCAGGGATTGACTAAGATTGGCCGCTTGCAAGGGAAGCACCCTAATCACTGAACCACCACTCTGGCCCAGGAATTTGTTTATTTTTTTAGTAGCACAATATAGGAGCAGTTCCTGATTTGTATATAAAATGCGCTTATTACTTTAAAGGTGATAGTTCTGTTTATCAGTGGTTAAAATTGCACTAAATAATGGAGTATGCTTGCATTCTGTGAAACTTCTGCTCTGATGACATTGTCACTGTCACTGTCACTGTCCTCCCGTTGTTCATCGATTTTCTCCAGCGGCCTAGTAACGTCTCCATTGTGAGACTTTGTTGTTACTGTGTTTGGCATATCTAATACATCCCAGGTAGCTTGCCAGGCTTTGCCGTGCGAGCGAGATACTCTCGGTAGCTTGCTGGGCTCTCCGTGAGGGGCGGAGGAATCGAACTAGGGTCGGCCATGTTAGCTGCGTGCAAGGCAAACGCCCTACCCGCTGTGCTATCGGTAAATAGTAAAATTAATCACTTCTGAATACTTTACAAATTCTGTTTTTTTATCAAGAGAGCATAATAGCTGAGATTTAAAAATCAGTAGGCCTAATTAGATAGAACTTAAAATACTGACAACTTAAAATTGAGAGCTCTCAGTTCTTGGAATTTTCCTTTTCTGAGACCAGAAAGATAGTATAGGGGTTGAGGCTCTGACTTGTGTGTGGCCAGTCTTGTTTCAGTCTCAGTATTTTGAGGTCGTCTCAAGCAGACAATATCCCAGCCCCCGAGCCCCAATTTTTTTCCTTCTCTCGCTGAAATTTTATATTTACAGAAAGAAATGTATTTGCATTTGCTTACTTTACTCAAAAGATTTTTACTTTTTTTTTTTTTTAAATAAGGCCAGAGCAGTGGGTTCGGTGCTTCTACTGGCACCTGGCTGACCCAGACTCTATACCTAACAGCACATGGTCCACTGAGCCACACCAGGAATGATCCACAAATGCAGAGCCAGGAATAAGCCCTGAGCACTATTGGGTATGACTTGAGAACCAAAATAAATAAAATTTTGTAGGCTAAAGTTTAGTATAATTGAAAAATAGGTAATAAAATTTAAATATTTCTCTAAATATTGTTATGTCTTGGTATCTTCAAGATTATGTTGGGAATTATAAGATCATTTTTCCACTAAAATATAAATTTCCCAGAATAGAATTAGGAGTATTAAAAGTTACAGCGAGTAGGAGGACTAGACCACACCCACCAGTGTTGAGACTTTACTCATGGCTCGTGCTTAAGTGTCATTCTTTGGTGCCAAGGATCAAACCAGGACTGCCTTGTGCAAGGCAAGAAGTGCCTTAAACCCTGTACTGTCTCTCCAGCCTCGAGGATGTCCCACTTTTTAAGCAATTTAAAACAATATATGATGTAGCAACAATAATAAGATAGTTGTTCTGAAGGTATTAATAATATAGACTTCCTGATATTTTATATCTTTCAGAAACTGGAAGTGATTTTTCCACATTTGAAGCTCTGAGGGATACTATTTACTCTGAAGTAGCTACATTAATATCACAAAATGAATCCCGTCCACATTTTCTTATTGAACTCTTACATGAGCTTCAGCTGCTTAACACAGATTATTTGAGACAGAGGGCTTTATATGCACTGCAGGTATCTGTACCTAACATTCTTTTCCCTACCCTATCTGGTATTGTCTCTGTACTTTAGCTAAGTGTATCTTTATAAATATGGGGTTTTGGGATTTGGTTTAACTTTATTTTTACAATACCTCTTTCAACAGAGGCATGTACTTTTTATTCTTGAGTTAGATTCTCATCCCCAACTCTTACTGTCCTTACATGTATTTTGATTTTTTTGTGCTTATTTGCCATTGTATATAAAACTTCTAGTATCCTTTAAGTAGCTTTTAGATTAACGCCATTATTTGAAGTAATTTTCAATGTTTCACGTTTAACCTATGCTTGACTATTAATAACATTTGTTTTTCAATATGCTGCTTTTGAATTTTTTTTAAAAAAAACATGTATTATATTGATACTTTATTTCCCTATCTAGGACATCGTATCCAGACATATTTCTGAAAGCCATGAGAAAGAAAATGTAAAGTCAGTGACTTCTGGTACATGGATAGCTTCAAACTCAGAACTAACGCCCAGTGAAAGCCTTGCTACTACTGATGATGTAAGCTGATAATGATTAATGAAATGTAGACATAATTCAGTATGCATTAAGCAAAGCTGGAGGTTGTAAACGATGAATAAATGAAATATACTGGGGGGCAGGGGCTCCCAAGCAATGCTCAGAAGATCCAGAGCGCTCCCAGTGGTTCTTAGTCAATCTCATCAGTAGTTCAAGGGTCTTACTGAAATGCTGCTTAGGCCCAATCGTGCTGGCGATTACCCAGGCCCACTCCAGTGGTGCTGAGAACCTCCATGGTTGTATCCAGCATTGCTGGGGGCCTTGTAAAGGAACCTGTACTATCTCCTGCTCCTTTTTAAAAAAGCTAGTGTAAAGTATTATTTTGAGCACAGTTTAAGCCCTGGGTTCAATCCAGAGCACCATGTTAAACAAAAAATAGGAGTAGAAAAAATATCAAGATAGGTATAAATGATGGTATAAGGCATAAAGTCACCACATTTACATCTACATTTCCCAACAGGAGCTTGATATAAAGGACAATCAGACTGCAGTAAAAAAAAAAAAAAAAGACTAATACATATAAGTTAATCAGGTTAAATAGCTAGAGAAAGTCATCAATCAAGGATATGTATGTAATTTTCAGATTAATGCATAAAATTTTAAATCAAGTATAAAGGACCTGGAAATGGAAAAGAGTGATGTGGAAAATGGTATTTTCAGTATTTATTATTTTCAGTTATTTTCAATAAAAATGCTATTTGAAGAATTTCAGATAGCACCTAACTAGCATGGAGGTGATTGAGTGACTAAATGGCAACAGTAGTAGAAGACAGAAAAGATAACATGTTAGAGATTTGGAAATCATCTTTATAAAACCAGACTCTGACTTTAATTTTAAAGAATTAGGTATAGTTCTGGGAAAGCAAATACATACTTTTTTAAATGCTAATTCTAGCACCTCAGTGTTTGTGGATGAGAATTGTAATTGTCTAGTAACTATCACTCCTGTAGAGTTGAAAGCATATTACTGATTTTTGCCCACTGTTGATAGTGTGAACTTTATATATTTTTGAAGAGATTTTATTTTCTTGAAGAATGCCTTTTTATATAGTAATTACATGCCAGTGGTTAATGTATCAAACTGTTAAAAGTCACTATCTCCATGTTTCTAGACTAAGGTTCGTTAAATTCCATTTATGGAGCTTTTTACACTTTGTTACATGTTGTCCTGTTCAGGAGAGAGTAAAAATCCTGGAATTATAAGTGAAATAGGTTGGGAAATTGAGGTTTAGGTAAAGGAAAAAGCACTACAGTTCATCTAGATGCTATAAAATGACAAAAGGAAGTATACTTCAAATCTTCACACCTGAAGGAACAACAAAGTATTTTTATTCTTTAAAACATCTCTGGGCTGGAGCGATAGCACAGCGGTAGGGCGTTTGCCTTGCATGCAGCCAACATGGCCGACCCGAGTTCGATTCCTCCGCCCCTCTCGGAGAGCCCGGCAAGCTACCGAGGGTAACTCACCCGCATGGCAGAGCCTGGCAAGCTCCCCGTGATGTATTCGATACGCCAGACACAGTAACAAGTCTCACAGTGTTACTGGGCCTGCTCGAGCAAAACATCTCTACTTTATAATGTCCTTAATCGAGAGCAGACTTTTTGGGTGCGGGCTGGGGGGACTCAGCACACCTGACTCTGCTCAGGTCTTACTTCCTGGCTTTGTTCTCAGGTGCTCAGGGATCACTCCTGGTTGTGATGGAGGAATAGTATTGGGTGCTGGGCCTGAACCCCGGTCGACCACATACATGGCAAGTGTCCTGTATGCTGTGCTGTCTTTCCAGTCCCAGAAACAAACTTTACTTCATATTGTAAGAGAAAAACTTTTAATAGTAGCTGGAAGAAAAATTAGTTTGCACTTGTGAAATGATGATTCAGTCAACCAGACTATTAAAAATGGATTAATCTTGAAAAGCTGAAGTTCTGAAAGAAAACAAAATATCTTCTTGACTTTTTATATAAGCAAAGATTTCTCAGAACATAAAGCCTCTAACTATAAAGGAAAAAATTGTTAAAAATTGTTAAATCATCACTATCACCCCGATGTTCATCGATTTGCTTGAGCGGTCACCAATAATGTCTCCATTCGTCCCTGTCACCTGCTAGTGTAGCCCGATGGCATATTGGGGGCTCTTTCAGGGTCAGGGGAATGAGGACAATCATTGTTACGTTTTTTGGCATATCGAGTACGCCACAGGTAGCTTGCCAGGCTCTGCCATGCGGGCGGGGTACTCTTGGTAGCTTGCCAGGCTCTCTGAGAGGGATGGAGGCTTTTGGAGCAGCCTCCCATCACCTTTACAGGTGTTCCCAGTCAGGCATATATGCAGGCAGGATACTCTCGATAGCCTGCCAGGTTCCCTGAGAGCATGTGTGTTGTATGTTAAATCATACTTTATAAAAATGAAATTCTTATGGGCCAGAGATAATACAGGAGTTAAAGACACTTGACTTTACCTATGGTTCATTCCAGTTCAATACATAGCTTTGAATATGAGTTTAATACTCATTTAAAATAAATGAATATTTAACAATATTTAGTTCAGTATTCAATACCCTGCTCTTCCTTAAGCATAGAGCAAGGAGTAGTCCCTGAACACCACTAGGTGTAGCACAAAACCCCCGAAATAAGTAAATTCTTTTGGGCTGGGGAAGTAGCAGAAGGGCTGGAACTGGGCTTAACTTCAGTCCCAGGCACCACAGACCCCCAGCCTCAGCACCAATAGGTTGCCCCAGTGCCCGCACCCTCCACCCCCCAGCTTTGTTGGGCCTGAGCCGCACTGTATTGCTGGGCTCAAGCACTGTACCATCAGGCTCATGTCGTGAGGGCAAGTATCATCCCTTGTACCTTACTTGGAAGTTCCAAAATACATGATGAGGGGGCTGGAGAGATAGCACAGCGGGTAGGGCGTTTGCCTTGTACGCGGCCGACCCGGGTTCAATTCCCAGCATCCCATATGGTCCCCTGAGTGCAGAGCCCGGAGTAACCCCTTGCATCGCCAGGGTGACCCCCCCCACCCTCCAAAAAAAAGCAAAATACATGATGAAATCTACTTTTCAAAAGATAAAATTCAAAGAAAATAAGCTTGGGGTTGGAGTGATAGTACAGCAGGGAGGTTGCTGGCCTTGCACATGGCCAACCTGAGATTGACCCCTCAATCCCTGACATCCCATATAGTCCCCCAAGCACCAACAGGATTGCAAATCAAGCGCCTCAGGGTATGACCCATTTAAAAAGAAAAGAAGAAAAGGAAGTAACCTCAATTTATCCGACAGTTTACTATAGGCATGACAAATCCAGACTACAGTCACTGTCACTGTCCTCCCCTTGTTCATCAATTCGTTTGAATGGGCCCAGTAACATTGTGAGACTTGTTGTTACTGTGTTTGGCATATCAAATACGTAACAGGTAGCTTGCCAGGCTTTGCCGTGTGGGTGAGATACTCTCAGTAGCTTGCGGGGCTCTCCGAGTAGGGCAGAGGAATCGAACTTGGGTCGGCCGGGTCGGCTGTGTGCAAGGCAAACACCCTACCCTCTTGTGCTATTGCTCCAGCCCCCAGACTATCGTAAGATAAGCGAATCAATAAATGTGATCAAGAGATTTTTGAATAGTGCTTTGTGAAAGATATTTGGGCGTTGTACAAAAAAACCTACCACCCACCCACTAAAATGGCTGAAATTAAAGTGATTAACTATAATGTTGGTGTGAAATGGAAAAAACTGAAACACTGTTTCTGAGGCTGTAAAATTGTACATCATGATAGAGAACAGTTTAGCAGAGTCTTAAACATAAACTTGGCAGTGATTTTACAGCTTTCTCTTGGAAGCATATGTCTACAAAAACACTTGTACACTAAGACATTAGTGTTCTTCACTCCATTAGTATTGAAACTTTCAAAATGAGACATTAACTCAATAAATATATCTCTAAAATGGAACACAGTATAGTCATTTTAAATGAAGATGACATCTTAAACACAGGATTGTGGATTAATTTCTAAAACATTAAGGAAAGAACCCAGATGCTAAAGAGTGTATAATGAAATGGTTTGAAGTTTTTAGCAAACCTGATCAGTCATCTCAGAAATTAAGGCAGCTGGGATAGAGTGGAGAGTATGCAGGGGTGCTAGGGAACTTTACGGTTGGTGAAAAGGATTTTTAGGGAGGGCAGTTCCACGGGGATATATATTTTTAAAATTCACTGAATTGTACTTAACAGGTACATTGTATGTATATTATATTCCAATAAAGTTGATTTAAAAATATGAATGATGGTGTTATGTTTTTCTTCTGGATATGTGATACAAATTATTGTGATTTAGAGATGAATTTTCTTAATACATAATTTAGAATGTTAATTCTTTCCAAGTATAAGACTACTTAATATTTTAATGTGACACTGGTTATATTACGGTCATGGTTAGATGTAGTATTCCTGTAATTAAAAAATAGTATTTTTTAGTATACTTTTATGGAAAAACTTAGTTTCTTTGTTAAAATCTTAGTCATAATTTTTTAAGGAACATTAGTGATCTTTATTTTTTAAACTAACTTAGGAAACTTTTGAGAAGAACTTTGAAAGAGAAACACATAAAATAAGTGAGCAAAATGATGCTGATAATGCTAGCGTCATGTCTGTATCTTCAAATTTTGAGCCTTTTGCAACAGATGATCTAGGTAAGCGGAATTTTTATGATCTTAGAACATGACTTTAATACAGTCCTTGAATTTTATTGGAAAGGAAGTAAGGTCTAGAAAGGCAAGAAAGTAGAACACTCAAAATGAAAATTATCCATCTGTCTAAAACGAGTAATTGTCAGTTCTTTGACCTTTGGCAAATCATTTCATCTTTCTCACTCTACAAAGGAAATGAAGGTCCTGCTTTGTTATTGTGAGAAAAACATAGACCTTTCTGATATGTGTAATAGCACTTTAGAAAAGTTTCCATACCCTTAAGAGGGAAAATTCATCTCTCTAGTTAATGAGACTGCTCAGGTATCAATTCCTCATCAAGTCACGTTTTCAGTGGTAGTATTAAATCTATAATGAGAAACAAGCTGACAGTATAAATAATCTTCAGTGGGAAAGTTTGGCAACCTTAAGTCATGACAGATTGCTTTTTGCCCCCAGTTAAAAATGTCCCTCTTTTGTTATAGTTGTTTCTGAAATGACTAGTAGTCAAACACGTGGTCAGGGTGATTGCACGCACAAGTGTTGCGACCTAAGGGATCTCAAATGCCAGTTCCATCTCTGAGTGCTTTGGGATGGAGTATGACCTCCTTAGCCTCACTTTGGTAAGGCAGGTACTCTACTATTGAACCATCCCTAACCCCCCTGCACATTGCATTTTATTCTTGTTCTGTTTTTATAGGGGCCACTCCCAGTGGTCCTTAGATGACCTTACACATGACAGACAAGTATTCTGTTACAACTATCTGGCCCCTGACACATTACATTTTTTATCATTAGTTGTAAAACAAAATACGTTTCTTGTATTGCATAAGCTTTTTTTTTTTTTTAAAGGAATCCTAGTTCTGGACTAGGAGATTTTGGGGGAAATGTACAGGATTTGATTCATTTCATTTCATTCATTTCATTTTCCAAGCTTGCTTATTAAAAGATTGTCAAGTATTTCATCATTTAGACCTCTAGGGCACGTAAGTTGTTCCCTTTAGAGTTCATATAATGAGAATAAAATGTAGGTAATTCTTTATAAAGGCATTTCTTTATTACAACGGATGAAGTTACTTTTAACCTGATTAGTAAGGAACATCTGAATAACTATAGTGAACTCATTCCTAGAGAATAGCTTTAGCTAACCCCCTGCCTTAGGTTGTACCTGTTTCTAAGTTACCTCCCCACTTTAGAGTTATGTTTCATTTACTAATTTTTTTTTTCCCTAATCTCTCACCACTGGCTTTGAGAACACAGAACTGGGGAATCTCGTTCTTAGGCCCTTTGTTTACCTTACTTATTTGTTGAAGCATGTTGTGAAATATATCTCTCACTTATACATTTCATATATGAGTATACATATATACACACATAAATACCAAAGCTTAATAGATCTTAGCTCAAATCCCTGCTCCTATACTTTACTGGCTATGAAATCTTTAACTTATATTCTCTAAAAATGAGGGTACTGTTTTAGGTAAAACATAGTAAAATATATATTTCACATATATATACTTATATATACCTATAGTAAAATACACCTTTTTTATGTATTATATATTATATACATAACACACACATACATAGATTATTAAATTTGAGTGTAAATTCCTCCTACGTTCCACTAGCTTGAAATCCTTGACATTTTAAGTTCTTTGAAAATGAAGGCACTGTTCCCTACTTTATAGAGATATCTGAAGATTAGAGGAATCTGATAATGTGCACATTATCCAACCAGAGCTGTACCTGAAATTTAATCACTAGTTTTTCACTGTGTTCATGTGTTTTTATTTAGAGATATTTGTTCTGTATGCAGGTAACACCGTGATTCACCTAGATCAAGCATTAGCTAGAATGAGAGAATATGAGCGTATGAAAACTGAGACTGAAAGTAATGCAAATGCAAAGTGCTCCTGCAGAATTGTTGAAGCTGAAGATGGGGCTGCTGCCACAGCTACTGTTAATTTAGAAGGTGTGTTCTTGAATTCATTAAGATCATAATTCCTTATATAAAAGAAACCTGACATATATAATAGTTTTATTTTTTTAACCACTTTGAAGTTTTAGCGTCTTAATACTACATATTGGTTTGATCTAGCATAAAATTGTTAGTATTTAATACTTAGATCCAATACTTAATTTGGTTAATACAAAATTTTCTTTTTAAAAATAGAAAATCCTGTTGAAAACCATGATGCACAACAACCTGTCAACGAAGTTTCTACTGTCCCGTGTCCTAGAATAGATACTCAGCAGCTGGACCGGCAAATCAAAGCAATAATGAAAGAAGTCATTCCTTTTTTGAAGGTAAGCAGCAATATTTTCAGTCTGCACTTTTATTAATGCACACAAAGATAGTCATTATTATTAATCAAAAACTCTGTTTTCATTTTGGATTTGTTTATTTGGTTTTGGTTTGGGGCCATATCTGGTGGCGGGCAGGTGTTATTCCTAACTCTGTATTCAGAAATCACTCCTGACAGTCCTCAGGTTACTGTATGGAATGCCAGGGAACCCAGGTTGGCCAGATGTACTGTACTCTCTCCAACTCCCCCAAAATATATTTTAAATTACACATATATTTTGTTTATTCAAAAAGTTTTTAGAATGTTTGGTTTGTGGACATAGCAGTGAACAAGTTCAAACCTTTTTACTCTTGTGGAACTATATTCTAGGTAGTTCATTCTGGGTCGTACAAAAATTTTTTAACTTAGGAAACAAATTTTTTTCTTTAAGAAAATTTCAATATAAAACACAGAAGTAAATGTATATGAGTTAGATACTTGTGCCATACAGAAAATTAAAATATAGTGACTAGGAGTGCCCATTTTAGATTAAATGGTTAAACTTCCCTAAAGGTTTCCAGAGAGGAAATACTTAAATAGAGATGTAAACACCAGCTTATTTTCAAACAGTGCAAAGGCATAAAAGGGAAGTCCAGGGGATGATTTATTGCCCTCACGAAAGCATGAGGCATGAGGTCATGACTATGACTGGACATTGGTCATATGTTCGTATTGATGCCCACAGGCACCAGATACAGCTTTTGGCAACTCTGGGTGGTAGCCCCAGCATCTCACCCTCCCCCAAAAAAGTACTTGGGAGAGTAGATACTTACAATGCTTATAATAACTGACTACTTATTCATGAATCTAATCTTACTCTTCCACTGGTGTTTAATCTCTTGCCGATATGGGACTGTTATTGCTAGTGAGTTTTGTTTGTTGTTTTGTTTCAGTGAGTTTAATCCTTAGGTTTTGGGGATTTTGTGTTTTGGGGTGGGGATGAGGTGGGGGACCCCAGGTTGAGCCTGGGGATTTCAGGGGCGCTGTAATTCTCTCAATTCTCTGTCCAGATTAATGCTATGTCCTGAGATATGGTGATGCTCGGGCCCTTTGTTGCCAGAGATCAAACTCTCTCTGGCCCCGCTATATCAACTAGTGGCTAGATCAACTGAGGACACCAATTACGATTTATATTTACAGGTTTTTAGTGAGTTTTTGTTGTTTCTTCACAGTGCTAGGGATTGAACCAGGTCTCATGAATGCAAGCCATGTACTTTATTACTTTTCTACCTTGGTACCATCTTGATGCTGCCTCTCCCCTTTCTATTCAGATAAATACCAAGACATGTTACTGCTCAGTCAGAGTATTTCTATTTTCAGTTTTTAAAAAAAATTCCATACCATTTTGATCTAGTTATTTTTTATTTTGTGGCTATACCCGGCAATGCCCAGGGCTGTCTTTTTACTAAGGGATCCTTCCTGGTGGAGCTCAGGAAACCATAAAGGGTGCCAGGAATCAAACCCAGGTCAGCCACCTGTAAGACAAGCACCCTACCCACCGTACAATCTCTTTAGCCCCAGGTTTGCAAACTCTTTTTCTTTTGGGCCACACCTGGCTGTGCCAGGGCTTATTCCTGGTGGGGCTTAGGAGAGGACCATGTAGGATGCTGGGGATCAAACCCAGGGCAGCCGCATACAAGGCAAGTGCTCTATGCCCTGTACTGTTGCTTTGCCCCCAGGTTTGCAAACTTTTAATGTGTAGAGTGGAAGTTTTAGTATTTTTAAGGTTAGGTATTTCCGAACACGTACCTGAATGTTGAGAAGCATTTGTTACGGGAGAAATTAAGCCTCATCTAGATTGGTACTTTTAATAATAGGAGAATTTATATTCTAATCAATTTTGGATTTTTTTCCAGGAACACATGGATGAAGTTTGTTCTTCTCAACTCCTAACTTCAGTAAGACGGATGGTTTTGACTCTTACTCAACAAAATGATGAGAGCAAAGAGTTTGTAAAGTTTTTCCATAAACAACTTGGCAGTATATTACAGGTAAAAAGTTTTACTTTTATGATTCACTAAAATGTACCATCTGGTTACAATTCTTTTTTGTGTGTGTTTTTTTCCATTTTCTGGCATTACATACAGTTCACTCAGGTAAATGTTATAGGCATTTTAATACTCTTTGGAGTATTCTTTACTTTGCTTAAAAAAGAGAGTATCGTAGGATTTCATTTAATTCGATATCTCTAAAACCTGTACCAACTAAAATTTTTCCTTTGGGCTAATGAAATATAATAGAGGAGAGGAATGTAGTTTTCTGGTTCATTTTTCAGCATCACATACAATCTCTCAAACTTAGCACAGTTCCTACTTAGTATTTTTTAATAATATTAACCTTTTTTTTCACAATAATAACAGCCTATATCTAAGATTTGTTAATACTTAAATTTGGTTTCTTTAGAAGATGAAAAATGATCATATAAACTACTCACAACAGACATTTACTATAATCATAAAGTTATTTGGTTGTCTTTGAATAGGATTCACTGGCAAAATTTGCTGGCAGAAAACTGAAAGACTGTGGAGAAGATCTTCTTGTGGAGATATCAGAAGTGTTGTTTAATGAATTAGCTTTCTTTAAGCTTATGCAAGATCTGGATAATAATAGTATAAGTGTTAAACAAAGATGTAAAAGGAAAATAGAAGCTGCTGGAGTAATACAGTCTTATGCCAAAGAGGTAAATAATATTTTCCTTTTAGGGGTCATTACAGTTCATGTATAAATACAGATCTTTTGTATGTTTGGTTTTTGTTTTTGAGTCACCCCCAGTGGTACTCCAAGCTTACTCCTAGCTCTGCGCTTCATAACCACTCCTGGCAGTGCTTGGGAGTGGGGATCAAACCCAGGTCGGCTGCATGCAGGACAAACTCCTTACCCATTGTACTATTGCTCCAGCACCTGCACTCTTTTTTTGACTCATAAAAGAAAAGGCAAATCAAGGCTCAAAGCCCAAATGATAAATCTTCCTGAAATCTGAAGTCAAACCATGTATTTTACACTGCTCTATTTTGGGGGGGCGGGGGGGGGGGAGGGAGGGCGTGGGGATTGCTAAGCGCTTAGAAACAGATATAACCATAATAAGTGATCAGGACTTTATAGATAGGCAGTATTGAGACCCTTTAAGGAGGTGAAATAATAGCTAAGGCTGAGGGGTGGGAGAGCCAAAAATGTTTATAATAAAGATAAAATATGGGTGAGCATACAGAGCTGTTCTCAGGAAGGGGTGAGTATTCGGGAGAACAGAGAAGGATAGTAACAGTCAGTAGAGGAGGTTAGGTAATAAAGGTAAGACCAAGTGATGAGACCTTATAAACCGTAATAGGGAGCTTTTATTTTATTCTCAACATAGTAGGGAGCTTTGGGAAAGTTTGAGGTAGGGAGTGATATATCTTGTATACGACTTTTTTTTTTTTTAATTTGTGGATTTCTTATTTGAACAAGAATTATAATAGAGATGAAACCCATTTTAAAACTGTTGGCTGTAGAGTCCGTAAGGAATTCTAATGGCATGATGTACATAATAAAAATGGAGCAGAGGCTGGTTCCTAATTTTTTAATTTGGTACATTTGAGTAAATGGGAAGGTCATTTTTTTTTTGCGTTTGAAGTCTAAAGGAGAATCGGGTTTAGGATAGAAAAAGAGAATCGTGATTGTTATTTTGGACTTAAAAATTTGAGATGCCTCTTCTCTATCCAAGTAAGTTGTGAGGTAGCAGTGTTGTCTTTTGAAAAAGGTTTTAATGGAAGAGTTGATTTTGTAATGTGGTATGCCAGGGATAGAAGTCAGGGCCTTCTACAAAGTAATAGCATGTTCTCTGAGCTAAATCCTGTTCTCTTGAATTTACATTTTTAAGAAAACGTTAGACAGTGTGGTGGGTAAGGCACTTGTCTTCCACACAGCCAACCATGGTTTTATCCCCAGCGTCACATCTTCGTCCTTTGATCACTGCCGGGACTAGCTCGGAGCCAAGAGTAAGCCCTGAGCACAGGCAGATAAGGCACTAAAACCAAAAAGAGAAAAAAGAAAACATTTTACTGTTTGGCTCATTGTCCAAAAATACAGCCTTTGTTAAAGTCTAGTAGTTCATTGTAAAGTTCGAGATATATAAAACCATACCTCTAAATTTTGCTTGTTTTACTTTTAGGCCAAAAGGATTCTTGAAGGAGATCATGGATCCCCCACAGGAGAAATTGATGATGAAGACAAAGTATGTGCTGGTTAACTTGTGCTTTATTTAAAATTCTTTTGAAACAGATGATTCAATAGTTTTTGAACTTCAGGTGAAATTTTCAATAGGGGCTGGAGAGATGGCACAGCGGGTAGGGCGTTTGCCTTGCATGCGGTCTGCCTGGGTTTGATTCCTAGCATCCTATATGGTCCCCTGAACACCACCAGGAGTAATTCCTGAGTGAAGACCCAGAGTCACCCCTGTGCATCGCTGGCTGTGACCCAAAAAGCAAAAAAAAAAAAAATTTTTTTTTTTCAGTAACTTTTACCTGAATGTTTTGAGAGCAAAGTTTAGGGATCATCAGATTTCCTGCTTACAAACTTTATTTTCTTCTAGAAACTAAACTCTCAAAAATGATTCTTTGTATTTTATATTGGATAATGATTTTTTTTTCCCCTCTTTGGGTCACACCTGGCGATGCACAGGGGTTGCTCCTGGCTCTGAACTCAGGAATTACTCCTGACGGTGCTCAAGGGACCTGTGGGATGATGGGAATCAACCAGGTTGGCGTAATGCAAGGCAAACACCCCACCCACTGTACTATCACTCCAGCCCCTAATGATTTATTTTTATATTTATTATAAGCCTTTTAAAAATATACTTTCATGGACTTATTGAATGTATTTGTGGCTAGGACAAGGATGAAACTGAAACTGTTAAGCAGACTCAAACATCTGAGGTACTTAAAGGTGACAGATCCAAAAATGTGAGATCTGATGTTTCAGATCAAGAAGAAGATGAAGAAAGTGAAGAATGTCCAGTGTCTATTAGTAAGTTTAAAGATTCTGTATTAACTTTATATATTCTTATAGGTGACTTGTGTGAATATGCTTAATTGAGAATTGTCAGCTCTGATTCGGATTTCTTTACCTTGACCAAATTACCTGCCGTTATAGTAATAAGTTACAGTTACAAGATTTCAGATAATTTAGCAAGTTGCACTATTCAGAAATGCTAATAAATATAACAAGTATTAAATGCTAAAATTTTACTTTAAAAAATTGTGTTAATCAACTTAGATTTGTCCAAAGCTGAAACTCAGGCTTTGACTAATTACGGAAGTGGAGAAGATGAGAATGAAGATGAAGAAATAGAAGAATTTGAAGAGGGTCCTGTAGATGTCCAGACTTCACTTCAGGCTAATACTGAAGCTACAGAAGAAAATGAACATGACAGTCAGGTATTCCATTATAGATAGAAATACCTCTTGGTTTTATTTTAGCTGTGTAATAGCTGATTCTTTTAAGAGATATCACATTTTTAATTAATTTAATCCTGAGTGGGGGTGTGGATTAACAAATCCTAAGAACTGTGAGATTAATTGGAGCAAGGATGGCAAGGGCTGCATTCAAAGCATATAATCTGCTTGTTAATCTCCCGGGCCCAGATCTGAATTTTAAGTCATCCCTATTTCTCTTAGTTCATATAAAAATAGTCCATAAAAAAATTTGCTCTTTTGGGGGTTGGAGCAATAGTACAGGGGATTAGGGTGCTTGCCTTTGCACATAGCCAACTTGGGTTCAGTCCCCAGCATCACATTTCGTTCCCTGAGCATTGCTGGGTATGCCCCCAAACCAAAATTTTTTTTTAAATTTTTTTAAAAGCAATGCAAAAAATAAAAATTCCCTTTTCAATCTCAACCTGCTTTGAAAGGCCATACATCATGTGGATTTCTTCTCCCTTTCACACCACATCTCCACATTTCTGATAACAATCATGAACATTTTTATGAGTGTGTATTTATTAGATACCACCTATTGTAGCACTGTAGCACTGTCCTCCCGTTGTTGATCAATTTGCTCGAGTGGGCCCGGTAACGTCTCCATTATGAGACTTCTTGTCACTGTGTTTGGCATATCGAATATGTCACGGGTAGCTTGCCAGCTTTGCCATGCGGGCGCGATACTCGGTAGCTTGCTGGGTTCTCCGAGAGGGGTGGAGGAATCAAACCTGGCTCTGCCGGGTCAGCCATGTGCAGGGCAAACACCCTACCCACTGTGCTATCGATCCAGCCCACCACCTATTGACTTTCTGTTAAATAGAGATGATTGTTAGATGATATATCTTCTTTTCCTTTAATCTTATCCTCATTTAATTTTATCTTTTTATTAAAATTGAATTTTATCAGAAATTTAGATGTAGGCAAACTGTAGATTTAACCAAAACATTACTGACTACTGTACTAAATAATTTGATTATTGCTTAGTCTTGTGTTTCACATCAGTTTAATCTCGGTCACGGTCACGGTCCTCCCGTTGTTCATCGATTTTTTTTTTTTCCCTTTATTGTATTTTATTTTTTTTTAAAGTTGTAGATTTACAATTTTTTGTGCTTTGGTTTCCATTATACAATGACCAGATACCCATCCCTCCACCAGTGCCCATTTTCCACCACCATGGATAATATCCCTCCCACCCCCATCCCCCCATCCCCCCGTCTCTGTGGCAGGGCAATCCCCTGTGTTCTCTCTCTCCTTTTGGGTGTTGTGGTCTGCAAAAGAGGCATTGAGTGGCAAACATGTTCAGTCCATAGTCCACTTTCGACATGCATCTCCCCTCCTGGGAGGATCCTCCAAACATCCTTAATTTGGTGCTCCCTTCTCTATCTGAACTGCCCTTTCCTCTAGGATACCCGGCTGGCCTCTAAGTTATGGAGTAATCCTCCTGGCGCTGGTTCATCGATTTTTTTCAAGCGGGCCCAGTAACGTCTCCATCATGAGACTTGTTGCTGTGTTGCTTGTTGTTACTTGTTGTTACTGTTGTTACTTCTTGTTACTCCCTTCGACAGCACATATACTAAAATTGGAACGATCAGTTTAATAATGGTCTCAATTTTTAAATTTAATTTTCCTTGAATATACACCTAAGCCTTTGGTCTCTATTACCTGTTTAAATACATAAATATCTTTAGAAGGTTTTGGGTTTTGTGGGGTTTTTAGGGGGGTTTTTTGGAGGGGTAAAGAGCTCCTTAGCAGTATTCAAGGATCCCCAGGGACTCTTGGCAAACCAGGATGGATTACTCAGTCCTGGGGCTCAAGTATAAAGTACTGTGATGCCCATAAAGGTTCTCTGATGCCAAGGACCACCTGGGCCACACTCCGGTGTTCAGGAATCTCCAGAACTGTACCTGGTAATGGTGAGGAGGCTCTTTGGTGCTGGGGATGGAATCTGTATTAGACATACACACACACCCCTAACTCTGCATTCTCCCTGGCTTGTAAATGCTGCTTTTATAATTTCTTACATAAGGGTTTTAAGGTTGGACAAAAACCACATACTAGTGACCACTTCCTGTATGGTGTCTTATGTTTTAGTCCCTGCTATTAACATGTTTTTTTTTAATTATTAGTGAATAATTAAAAAAATAAATAAGTACAGTTACAATAATATCTTTTTCTTTTTAGGTTCTGCAACATGACTTTGAAAAATCAACAGAGAACAAAAATCTTCCATCAGAACAAGAACCCACTACTCAAAAAGGTAAAAAATTTAAATGTGTTCAAAATTTTAAGATTATCTGAATTACACCTTGGGATTAAATACCAAGACCTAATACTTAGCTAAAATAAATTTAAAGTATTTTGGATTTGCTGTTTCGGGGACTTGGAAGGGCCTTTTGGGGTGGAGGACTCCTAAGCAGAGCTCAAGTGGCCCAAGGACGCCATCAATGACATTTCTCTAGTATCCTGGCCAATGGATCAGTGCTGCTCAGGCCCTGCAGTGCCAGGCATAACCGGGCCTCTGTGGTTGGTGGGGGTGATGTGGTTCTGGGAGTCTAACAAATGTCTGTTACATGAACAGAGGTCATCAGGTGCTCAGATAAGATAACCATGTGATGCTAAGATCTGTTCCATGCTTGTGTTCAGCCTTTTGAGCTAACTCTTAGCTCCTGGTGTTGTGTTTCTGCTTTTTCTTCCTCCCTAAATCCTTTGTAGAAAACAGTGTTGTTTCTACAAATAGCAAGCATATATGTAATTTTTTTAATGCAGTTCCAGCGGTTCGGTATGTGATGCACAAATTTACTGCACCTCTACCTCTGTCTTTATTCTACTTTATTAGAGATTAGTTGAATTTTAAGAATCTGATTTTTCAAATATCTCAGATGATTTGAAAACTGGTAAAGAAAATTTTGTCATTTTCTTTCAGATTGTAATTATGCTGATACTCTTGCACATGTCATTTATTTGGTATAATAGCAAAAATGTTAACTTGTTCCATTACACTGTTAAAATTTTCTTTAATAACAGATGACCAAGATAGTACTCCTGTGAAACCCTGTTACCTCAATATCTTGGAAAATGAGCAACCTTCAAGTAGCGCTGTCCAAAAGGATTCCCTTACTACCATTGACTCATCTAAACAGCCTAACCCTTTGCCGTTATCTTTAAATGAAAATGAAACCGTAGTGCCTAGAGTCAAAGAAGTTAAATCTGCTCAGGAAACTCCTGAAAGCTCTTTGGCTGGAAGTCCTGATACTGAGTCTCCAGTATTAGTGAATGACTATGTATGTATCTAAGTATTTGTGAATATCTAAATGTTTAAGTGTAGTCATTATTTTTACATAGCATTCCTGTGCATAGTTTTTCATTTTTATAAAAAATTATTCATCTATGGTTTAAATGTCAGTATTTTTATTTTTATTCAAACTTGTTTAAAATTGAACAGAAGGGTGACGGTGAATTTATATGATCATCTCAAAACCTAAAAACTACTCTTTACAACTTGAAAACCAAAGTTAGAGATGACTTTTACATGGCAGCCTTGAAGGGTTCATTTCTAGTTTAGATAGGGTAAAGCATGATTAATTTATTATTGATTCTTGATTTCTTAACTATTTAGAATATTTCATAAATGCTAGATAAAACAAAATTTATGTTTTAGGGTGAAAGTACAACAGTAAATTATCTTTAGTGAATGACAGAAAAACATATAATGAGATCTGCATTTATGATATAATTTCACTTAGTTTTATTCTGGACCTTTAAATCATTTTTAGTTCATACATTTTACATACTTTTCGTATGTAAAAGAAAAACTGCTTTTTAGATTTAGGGAGTTTATTTTTTAAGTATATTCCTAAGATATATTTATTTTTAATTTCTTAGAAGGGGACGTAATACTTTCTACTGAAATACTAATAATACTGAAATAATAGTCAAATAATACTTTCTTTGATGCTTCCAAAAGCATCAGTAAAGAAATATTATTTAATGCTTGCATAGAGTTGCTGGAGGAGGGATTTGATTGAAAGTCCTAGATTGAGGGTCTAGAATCCAAAATTTTAGGTTAGGACACTCTTGGAAGTTTTTGCACAAAAATGTGGAATGGTCAAAGTCATTTTGGAGATTTATCTGTTGACTGTTCAAGGCAAATCATCAAAGAAACTATATTAGGAGTCTCCCTGGTATAACTGCAAGGTAGCTGAAAGAGAAAAGAGTTGAGTGAGAAATGCTATCAGAGCAGACCTAGAAGTGTATTATACTTTGATAATTGATAGAGTAATATATGCTATTAAATATGAAAAAGGAGAAGCGCAAAGAATTTAGCTTCAGGAAGATAGTGTGAGATGATCAGAAAAGTGATTTACTAAATTCATACCTTAGCGATTTGAGCCTCCAGAATTGATATTGAAAGTCTGTATGTTTCATTATATTCTGCTGGATGATGGATTTGTGTTTATGTTAAAGTAATAAGAATTCAATTTATTTTAGCCTTTAGTTTTATTAGTACCTTTAGTATTATTTATTGGGCTAGAGTGATAGCACAGCGGTAGGGCATTTGCCTTGCACATAGCCGGCCCAGTAGAGCCAGGTTCGATTCCTCCGCCCCTCTCGGAGAGGCTGGCAAGCTGCCGAGAGTATCTCGCCCACACGACAAAACTTCCAAGCTACCCGTGACATACTCAATATGCCAAACACAGTAACAGCAAGACTCACGATGGAGACGTCACTGGGCCCGCTCGAGCAAATCGATGAACAATGGGAGGACCGTGCTACCGTGCTAGTCTTATTAGTTTTTCTCTTACATTGTCTTGTGCAAACTGTTTTTTACATGGTCACATAAAATTTGTTATTATCTTTGTAAGTATATAGCTGTAAGTATATAGCTCTTTCCATAAAAACTAATTTTTGTTTTACTCACAGAGGTGACTAGAAAAAATTGAAATATAGAATTATGATGTTTTCATTATGTATAGGGAGTTCATGGAAGATGACCAAACATGATAGAATAGTGATTGATACTTTTTAGAGAGTTCACTTTATCTCTTGGTGTGGACTTTGGTTTAGATCCAGAGATAAGTGGATTTCCTTCATTAAATACAGTTTTTCTTTCAGGAAGCTGAATCTGGCAACATAAGCCAAAAATCTGACGAAGAAGACTTTGTAAAAGTTGAAGATCTACCACTTAAACTGACAATATATTCAGAGGTATTTGGCTCTTTAATTAGGCTTGTCTTCATTGTGTATCTTCTAAAATTAAAACTGGGTTGTCTTACCATTATTTTGGACTACTGTGTATATTTTGAATACATAGAGAAAAAGTTCTAGTGCCACTCCAGTTAACAGTTTGACCCTCTCCACCTTTTCTTCCTACCCTCTATCACCCCCCTCTATTATAAAGTACTGTAGTTTTTAGATTTTTGTTTACTTGCTTTTGTTATTTGTTCTCCACCCTGAGAGGTCTTTTTTACTTCCTGATGGACACCATGATTTACAAAGTTGTTCATAATACAGTTGTTCCAGGTATTTAGTGTTCCAGCACAAATCTCACCACCAATGTGACCTTCCCTCCACTGTTGTCCCCAGTTTCTTGCATAATTACCAGCCTGCCCCCTTACCAGGAGCAGAATAGTTTATTTTATATTCCAGCCTTAAGACAACTCAAAATTCCACAATATTGACAACCCAGTAGGAGGACAGTAAGTTAGGTGGGAAAATAGCATAGAAGCCAGTTAAGCTCAGTAGAACAACACAGAGGCCTCAACTAGCAACAAGCAGCCTAGCAGCCTCTCAGACAATGACTTTATTAATGACCCTATTGTGAGATAACATTTTTCAGAAATTTTCTTCGCCTATTTTCAAAGTATTCTGCTCCTGCTAAGGGGGCGGGCTGGTAACTATGTGGGAAATTGTATTATGAACAACTTCTCATGTGGATCCCTTCTCCTTTCTTGACCCTGCTTCTCCCATTCCTATTCAGATACATACCAAGGTATGATATTGCTGGGTCATAGAGTATTCTTATTCAGGTTTTTTTGTTTGTTTGTTTGTTTGTTTTGCTTTTTGGGTCACACCCAGCGATGCACAGGGGCGACTCCTGGCTCTGCGCTCAGGAATCACCCCTGGCGGTGCTCAGGGGACCATATGGGATGCTGGGATTGAACCCGGGTTGGCCACATGTAAGGCAAACGCCCTACCTGCTGTGCTATTGCTCCAGGTCTTAATTCAGTTTTTTAAGGAATTTACATACCATTTTCCATAGACACTACACCATTTCTATTTTAAAAATATATGAGACGTTCCTTTCTTGCTAATAAATGTTGCTTTTAGTCTCTCTCTCTATATATATATACATAGAGAGAGAGAGAGAGTAATTATATGATCTCATTATTGTTTTGCTTTCCCTAATAAGTGATATTGAGCACAGCAAATTAGATGGGAAATCTAATTTTTTATATTGAATTTTTTTTTATAATGCCACTTACTATTTTGTTGTAACAAATAATGTAAAATAAATTATTTTGTGCCTATGGGGACAAGTTTAGGGTATGGGGGAAATTGAAACTGGGGACAGTGGTAGAAGAAAGGTCACACTGGTGGTAGAATTGGTACTGAAACATTGAATACCCAAAACAACTATATTATTATGAACAACTTTGTACAACGGTGTTAAAATATTAAAAAAAAAATTAAGTAACAAAGTATTTTTTTCATGTGATTTGCCATTAGTATGTCTTATTTTTATTTTAAATTCATATATATTATGCATATGTCTGTTCCTGACCAGTAAGTTGACCTTAATTTTGGGCAGAGGGGCTCCCACCAGTATTCATGGCCAGTTGATTCAATGCTCAAGTCCAACTAGGTGGTACTGTTTGGTCCCCATGGTTCTTAGGGGCCACCAGGAATAGATCTAGTGGTGCTTTTTGGCACCATCTGGTGCCAAGATTGAACCTAAGTCCCTGCTCTGAGATACTCCCTATCCACCTATTTTTAATTTTTGTGATGGTTTCTTTCACTGTACAAAAGCTTTTATGATTAAGGCCCTTTTATTTGTGCTTTTATTTCTTTTGCTGCTGGAGCCATTCTCCCAAAATATCTCCATGGTGGTATAGTGTATAGCCTGTTACTTTGCTATGTATTTTATGAATTTGAGGTTTTATCCATACTTAATCTTTTTAGAGTTAACTTTTACATAGGGTGTTACTAGGATGATCTGATTTCTTTTTCTCAAATGGGAATACTTGATTTTCCTGGTACCATATGAGACTTCCTTTCTCCATTATATGGTTTTGACTTCATTGTCATAAATTTACTACTTGTCGATGTTTGGGTTTTTTTTCTGGGCTTACAATTCTGTTGGTCTGTTTTAAATCCAATAATGTACTATTTTTTATTATTTTTTATAGTATATAGACTTATTATTTTGGGGTATAAAATAAGTGTTGAGGTACAATGAGTATGGTATTACCTTGCATGCAGCAAATCTGGTTTCGATGCTTGGCACCCCATACGGTCCCAGAGTCCCATCGTGAGTGATCCCTGAACACAGAGCCAGGAGCAAACCCAGAGTACCATCTTGTATGGCCCCAAAGCCAAATCTATATGGGATTTTAAAAACACGTTTTTTTAACTTCCAAAGGCAGATCTAAGGAAGAAAATGGTAGAAGAAGAACAGAAAAACCATTTATCTGGTGAAATATGTGAAATGCAGACTGAAGAATTAGTTGGTAATTCTCAGACACTGAAAGAACCTGGTAAGTATTAAAAATTTTAACTATATCTTACTGAAATTTTACTAGACCTCGATACATCATTTTGTTTCTAATATATGCTACTAGTACCTAGAAAGTCAAATATTGGAATAGGAAAAATACACAAATATTTTAGTTCAGTTCACTAATTTATAAAATGATATCAGATTTTTTTCTGTTTTTAAATGCTACTTTTATATTTTTTTTGCATTGCTAGAGATTGAACCCAGGCCTTCACGTAGTGTAAGGCATATGCACTACCACTAAGGCACAATCCCGCAGTCCCAAAAATCTTCAATTTTATCAAAATAATACATAAATGTGTTTTAAGAAAGAAAGGTAAAATGGAGTTAATGATAACTGGCAAGAGCTCATGTCTTTTAATTTTTTGTTTTTTTGTTCTGAGGAAGAGATTCTGTATCTAAATCATATGCACGTAATTTTTCTTTTGGGTAATATCCTCTGTCTGTCTCTAAGAAGAGAGAGACCTCTTACTTCTACCTACCTTCTCCCTCTTTCATATTATTTTGGAATCTTCTGTTTATTTGCTTTATGTATGTTTTTAAAAGTTTTATTTTTAATTAAGTTTCTATGGTCTATAATGCTATTAAAATGGTTTCTCATGCACACAATTTCAATATCACACCCATCACTAGTGTACCCCCCAATGACCCCACGACCCCTCTCTCCCAAGTCACCTAACTTCATTTGTGTGGATCAGTTCTCCCATTACTTTGCCTTTGGACTTTCGTTACAACCTTGCTATGTGTCTTTATGGCACACATTTGAGTGAGATCATTCTTTATCTATCCCTTTCCTTCTGACTCACTTCACTCCATCATATCCCCAAGTTCTCTCCATGTTGTTGCAAATCAGATGATTTATTTTTCTTTCTGAAAACTGCACAATGTTCTGTTGTCTTTATATACCACAACTTCAGGATTGGAGCTACAGTACAGCGGGGTTGGGCATTTGCCTTGCACGCAGCCACCCGGGTTCCCAGCATCCTACATGGTCCCCCAAGCACCTCCAGGAGTAATTCCTGAGTGCAGAGCCAGAAGTGACCCCTGTGCATCGCTGGGTGTGACCCAAAAAAAGCAAAAGATAAATAAAAATATATACCACAACTTCTGGGTCCATTCATCTGCAGTTGGGTGCCTGGGTTGTTTCATATTTTGGCTATTGTACTAAGTGCCGCAGTGGACCTAAGTGTGCATATATACTTTCAAATTAATGTTTTTGTGTTTAGGAGATAGGTGCCAAGAAATGGTAGCGCTGGATCATGTGATTCTATCCTGTCTTTTGCATATTTGCATACTTCTTTCCATAGAGACTGAAACATAACATTCTGACCAATGGTAGATCAGAGTTCCTCCTTACCACAACCCTACCAACACTGGCTGTTTTCAGACTTGTGGAATATGTGCCATTCTTTCAGGCATAAGATGGTATCTCATTGTTATTTTATTTGCATTTTTCTCATCATGAATAGTCATGAGCTGTTTTTAGTATTCCTGTTTGACCATCTGAAGTATCTTTTCAAATCCTCAGCCCACTTGTGGATGGGGGTCTTTGGATTTTTGTTGTTGAGTTCTGTGATTGCTTTGTAGATCTTGGATATAAACCCTTTATCTAATGTATTTTGTGCAAATATTTTCTTCAATTCATTAGGGTATCTTTTTATTAGCGTTTGAGTTTCTTTCACTGTGCTAAAGCTTCTAACTTTAATGTAGTCCTGTCCCATTTATTTTTGGTTTTCTTCTCTTTGCCACTGTGATCATCTCATTGAAGATTCCTCTGTGGTTAATTTCCAGACATCTGCCAATGTCTCCTTCAGTGTATTTTATGAATTCTGGCCTAATCTTGAAGAGTTTGATCTACTTTGAGTTTACTTTTGTGTGTGGAGTGAGGTATGATTCTGATTTCATTTTTCACATGTGGCTATTCAGTTTTCCCAGCACCATTTGTTGAAGGGATTTTCTTTGCTCCACTTCATTTATTTCACTCCTTGTCATAGATTAGCTGGCTATAAGTTTTATGACTTATCTCGGAACATTCAGTCTGTTCCATTGGTCTACAGGTCTATCTTTATCCCAGTATCAGGCAGTTTTTATTATTATAGCTTTGCAGTATAATTCAAAGTTGGGAATTACAGTGCCTCCCATCTTTTGTTTTCTTAGGATTGCTTTGGCTATTCAGGGATTTGTACGGTTCCCTAGAAATTTTGATAGGGTTTGTTCCATGTCTTTGAAAAAAGTCATTGGAATTTTAATGGGCATTGCATTAAATCTGTATAGTACTTTGGGTAGGATAATCATTTTAACATTGATTCTTCCAATCTGTGAAGAGGAAATGTCTTTGCATTTTCTGGTGTCTTTTATTCTTCTTAGTGATTTATAGTTTTCACTGTATGAGTCTTTCACCTCCCTTGTTAAGTTGATTCCTAGGTATTTGATGTCCTTGAACAGTATTTTAGAGGGGATAGTCTTCTAAAATTTTTTTCTCCTATTTCATTATTTGTATACAGGAATGCCACTAATATTTGAGTATAAATTTTGTAACCTGCTACTCTCTCTGTTTATTATTTCTAGGATTTTTTTTTTTAAATAGAATCTTAAGCATTTTCAGTGTATAGTATCTCATTATCCACAAATAGTGATAATTTTACTTTGTTGTTTCCAATTTGGATCCCTTTGATTGCTGATCATCTTTGATTGCTGAGGAGAGAACTTCTAAAACTGTGTTGAATAAGATTGGTGACAGTGAACATCCTTGTCTTGTGCCTGATCTCAGGGAAAGACTTTCACTTTTTTACCACTTAGTATGATATTGGCTGTGGGTTTGTTTTAGATGGCCATTACTATCTTGGACATGTTCCTTCTATTCCTAATTTTTGGAAGTTTTTATCATGCATGGCTGTTGGACCTTGTCAAAAGCCTTCTCTACAGCAGTTGATATCCCCATATGGTTTTTACTTTTCTTTTTGTTTATCGGTTTGTTGCATTACTTGCTCATGTATTGAGTCATCCTTGTATCCCTGTAATGAACTCCACTTGATCATGTATGGTGTATCAAAGTGCATATCCATTGATAAACCTTGGTGTATCCATTGCTGACTTCTGTTCGCTAGGATTTTGTTGAGAATCTTTGCATCAATGTTTATCAGGGATATTAGTCTGTAATTTTCTTTTTCAGTAGTGTCTCTCTTTTAGGTATCATGTGATATTGGCTTCGTAGAAGCTGTTAGGATTCTTGTTTCCTCAGTATTTTGAAATAGCTTGAAAAGTGCAACACTTAAAGTCTTCTTTGTCAATTTGGTGCAGTTCACTAGTGAATACTTCTGGACCTAGTAGTTAAAATCTCCTTGGGGAGATTTTTAATTACTGTTTCAATTTCTTTATAGAGATTGGCATGTTAAGGTTTTCTGTTTCCTTTTTGTGCAGTCTTGGGAGTTTTATGATTCTAAGAATTTTTCTGTTTCTTTTAGGTTCTCAGGCGTGGTGGCATGAAGTTATTCATAGTTTAATTTCATTTCATCATCCTGTTATTCGTCGATTGCCTCGAGCAGGCCCCAGTAACGTCTCTTTCATCCTAGCCTTGAGATTATATTCAAGGCTCTTTAGGAGAATGAGACCCATCATTGTTACTGGTATTTGGCATATTTGGTATGCCATGGGGAGTTTGCCAGACTCTGCCCTGTGGGCAGGCTACATTCGATAGCCTGCAAGTTTGTCCAAAGTAGGAATGAGATAAGATGTCATAAAAAGATGTCCTGATAAGGGGCCCCGGCGAGGAACAGCCAGGCGCGGGGGCAGGAGACTGCACTGTTCTTGTCCGGGAGCTGGATTTTATAGTCTCTGAGTCTTGGCCGTTGATGGGATTACACGGCGCCAGGGGGCCAGGTGGTGGGTGTGACCCCCGCCTACTGGAATTTGGAGGACCTGGGTGGAGGATGCTCGACTCCAATCCGAGTAGGCTGGGAGATCTCGGCCCCGGAACCCACGTGGATTTTTCCCTCTACCAGTACCTTCATGTGTGCGGAGAGTGGTCTCAGCATGGTGGTGGCTGGTCCTGGAGGTCTTCGGCTGCTGGAGCCCTGGTCGGGGCGGGGAGGAAAGCTCAACCCGCTCCCCTCCAAGGGGCTCCGGCGAGGGACAGCCAGGAGCGGTGGCAGGAGACTGCATTCATAGTAACTGTATGATTTTTTTGTATGTCTGAGGTGTCTGTTGTGACTTCTCCCATCATCTGTGATCCTACTGTTTTTTTTTTTCTCTTAGTTTAGCTAAGGGTTTATCAGTCTTGTTTACTCTTTTGAAGAACCAATTCCTGGTTTCATGGACCCTTTGTATTATTTGTTTTCTATATCATTGATTCCTGCTCTAGTTTTTATTATTTCTATTTGCTTTGGGATTCATTTGTTTATCTTTTCTAGTTTCTTTAGATGACAGATTAGATTGTTGATTCGAGCCTTTTATTTCTTCCTTGTGTGTGCCTCAGTAGTCATAAATTTCCCACTCAGTAATGCTTTTGCTGTGTCCCATAGATTCTGGTAGTTCATATTTTTCATTCTCATTTTTTTCTAGGAATATTTTGATCCAGTTGTCATTTAGCAGTTTGTTTTTTTAGGTGTCTTTGTTTTTGTTTTTGGTTTTTTTGAACCAGTTAGACACCAGTTAGGTGTCTTTTGTTTTTGTTTTTGGTTTTTTTTTTGACAATTTCTTTTTATTTTTGATTCTAATTTTGTAATTTTTGGCTTAAGAAGATACTTGGTATGGTTTCTATTGTGATTTTATGGTTTTTCAAGTGTTCCCTGGCATATGATCTATTTTGGAGAATGTACCATCTGCTGTGGAGAAGCAGGTATATTCAGCGTTATGGCGGTAGAGGGTCCTGAATGTTTATGAAGCTTAAATTCTTCCAGTTCCGGCCTTTCTGGCTCCTGATCAAGCTGCTTAACGGCCATGATCAAAGAGACTCAGGAACAAATCTTGGAACCCAGCAGGTTCTTGGAGAAATCACTCCAGATTTAATTGTTAAAACTTTGGAATTCCAAAATCGCATAGCCACTGTTGTAGCCACGCAACACTGTATGTTATTCATAACCAGCAATAGAAAACAAATTGTCTAGTGTTGCCTTTTCAGCAGATCTGAGTGTTGGGGTAAAATCCCAAATAATAATGGTGGGTCTGGTGTCAAAATATTGAATGTGATCAAAGTAGAGAGAGAGTAACGTGGAAATCATCTGCCCCCCAGGTAGGGGGAGGGTGTGGGATGGAGGTATACTGGGGTTTTTGGTGGTGGAGAATGGGCACTGGTGAAGGTACGAGTGTTTCATTGTATGACCGAGACTTAAACCCAAAAGAGAGCTTTGTAACTGCTCTCACGGTGATTCAATAAATAAAATTTTTAAAAATGGGGGAAAAAAAGTAAGGTGGAGTTCATGCCCAATTCAATCAACTAATCTAGTGGCTGAATAAATAGCAGTACTCCTACATTTAAAAAAAAAATGTTCTTCCAGTTCCTCGTTGAATATTCCTAATTCTTTATTAAAGAAAATGCAGTAGGAGCACTTTTCAGTTTCGTATTGCTTCTAAGGCTTCCTACTGTATTTTTAAGTTGCGTTATTTCTGTTTGGATGATCTTTTATTTGTTTGTTCATTGTGTGAATGAATGTCTTTTTCAGATCATTGAGCACTTTTATGACCTAAAGGCTTGTTCAGGCAAATTGCGAAGGTCTGCTGGCACTGGTGATCCCCCTGGGTTATTGTTGTCCTCTATTGGTATCTCTAAGTGGCCACACAGAAATGGGCCCAGGATTTAATCCTGCAGCCCACAGGAACACAAAATACTGTTTTGAACCTGGGCCACGCAGAGTTGAGCAGGGTGGGACGGGGCAGGCGGTGGCTTGCGGAAGTCTCTGCACAAGTCTTGAGTTTCCCTGACTTGCCCAGCAGCCCTATCCAGCTTCCCAGGTGTCTAAAGTGAGCTCCTCCCCATAACCACTCAGGACTCTGACAGATGCTTAGACTTTTGGGTTATATCCTCATTCTTCTGTCTCTCCAACCTACCAGGATCCTATTAAAAACCAGCTAAGAAGTGTAGCACACACAGGCACTAACTAGTACGTGCAGCTCCTGCATGGACTCTGGGGTTGCTCTTTGGTGCAGCCACCGCTGCCATTACAGTGCCGTTGTGGCTTTTATAGGGGGAGGGCCATGTGGTGAGAATGAACATGGCCTTGATGAGCAAGCACGGGGCACACGTGGGTTCTCACAAAGGCCGAGTGGTGTGGAGACAAACTTCTGAAAAGCAGGGGGGAGACCTGGCATTCTCACCTTCACCTCCAAAAATGTGTGGAGTAGAGACTGGTTGAGAAGAGCCTAAATTTAAATGTATTCATTTTAAAGTTCCATCTCTTATGATTATTAGCTAATTCTTTCTGCCATCTCTCTGCAGTTTTATCCCAGATTCTTATGTTATTGTTATTAAAGTAACTATTTAAGATTTTTGTGACTATAAAACTTAAAAAAAAATTGATGTTTTTTTGGTAAACATTACTGCAGAACCAAGTGATGTGGGTAAAAAAAGGTTTGAGCATTCTATGCACCATCCTTGGTTTGATCCTCAGCATTGCATATGATCACTTGATATCATCAGGATCTACTTGTTTGGGGGCTACCTCTGGGGGTGCTCAGGGCTTACAACTGGGCTTGCACTCAGGGGGCTCGGGAAGTCATATGGGATGCTGGGGGGATTGAACTCAGGGCCAAGACATTAAGGTAAGCACCCATCCTGGCCCAGGATTTCTTTATGGATCTGCCTTGATAAGCAACAATCTTTGTCGGGGAATGTTTCCTATATTAGACTGAAAGGATTTTATTTATTTTTGGTTAGCGTTCTGTCAATTCATCACTTGATTAAAACCATTTAAGAAATGGGATGAAAAGAGAGCTGGAGAGATTATACAGTGGGTAGAGCTCTTGCTTAGCATACCACCAACCCAGGTCTGATCCCCAGGGTCCCATACCGTCCCTGAAGTACCTTTCACCAGGACAAATTTCCTGAGGGCAGCAGAGCAAAGAGTAATCACTGGGCATCACCAGGTGTGGACCAAAGACAAGAAAAAATGGATATGCGATGAAAAGGATCTATCATTCAGATACTTAAATTCCTATTTTTGGTCTTTTGTTAGAATCTCAATTGATACCCATTTCTGTGCTGCTTTTCATAGTGTGTAGGCAGGAGCTTTCCTGTCCTGACCTTCACTTCACTTGTCTTTAACTGGCCTGAATTTATTTTTAAGTATTCCCGAGATTTTTGTTATTTTTCTTGTTCGAGATACTACAAGTATGTGCTTTAATCAACTACTTGAGAACCCTTTTTATGTTTGTTTGTTTTTTGGGTTTTGTTGGGGGGTGGGGAGGGCAGTTTTAACATCTGGCAGTGACTAAGGATCACTCCTGTGGTATTCAGGAACCATATGCAGTACAAAGGATCGAACTAGAGTTGGCTGCATGCAAGTCTCTTAAACCCTATACTCTTTCTCCGGCCCCATATTCTTTTTAAACACTTAATGTGTTTTACCAGGGAATTACTGTAGTGAGCTAAATATTTCATTTTAAATAATGTTCTATGAAAAATTAAGTTTAATGAATAGTACTCATGTTATATTTTTGTTTAATAATAACTATATAAAGCATTATTCTGTTTTTCAGAAACAGTGGGAACCCAAAGTACATGAGATGTCTTCAAGAAGCTCCTCTAACTCTGTCCTTACATAGTCCATGAATATGTGACAATGGCACTAATAAACATCTGTTTTGATCTGTATAAAAATGTAAATTAGTTTGACACTGCATTTTTGATAGGTGTGCTAATTCCTGCCCACATCAGTTCAAGACATCAGATACTGAATTATAAGTAGAGTCAAGACTTGATACATGTGGGATCTTTTTCTTCTTATATTTAGCCTTGATTTTATTCTCCATTGTGATGTTTGGTAACATTAAATTTAATATGTAGTTTTAAATAAAGTTTGAACTTATCTGTAAAGTATCTTTTTTATTATTATGTTAAATTCTACACAGCAAGTCACTGTTTTACATAAATAATTCGGAGAAAAGCAGTGGTTGATTTAGAGAATTGTTCTATATATTGTAAAGTCCAGCCATTAGGCAAGGCTTCCAAATTATGCCAGTGTTGCTGCTGTTAGGTCAAATGTTCTTTTAGATACCCTAATGTCTTATTCCTGGTCCAAAACAGGTTATCATTGACGTTATTGTAAAATATATATTAATATTAAAGTCAAATTGGGTAAGTTTAGAGCACATAGTATCTAGAATTTACATGATTATTAGACAGATTTTTCCAGAATTGAAACTCCTTTCTATGTTGCCACAGTCTTTAAAAAGTTTTATATAATTAGGGAGTTGCTTCTGCACAGATAAGTTACACTGTGCGTAGTGATAATTTTAAAACCAAACTCTTTCAAGTAAGGATTAATGAAACTAAATTTATGTACCAGGACACCTTTGGACAGATTTTTCTTTTGAGTTGGAGTTTAGAACCAAAGCATAGCAATTGCTTCTGTGTGTAGTAAGAGAGAAGCAAGTTCACAATAAAGTATTGAAAATAAAAATCTCTTTGACTTCTTACTATTAGTTAGATAAATCAGCTTTTAGAGGTGATTTATCTTTAAATCCTGAACTTGCTTTTTAACATGTAAGGCTTCAGAGTCAACCAACAAGTAAGTCCACCATACACATTTTTCCTTCAATAAAATTTGAAATATTAGGTCTAGTAGTCTTGTTAAATTTAACAATTGAAACACCCAGTCAGATAAGAATTTGCTTTGATATTTATTTCTTTAAAATTCTACTTGTTAATTCTATGTAAAGCTATGATGTTCAATTAGGGGGTATTAAGTGAGGATTTCCATATGAAGACATCTACTGTATTACTACTAAATTTTAATTATGTAAGATATGTGTCACCAATTTCTAAATAAAACCTATATAGAAAAATACTATAATTCCAGAATCAAGAATTCATGTTCAGTTGGCCTGACTTCAGAGAAACTGAAATAGTTATATTTCATATATATGTATATGATATATATGTGTATGTATATATATTCATATATATATATTCTATATTTTCTAGAATCTAAACTAGGAGAAACTTCATTTTGGTATTCAAGCCAAGCCTTACATATTACATACAGCTGTCTCTCTGCATGCCTGCATATTAGATATTGATAGAGTACAATAATCTTAATTATAGTTCCTATGAACCTTATAAAAATTGATATTTAACTTGTGTTACACTGCTATAATCTAGTCTGTTTTCTACTTTGGTAGATAATTTAGTTTTAAAATACCTAGGGTTTGAGGGCAGGTAACTTGTTTGATATGTTTCCCCCAGTAACTATTTGCTAATGGACTAGGCATTAAATATTGTTGTTTGTCTTTATTATTAAGTTAAAAACTGGTCAAATAGAGAAAAGCTGAATAAGAGTGAGCAAGAAGTCTACACAGGTTGAGGTAATGCCTAAAATAGCTAACCCAGTTACTCTTTGTATTTTGTAACTTCCACTTTGAGCAAATGCTTTTTCACTACTAATAAATATATATCCTACGTACAATTCTGGATTGCATTTTCATTTAAAATGTCATTTATTCTTTAGAGTTCATTCCATAACTATAGCTTGACAATTTTGTAATTTTTTTTAAATCAAGAAATGGAGAATAATGATATGACTAACAGAGAGATTGAACTGAAGCCAACTTTTTTAATAGTGCAGTTCTGCGCTACACTTTGCTGTGTTTGGAGGCCACACCTTGTACTTGGGGCTTACTCCTGGCTCTGCGCTCCCATATCACTCTGGCAGGGCTCCAGGGATCATCCATATATGGTGACAGGGATCAGTCCTGGGTCATCTACCCACTCTACTATTACTCTGGCCCTGGGTATTTTATCTATGCTGTAAGGAGAACATGCTCACACTCAGATAATATTTACTAAAAATTAGAAATGCTTGCCTTCAGCAGCACATTTGCAGAGCAGATTTAAAGTCACACATAATTGGAAAATAGAGCTAAAGGAATTGTACACGGTATAAATCCAAATATAAGGGCCAGGGAGGGGGCTCAAAAAGGGCCATCTGGAGTTACCTGGGTTCAGTCCTGGGCACTGCATGGTCTCCCAGCACCACCACAAATGGACCCCTGAGCACTATACATGCAGTAGCCCTGAGTGTGGTCCAAAATTGAAGAACGACAAAGGAAAATTAGTGTCTAAGTGCAGCCAGAATGAAGATAGCACTTTTACTTGGGGGCCACACCCAGCAGTGCTTAGGTCTTACTCCCAGGGTCATTTGGTGGACTCTGGAGACCATAAATATGGGTTTCTGAGATAGATAGAAGCTGGGTCTGTTGTGTGCAAGGCAAACACAAACACCCTATCTGTATATGCTTTGGCTCCAAGAGGACACTACTATTAAATGAGTGAAAATTGTTTCCATCAGATTCTCTCAAAATTTTTGTTCTGCGGAAAGAAAATGATCCAATGTGGAAGACTAGAATCTTGGGAAATGAAGGAAATAATAGATTAACCTTTTATAAAGTAAGTAGACATGTGGCTTAAGGTAACTTACTGTAAAAATGAAAATACACTCTTTTGAAATTCATGAAGGGAAAGAATGTAATTCTAAAAAGGGTAAGCAGGCAACAAATCTAAGAAATAGATGCCAATGGCCCAGGGACATAGTTTAGTGTTAGCTGAAGCACATGCCTCAAGGGAGAGTTTGGGTGATCCCTAGTAACCACACCCATACACACACACATGGTATGTCAGCATTTGGTCAATGTAAAATAGTAAGAGTCCCAGTTAGACATGGGTGTTTTCATTTGACTTTTTTTGTTTTGTTGGGCTTGGGGTCACATGCAGTGATGCAAAGACTTACTCCCAGGAGGAGAACTGGGGTGGGTCATCTCTTTCTATGGAGTAATACCTAAGTTAAAAATCAGGAATTAGCTCTGGATAGTACAGAAGATCAGGCACTAGCCTTACACGGAGCTGACCTTGTTACATCCTGGTACTGCATATTGGTTCCCTGAGCACCTTCAGGAGGGAGCCCTGGAGGGCCAGAAGTAAGCCCTGAGGACTGCCAGGTGTAGCCCCAAAACAAGGGGAGGCAGAGGTGTGAATGCCTGGCTGTCCCTATCTTGAACAAATCCTAGCAGCCAAAAATGCTTTGACGTCACCCCTTCCCACCATGATCCTCTCATCTTTTATTCTCTAGCCTCACAAGCATTCTTTGGGGTTTTCTGTTTTTGCAGTCAGGGAAATTTTGTTTTAACCCAGCGATGTTGCTTAGTGGTTGAGCACATATCCTGTGTTCAATCTCTAGCACCTCTGAAATAAAACAAAAAACCATTTTCTCTCTTTACAGCCTTAGTGCCAGTTTCCCTCACATCATCTCCCGTTTGTGACTTCTCACATAGTTCTCAGCTTCAGTCTCACTCCCTGATCAACAGTCTTATTGGTCTCTATCACATCACTTCCTTTTTATTTTCTTCTGTAACTGTCGCCCAATACTAACAATTCATATATTCATTTACTTATCATCTTCCTTCTTGAAAAAATAAATGTGTGTGTTTCTGAGTAGGCCCAGGTGCTGAGAGTGCATATTGGTGTTTGTCACCATTGTATGGCCCCTGTCTCCAGCATTCATTAGTAATGAATGTAATAGTAACTCCTCTGACCTAATATTTTAGTTTGGCTGGCTACCAGTTGACTTGTGAAAGGAGAAAGGCTTAGGTAGATTTTTTTTTTTTTTTTGCTTTTTTTTGGCGATGCACAGATGGCTCTGCACTCAGGAGTTCTCCTGGCGGTGCTCAGGGAACCATATGGGATGCTGGGAATCGAACCCGGGTCGGCCGCGTGCAAGGCAAACACCCTACCCGCTGTGCTATCTCCAAACCGGCTTAGGTAGATTTTGTGAAAAAAAAAAAAAAAAAAAAACGTTGCTCTAGAACAAGGTAAAGGTAAAGGCCCTCCCGTTGATCATCGATTTGCTCGAGCGGGCCCAGTAACATCTCCATTGGAGACTTTGTTGTTACTGTGTTTGGCATATCGAATACATCACGGGTAGCTTGCCAGGCTCTGCCGTGCAGGAGACATACTCTCGGTAGCTTGCCGGGCTCTCCGAGAGGGGTGGAGGAATCGAACTCTGGTCAGCCATGTTGGCTGCGTGCAAGGCAAACGCCCTACCGCTGTGCTATCGGATGTGAGGGCGATCTGGCTGCGACATCTGTCACCCCATTGATCGCCAGGGTTGATTCGGCTGATCTGGCTGGCTAGGTGGGTGTCCCCTTCCTCACCGCTCCATGTACGTCCCTCCCGAAGCTGCGCGCTCAGTCGAAGAGGATGGCCTTCCCTGAATAGAGACGGACCCGTCTTCGGTCTAGGGTATACGAGTAGCTGCACTCCCCTGCTAGGCCCTCCAAACAAGCTCTCAAGGTCCATTTTTTCTATAAGTACTATAATATTTATGTTAACAAGAAGGGAGACATCCACGACAATGACAACTATTGCCCGATCTGCCTGTTGTCTGTCGTCTACAAGTTGTTCACTCGAGTCATCCTGAATAGAATAGGCAGAACACTAGATGAAGGACAACCATGCGAGCAAGCCGGGTTCCGAAAAGGATTCAGTATTATCGACCATATCCACACAGTGACCAGGCTCACTGAGGTTTTGCAAGAATTCAAGATGCCGCTCTGTCTAACGTTCATTGATTTAAAGAAGGCCTTTGATTCTGTTGAGACTGAAGCAGTCATCGAAGCCCTAGCCAAACAGGGCATTCAAATTCAGTACATCAGGATCCTCTGCAAGCTATATTATGGATTCACCACTAGGATCTCACCATTCTTTACATCAACGTAAAGAGAGGGGTTTGGCAGGGTGACACCATTTCACCAAAACTCTTCAGTGCCACCCTAGAAAATGTCATGCGATGACTAGAATGGGAAGAAATGGGAGTGAAGATAGATGGTCAGCAACTACACCACCACCGCTCTTCTGATGACATCGTACTAATAACACCAAACATTAGCCAAGCGGCACAAATGCTGGCCAACTTCGACCATGAGTGTGGAAAGGTTGAACTGCAGCTGAACCTCACCAAGACAATGTTCATGAAAAACAAACTAGTCCCTGATGTTCCATTTGCTCTCAACGGAACGAACATCTCCGAATGCAGCAGCTATGTGTACCTGTGTACCTCAACATGAGGAAAAACTTGGCGCCAGAACTGCACAGGAGGAAGAGAGCGGCATGGAATGCCTTGAAGAGTGTCAAAGAAGTTGTTAAGAGGACGAAGAACCTTTGGCTCCGAGCACATCTTTTTGTCTCCACCATTCTTCCTGCACTAACATATGCCTCAGAGACCTGGGCCCTACAAAAACAGGATGAGAACACTATTCAGGTATCCCAAAGAGGAATCGAAAGAGCTATGCTTGGAATATCACGTTTCACTCAAATGAGAGAAGGAATCCAGAGTTCCGATCTCCTTCGACTATCAAGAATCAGGGATGCTGTCTCGTTTGCCAAGGTATCGAAAATCAGATGGGCTGGAGATGTAATATGATTTAAAGACGACCACTGGACTAGAACTATTACCAACCGGATTCCACGGGAAGTCAAAAGGACGCATGGCCACCCACTTACGAGATGATCAGACTTTTTTGTCAAAACCCTGAACAAAGGGTTTGAAGCTCTTCGTGTTCCTGGAGCGAGCATATGCCATTGGGCTACACTAGCACATGACAGGAACAAATGGAGACATTACTGGTACCCACTCGAGCAAATCGATGATCAACAGGATGACAAGTGATACAAGTGAAGTGGTAAAAAGATAACATTGGGCTTATCCTATTTGTACAAGTGTGTTACCAGAAAAAGTTTAATTTTTTCTATAATTAACATCCATAAATATATAAATTAATATTTAAATAAACAAGATATTTTGTTCATATTTATAGGTTCTATAAATACCCTAAACATTTATAAAAATTTAGTGTCTATAAAGACACTAAATACCCATAAAGACACTAAATACCCATCTTCCGGAATTGTTGTACCATATTTGATAGGGTTCAAATATGGTAACACCTACAAGGGTGATTAGAGGTCGCCCCAAAAGCCTCTATCCCTCTCGGAAAGACTGGCAAGCTACCGAGAGTATTCCGCCCGCACAGCAGAACCTCGCAAGATATTCATAGGAATGAGTGCTGTGTGCCTGGGAGGAAGGGAACATGGGACCCATCAGCTGCCTTTGGATCATTCATTGACCCACAACCAACACTTCACAAGGGTTTTGAACTAGGCCAAGGTGTTTAGTGTCAACATAAAGTGTTTGGAGATGGTGGGCAAGCCCCTCCAGGGCTTTTATGCCTTCCTCCACCTCAACAAGACTTGTAGCTCTAGTCCACACTGGCCAGCTAAGGGCAGCAAGTTCCTCAAGCCACACAGGATAAAAGAGCCCATGGCATCTACATTGCCACATGAGTCAGTGTCTGCGTGGCAGGACTCAAGTCACTCATGTGCAAGCTGGAGGCTTTCATGTGAAATCTG